GCTAGATGGAAGACTGTTGAGTGCGGCTTTAAGCATCAAACAAACCCATTGAAACCTTGGTCATGATGTGGGGAGTGCACCACTGGTCTGTCTGGGTTTGAAGGACATTGCAGAAAGTTGAAGACTGACTATACGCATTTTATATACATGTATATATATATACACACACACACACACACACACACACACACACACAAGTGGGGAATCTAACTAGAAATGATACCATTATATATATATATATATACACACACACAAGTGGGGAATCTTGATTAGAAAGGATACCAGTTATGAAATTCCAAATGGAATTGGTTGTCAGACTTGCTGACATATTGATTGTGTGCCTCCCCTAGTCTGTGGATCGCTGATCCTGATTGAACTGACTGGGCTGCCCTGTCTAGACTGCATATATCCAGTTGTTGTGTACAGCGGGAAAACCTAACAGTCTGTGTAGGCCGTTGGGTGGTAATTTACTTTGGTATGAGATCAATTGTAAATAATGTTCAGTTGGTTTTTATAAACAGAAAATGTAACGAAGTTTCATATAAAGTTCAATAAAAGTAATTTTTAAAATAGGCGGCACAACATTACAGCTACTGCAATGGTCAGTTCTTACTCTCCCCACTAGAACATGTCTGAGACAAGACAGAAACACGCGGGAGTCCAGGGATTTGAAACAATACTATTGAAACAAAGTTAACACTGCTTGAATGTCCAGCTGCACGTTCTGCCTCTCAAAGCCAGTTCGAAGTTTACATCTACAATTCCAGCAAGAAGACTAAACAGAGCATACATTTCGTATATGATAATTGTAAAATGGAAGGTGTGTTCATATATACAGTATGTACAGTACATGTACATCGTGTTTTAAATTCATACTTCCATAAACTTAAAACATACTAGCCACATAAAGAAACTGTGCATTGTCAAAATATTATCCCAGTTGATAAGTACGATAACAATGTCAAAGGTACATATAAACTTTAATGGAGGGATCATGAGACCATAACAAGTCGGGAGAATTTCAATTGAAAAGTCAATCACAATGACGTCACGAGTCCACAAGCGGGACAGGGGTCAAACGACCATGTCACAAGCTCAATAACGGGTATGTCCACCATCGGCATTGAGAACAGCAGTGCATCGACGACGCATAGAGCCTATCAAACGTGCAAGGAAGGCTTGTGGGATGTCACGCCAGATTCTCTCAAGTTCTGTTGCAAGGTCAAGGACGTTATCTGGCGGATGAGGAAGGCGGCGTAGACATCGATCCATCTCGTCCCAAACATGCTCTATCGGGGAGAGATCCGGTGAATTTGCAGGCCAAGGCAGTAAGTCAACGTTGTGGTGTTGCAAGAAATCCATAGCAACCCTTGCCGTATGAGGGCGGGCATTGTCCTGTTGGAATGTTAACCCAGGGCCATGGCGTTGCAGAAAAGGAATTGCCTCAGGTCGAAGAAGCTGATCCCTGTAGCCCACACCAGTTGAGTTGCCCTGAACAATCACCAAAAGAGTTCTTTGGCGTGCTGTTATTCCACCCCAAATCATCACGGAATCACCACTAAAGCGATTCCTCTCCAAGACACAGGCCTGTGCATAACGTTCTCCCACGCGTCTATAGGCACGTTGACGTCCATCACTATGGGAAATGTTAAACCTGGACTCATCTGTAAAAACAACATTTCTCCACCAAAACAAGGGTCTGCGGACATGATTTCGGCACCACATTCGGCGAGCTTGTCGATGACGTTGTGTCAGGATAGGCCGTATGGCGGGACGTCGTGGTCTGATCCCGTGATGACGTAAACGTTGTCGAACTGTGTTGGGGCGGATACGGCGAAGTCCTGGGATGGTTCGGGAAGTCATCACTGCAGTCTGAAACCTGTGGCGAAGTTGGGTCACCCTTATCCATATGTCCTGTCTTGGCGTTGTTACACGTGGACGTCCAGAACGTGGCCGATCGATGACGTCATTTGTGTTCTGGTAGCGTCTCAACAGTGCAGAAATGGTGTTCCGGTGGCAGTGGAAATGTGCAGCCACTTGTCGTTGAGACATTCCCCCACATACCATCCCAGTGGCCTCATGGCGTTGTGTAGACGTGAGCCTTGGCATGCTATGCGTTTCAATAGCCGTTTAATTTTTTGAACGATCGCAAGGGCAGAGGTTGAGCTTTCCAAAGTGACAGTATTGTGTGTCATTTATTCGCTCTGTTTCTCTTTCCCGGAATGCACGTGCAACAACGTATTGCACGTCTCAAGGACGAACCCACTGACGTCACGTAACGTGGCACGTGCATGCATGTTGGATACATGTCACTAATCTCTGAGTTTAAATCCTTATGTGTCTACACAGGTTTGATAAATTTAGATTTTAAATTTTTGTATGCACAGTTTCTTTATGTGCCTAGTATATATTGAAGTGGATTGTTTAGTGACAATGTTTCAAACAACAGGCTCATACGTACACACTGAGCAGAGCCACCAGAAATCTATAGGCGACTCAAAGTTTGCCATGAATCAGTTTTGATCATAGCAAGAATCATCCAACTCAATAAGATTGGACTATACCCGGCTTACAGTAATGGGGAACACTTACAAGACCTCGGTTCCATGATGAACAGAGAGAGGTATGCACTCATAGTGCAGCAGGTTCTTAAAACGTGTTTGGAATTAACGTTACAGACATTTTGCACTTCATTGTCAGAAAGTACAACATTTGTTACTGATGATTGCAACCCATGCATTCACTTTTGTCACTCAGTGTCGATGGAACTGGGTCAACACAAGGTCACCTTGTCAACGTGTTTGGCGTCAGCAGCACATGGGATTCCTCTGATCTCCAAGGTGAAATGTTTGAAAAAACCTTTTAGATTGCCAGATGTCACCCTGATCATCAGGTTTGTGATTAATAATGAAAATGTGGCAAATATCAGATAAATCAAACCCCCTATGCAAAGGAAGCCCTTGATCTCTTGCCACCTTTGCATTGATTGTTCTTCATAAAATGATGACTGAAATCACATGACTAATGAGCTGAGCTTTGTAGAAATGATTTACAAATCAAGCATGTTGAAGCAAAAGACATTATTGCTGATGCATTATCATGGGTGAACGTAATCAGTGTTGTCTTGCACCTTGGTAAAGATACCCATTATCATGGGTGAACGTAATCAGTGTTGTCTTGCACCTTGGTAAAGATACCCATTATCGTGGGTGAACGTAATCAGTGTTGTCTTGCACCTTGGTCAAGATACCCATTATCATGGGTGAACGTAATCAGTGTTGTCTTGCACCTTGGTAAAGATACCCATTATCAGGGTGAATGTAATCAGTGTTGTCTTGCACATTGGTAAAGATACCCATTATCATGGGTGAACGTAATCAGTGTCGTCTTGCACCTTGGTAAAGATACCCATTATCATGGGTGAATGTAATCAGCGTTGTCTTGCACCTTGGTAAAGATACCCATTATCATGGGTGAATGTAATCAGCGTTGTCTTGCACCTTGGTAAAGATACCCATTATCATGGGTGAACGTAATCAGTGTTGTCTTGCACCTTGGTAAAGATACCCATTATCACGGGTGAACGTAATCAGCGTTGTCTTGCACCTTGGTAAAGATACCCATTATCGTGGGTGAACGTAATCAGTGTTGTCTTGCACCTTGGTAAAGATACCCATTATCATCACTCATGTTTACCCTTCTTTTCTTTCTGGGCAGTATTGTAACTTTAATTTGCAAAGAGAGGTCTCTGTTGTTTCAACATTCTTTTCACAAAAGGTGAGAGTTTTATATGGTAGTCTAATTTATTGTTAATAAATGTTAAAAACTATATTACATTGTTTCCGTTCATGACAATGTGTCCAAAATATGAACCACTGTTGCTTCTCACAGAATATTATCATTACTACTATCATCAGTGCTTTTATATTTTAAACTACTATTGTGGATGTACTGCCACTGAATCTTGTACTGCCATTATACTCACTTCCAATTTGCATTGATCTGTACATCTCATTAACACAACTGTACAACATTTCTTTGTTGGTATCACATATATTTAAGGGTTGAGTGAAACGTGGAATTGCCATGTACCATCTGTAAATGAGGGTTGGATGGAGCCTTTCCCCACATGTTGGGATGGGGATACAGACACAGCAAGGTCACCATGAGTCAACAGTTTATTCCTTGAGCAGCAACTTGATAACAAACTTAGACAAAACACAAGAAGTAAGCCAAATTACTGCGGAAAACCATGACATAGTACCAACAACAATAACACAATGAACTGGTTGGTGTACAGAATACATGCTCAGTAAAATATAAACCATAAATACAGTATGAAGATTGTAATGACAGAATATATACTTCATATAACAAACATGAAGATACCATGATACATAGCTAATGTACTTGTTTCGGTGTTAACGCTAAAGTTAGCAGCCTGGGAACAACCATGACACCACATGATCACATGATAATTACAGATAGAGCTGGCATTTCAAATAAATGTGGATGAATGTCTGAGTGAGAACACAGCATATGTATCATTTTCTAAGTAAATATGCTATCGATTGGCAAAATACTAATCACTGCATGAGAACCTGTAGGATGTTGGTATACATGCATTGCTACAGAACACTTGTACTGAAAAGTCTGTGCTAACATAAACAATGTGAACCTCTCACAGAATAACCTTCACCCTGTGATGTTTTATCATCTTATTACTCCCCCGTGGAAGATACTGCAGTGTAATATTTTTACGGCAATATTACACCAGTGTAATACCGCTAGACATATGACGTCATAATGATAACAGTTGTGATATCACAATGCTAATGCCTCTGTCGCAATGGTATTAGACCTTGCTTGACTTGCGGAAAATTGATATGAGAGTAATCACACTGTAGGCAGTTTCTATCAATTTATGTTGGAGAGTAATAAACAGAATACTAAACTCGCTTCCGTGAAATACTATTTTTATCAAACTCACGAAAGATTTAGCATCAAACTCGCTTTCCCTCGTTTGATACCAAATCATTAACTCATTTAATAAAATTGGTATTACACGGAAGCGAGTTTAGTATCCTCTATTTATTAAACCGGCTTCTACAGGAGATATCAGTTGGGTGAGATATCACTATGATGAAATTACATCACAATGCTTTATAGGCCATTGTGATGTCATCAGTTCCCACAATGTGACAATCAAATGACATCACTGATCTCTCTGATGCTGAAGGTGACCTGCTGTACTTTTCACACTCTAAACACTTGTCATTACTGTTTACAAACCGAAAGACAAGAAAGAATGATTGTGGATGATCAATAGAATTTCACACCAGTGTCTTCTGGCGTCATATATACTGACTTGTGTTGATTTGATATAAGAGACACTCAGGTAAGATTCTCTTTTTGTTTGAAAACCTAAGTCTGTGTCATGAGCAATTCCTTTCAAGATCTGAGCCCAAGACAGAGGATAGTTCATTAATTGACAGCTTCTTGTATATATTATCAATGTTTTCTTCTCCTAAGAACAGTGTGTAAAATACAATACACAAAATGTATGTTTTCCTTACACAAGTAGAGGCATCAGTTAATCTATCGTGGGAACGACATTGCACAATATCATAATATATTTATGTTATCACCATGAACAAAGGATGATATCAGCTTTACTTATTTGTGACAATATGTTGATATGAAGTCAAATCATTAAGGGCTTAAAAAAAACAATCAGTTCAATTGAACAAATAGCCAATCACAATATGACACTGCTATAATGCTCATATCACTACCATCAGTGCCCCTGTGGGGAATATTATATACATCACTATATACACCTCGTCTTATAACATCAAGCCATACATGAATTCTCATCTTCATCATCCTGTCATACACACATAAATCATACACATATTTTGTCCTTCGGGTATTTCTTCCATAATGGCATCAGCAGTTAACATTACATTTCTGTATCATGAAATACAAACAATCAACAAAGTCAGTACTAAATAATATTCCCCAATGAATCATAGCAAATGATACAAGATGCCACCCGCTTTAGTAAAATCCAGTAGACAAATTGTCATATTACATAAGAATGATTTTTGTTCTTTATTTTACTTATTTTACTTATTTTACTACTCATTTCTGTATATTTGAGTGTGAGTATTCAGGTTCCATTATTTGACTGCAATGGTTAACACACCGGTGCTGAGACTGGCCATGGGGACCTTGCTGAAACATCATTGTACTACATCAAGTGCCACCCTTTCTCCAATCACATTGTGTATGTTGTTTGGTGAATCTCATCTCAAGGATTAGTTTTGGGTCCATTTTATTAGAAGACAGAGGCATGTTAAAACAAATCAATTACAAACAAATATGAAACTTGGTCCCTTAACTCAACTAATAGCTATCACAGATGCCTTCAATGAAGGGGGTTACTTCCAAATTATTTGTTTGATTACTACTACTTCACCTGTGCCTCTAAAACAATTAGAGCTCTGATGGTGTACACTTACTGTACTTGTTTGTGATGATGTACAAAACTATCAATTACCAATCCCTGAAAGTGTACATGTTCCAGCTGTGGTACGCTATAATTGTTGATACTTGTTCCCATGGAAACATGACTGAATTATATGTCAACATGCCATTACATGACCCTTGAACACATCAATTGCACTTCAACAATCTCCAGTGATTAAACTTAGTGAAGACATATTATTAACAAAGAATAAAACAAGAGGTACCGTCTAGGCAAGTTATTTGGTGGAAAAGTGAAAAAAAGTTTTAAAAAGTAAATAGATTAATATTGCTATATCACAGCATCAGTTTCATGTCACTTACACACCACTGTAAAGTATTCCCTCAAACATCTGTCCTGATCTAAAGGCCACAAGCATACACAGACCTGTCCAAACTGACTTGACACACTGTGCTTATACTATGGTCACATGGTAGAAACTGAATACAGTAACCATGGTAACCAGTAGACAGTTCACTGTACTAACAAGGCACCAACTACTGACAGCATGGGCATTTTAACTGTATCACATATCACTGTATGTCAAGCTATAAACATATGCAGAAATAAATTACTTTTTATCATTTTGGTCTCATTGATTTGGTACTTTCATTTATGGAACAAATGAAGTGTACCGTCAAATTTCCCTACATATCTTAACTGTGTATTTGACATTTGATATTCTTGATGAAACAGCTCTTGTTAAGAACAGTCTCTAGTACCACATGCATGTCAACTATGAGGATCAAGTGGTCTCAACTTGTGTCTAGGATCAAGTGGTCTCAACTTGTGTCTAGGATCAAGTGGTCTCAACCTGTGTCTAGGATCAAGTGGTCTCAACCTGTGTCTAGGATCAAGTGGTCTCAACTTGTGTCTAGGATCAAGTGGTCTCAACTTGTGTCTAGGATCAAATGGTCTCAACCTGTGTCTAGGATCAAGTGGTCTCAACTTGTGTCTCAAATGGTCTCAACCTGTGTCTTGGATCAAGTGGTCTCAAGTGGTCTCAACTTGTGTCTAGGATCAAGTGGTCTCAACTTGTGTCTAGGATCAAGTGGTCTCAACTTGTGTCTAGGATCAAGTGGTCTCAACCTGTGTCTCAAGTGGTCTCATCAAGATCAAGGTCTCAACCTGTGTCTAGGATCAAGTGGTCTCAACTTGTGTCTAGGATCAAATGGTCTCAACTTGTGTCTAGGATCAAGTGGTCTCAACCTGTGTCTAGGATCAAATGGTCTCAACCTGTGTCTAGGATCAAGTGGTCTCCAACTTGTGCACATCAAGTGGTCTCATACTATCTCAACTTCACCAGGGATCCACACAATGCTCATGTCTATCAAACCACATACTTGTCTGACACAGACGGAAGTTTGCTGGCTGCAGCATAAGGAACACTCACACACTCAGTCTGTACCAAACTGTTCATACACCCAGAACAACTAAGCATACATTCACTAATCTTGGCACACTTTCCATCCAAAATGGATTCTCAAAACCAACAGTCTAACACATCACAGATCACATCAACCCAGGACTCCACACTGTGAGCCTCAAGTAACATGCTGGAGGTATGGCTACCATGGTTAGTTCAGGATCTGTCCATCATGAGAGGAGCTGACATTTCTTCTTCTTAGGGCAGTAGCAGCAAGCCCTGCAACAGATCACATTATTTACAGTCAGGGTGCTGAGCTGAAGTAGGGTTTAATGGTGTGTTCATGATTACTGCAGCCTTATAGACATGCCATACTTGTGAGTGTGGCTGCTTGTACTAGACTTGTCTAGTGTGATCTCCCAATGATCTCCCAAGTCACGGTTCAAAACCCGGGACCCAGTATACAGTCTCAATGTCAACCTGTCCTTGTTTTATATCAACTTAAGGTCAAGCACCAGGCAGGTTGACAACAAGGACCATCTTTTTATGAGTTTAGGTATGAATAGGACAGGGGATCATGACCTTCAGCTCTCCAAGCAGACACGCTAGTCACTAGGCCACAACGGAGACTGTGCATGATGTAGGCATGAGTAGCCTAGTAAAACTGAAGTGGTTTCCCCTCTTCATGAAATATTGTATAATATAATTTATAATAAACAAACTATTCATCCTTGATTTGTCTATTAGTTGTTCTCAACAATAGTCCTTGTTTTCCTGGAAAATATACGGGAGTTTGTATTCTGAAATTTTACCAACAATGATATTGTGATGTACCTTCCTAAACTCTCTACTAAATTCTCCTGAAACTAGGACATGCTTGAAATGTCAGCCATCGTGACCTTTGTTCCCTGTGTTCTGTTCTACAAGAACTCACATGAATAAATTACAGAGAGTAGAAAGTTCTACACATCAAGGCTTTATTCACCATCTGAACACAGCTGTCTAAGAAGTGTGAAGACATCTACCACTAACTAGTTGCCTGCCCGACTGTGGAGATATCACCTTTACTTGACTTGTGATTACGTACATGCACACTCACATGTCCAAGAAGGTAAGGAAGAATTGTCTGTGAGAAATGTTCTGTGTTTGGTATTAAATACACAATGCCATTTTAGAAAGTGGTCAAATGTAACATATGTTATATTTGGGATTACACTTTCTTAGTAAAGTACAGATTCTAGAACTTTTTGGGTTGAGTCCCATCCGGGATTTGAACCAACACCCTCAGAGTCAGGCACCTAATCGCCAGCACACAAAGTCAGACACCTAGACCGCTCATCCACTGCGGCTTCCACAAAAATGGAAGTCGGACAACTGGTAGTCTAAACTGCTGACTTTGTGTACTGTCTGTGAGTATTGTTGTGGAGGTCTGTGAGGAATGTTCCATGTTGGGTATTGTTGTGGAGTAAAGTCTGTGAGAAATGTTCCATGTTTGGTATTGTTGTGGAGTAAAGTCTGTAACAAATGTTCCATGTTTGGTGTTGTTGTGGAGTAAAGTCTGTGACAAATGTTCCATGTTTGGTGTTGTTGTGGAGTAAAGTCTGTGACAAATGTTCCATGTTTGGTATTGTTGTGGAGTAAAGTCTGTGACAAATGTTCCATGTTTGGTATTGTTGTGGAGTAAAGTCTGTGAAAGTCTGTTTGGTATTGTGACAAATGTTCCATGTTTGGTGTTGTTGTGGAGTAAAGTCTGTGACAAATGTTCCATGTTTGGTATTGTTGTGGAGTAAAGTCTGTGACAAATGTTCCATGTTTGGTATTGTTGTGGAGTAAAGTCTGTAACAAATGTTCCATGTTTGGTATTGTTGTGGAGTAAAGTCTGTGACAAATGTTCCATGTTTGGTATTGTTGTGGTGACAAATGTTCCATGTTTGGTGTTGTTGTGGAAAGTCTGTGACAAATGTTCCATGTTTGGTATTGTTGTGGAGTAAAGTCTGTGAGGAATGTTCCATGTTTGGTATTGTTGTGGAGTAAAGTCTGTAACAAATGTTCCATGTTTGGTATTGTTGTGGTAAAGTCTGTGACAAATGTTCCAAGTCTAAAGTAACAAATGTTCCATGTTTGGTATTGTTGTGGAGTAATGTCTGTGACAAATGTTCCATGTTTGGTGTTGTTGTGGAGTAAAGTCTGTGACAAATGTTCCATGTTTGGTATTGTTGTGGAGTAAAGTCTGTGACAAATGTTCCATGTTTGGTATTGTTGTGGAGTAAATTCTGTGACAAATGTTCCATGTTTGGTATTGTTGTGGAGTAATGTCTGTGACGAATGTTCCATGTTTGGTATTGTTGTGGAGTAAAGTCTGTGACGAATGTTCCATGTTTGGTATTGTTGTGCAATACTGTCTGCGAGGGATGTTAAGTGTTTGGTATTGTTGTGGAGTAAAGTCTGTGACGACTTACCAGGTTGGCTTGTGATTGAGTACATGCGTACTGACATCATGCCCTGCAAGGTAAGGAAGTGAATCATTAATCATTGACCAAAATACCATTTACTTTATACTGTAAAAATATTATTTCATGAACACAAATCATACTGCATTTTTTCATGATTTAGTAAGTAACTCCTCATGCCTTGAATCAAACAGTCATTATCTGTCTCTAAGGGTTTTAGAGACACTGAAACTAACATAGATTGATAATGTTTGTTCTGCATTTATAGTATAGTTGTGACTGACTGTCACTGAACTTACCTTGATGGCAAATCTGAACACACGACCTGCAGATCCCTGTAACATATACACTGCCTGATTAGTTATATAACAATGGTACGTCCATTTATCATACACCATACAAATGTCTCATCATCACTTACAGATACAGAGCATAACATGCAAGTGCTCATCGACAGCACACTTTGCTGTAACAAGTTGTGTCCCATAGCTGTGCCAGGAGCCAGTTGCCAATGGTTTGATCACCAGGATATCGGCGGCTCAACAGAAGACCGGTACTTATACACATGGAGTTCACCACAGAAACAATGTCCACAACATGGCTCAGTTTGGGCTTTAACCCTTCATGGTGTAAACTGCAGTTTAACATCATACTGAAGCTCTTCCAACATGGCTCAGTTTGGGCTTTAACCCTTCATGGTGTAAACTGCAGTTTAACATCATACTGAAGCTCTTCCAACATGCATCAGTTTGGGCTTTAACCCTTCATGTTGTAAACTGCAGTTTAACATCATACTGAAGCTCTTCAAACATGCATCAGTTTGGACTTTAACCCTTTGATGTTGTAAACTGCAGTTTAACATCATACTGAAGCCTCTTCCAACATGGCTCAGTTTGGGCTTTTTAACCCTTGATATTTGTAAACTGCAGTTTAACATCATGCTAGAGAGCTCTTCCAACATGCATCAGTTTGGGCTTTAACCCTTCATGGTGTAAACTGCAGTTTAACATCATACTGAAGCTCTTCCAACATGCATCAGTTTGGGCTTTAACCCTTCATGGTGTAAACTGCAGTTTAACATCATACTGAAGGTCTTCAAACATGCATCAGTTTTCATGCTGAAGCTCTTCCAACATGCATCAGTTTGGACTTTAACCCATGATGTTGTAGGCTGCGGTTTTAACATCATACTGAAGCTCTTCAACATGGCTCAGTTTGGAGAGCTTTAACCCTTGATGTATGGCTGCGGTTTAGCATCATACTGAAACTCTTCCAACGTGCATCAGTTTGGACTTTAACCCTTCATGTTGTAGACTGCGGTTTAACATCATACTGAAGCTCTTTAAACATGCATCAGTTTAGGCTTTAACCCTTCATGTTGTAAACTGCAGTTTAACATCATACTGAAGGTCTTCAAACATGGCTCAGTTTGGGCTTTAACCCTTCATGGTGTAAACTGCAGTTTAACATCATACTGAAGGTCTTCAAACATGCATCAGTTTGGGCTTTAACCCTTCATGGTGTAAACTGCAGTTTAACATCATACTGAAGCTCTTCAAACATGCATCAGTTTGGGCTTTAACCCTTCATGGTGTAAACTGCAGTTTAACATCATACTGAAGGTCTTCAAACATGGCTCAGTTTGGGCTTTAACCCTTCACGGTGTAAACTGCAGTTTAACATCATACTGAAGGTCTTCAAACATGGCTCAGTTTTTGCCTTCCTGACAACTAAGCATCCAATCTGTGAAAATAACTGAAAAGCTGTTTAAAGTCATGTAACACACAGTCAAGTCACTCATTATAAGTCCCTATTTGGTTGTCTTAAGAGCGGAGTGGTAGCCAAGAGGTAAAGTGTCATGTTGAAGGCCTGGGTTCTACTCCCCAAATGGGTACAGTGACACCCATTTCTGGAGCCAGGCTGTGACATTGTTTGAATGTTGTATATAGAGTTCCACTTTTCTGACATGGTCAGTGTAATCAGAGATTGGTGGTTACCAGGACACTTACAGTTGAATCCACAGTTTTACAGGAGAAGTAGTGGAAGCTGGGTGGGGACCCTGTTCCTTGTACTTCTGGAATGAAGCAGATCTTGGGCAGGTCACTCTCACACTTGAAGCAGCCCTTTACCACAATCTCACTGCCTGGTTTCTGTGGGTTAAGTCAAACCTGGGTCAATCAAACACTTGAAGCACTGAGGAGGAAGGAAAACTTAGGAACACCTAACCTTCATATTTCTGGTCTCCTTGACACCATTTTGGCGGGATGTGTTTGAGTAAGATGTTATAGGACCAAGAACATGAAGGATATATGTCTTCAATTTTCTTTTCCAACTCAGCCTCGAGAGCAGTTTTCAGAAATCTAACATTTAAGATAGAATAAGGTCAAAACTCAAATTTATTTAAAACATCACTCAATATTGTTTATGTTAATTTCAGTGAAATCATGTGTCAAATGTTAGCAGATCGCACCAACTCACCATTACTTACGACAAGATTACCGATACTGATGATCCCATAACAAACCTTACCCTTTAATATAATACACATCACATTTCACTGGCCAAATTCACAATAGTAAAACATGCACAAAAAATCCAACTATCACCAAAACACGAAATGTTGAGTCAAGCAGTGCCTTTTTAAAGGGACCGCCTCCGTGGTGTAGTGGTTAGAGCGTCCGCCCGGAGAGCAGAAGGTCGCGGGTTCGATCCCCGACTGCGTCACACCAAAAAGACGTTAAAATATATGGTACTTGTTGGTCCTGCCTGGTGCTCGGCATTAATAGGTGCAACAAGGACTGGTCGGCTTAGAGTCAGTATAATGTGTCTGAGTGGGAATTATTCATGCTTCACTGCAGCATGGTATCTCCAGTGGGCTAGCACTATAAAACCAGCTTAAGTCTGGGCTGAGTACAAGCAGCAGCACATACACATACATACGCATGCATGCACGTCGTCATATGAGCGAAATATTCTCAAACCGCGGCGTTAAACCCTACTTTCACAGCGGAAATAAATTCACAATGTGCTGTAGCGAGACTCTGATGGCGTGGTACTTGATGGAGTATCCAGACTACTGTGTTTCACCTAAGCCATGTAATGGAGACACCAAGGCTCACCATGTTGTACTGCAGCACTGGGCGACAGTGCCAGGTCAGGAGGTGGATGTCGGGAGGCGACTCCACACAGTCAGGGTCATCAAGGACCTTCTGAAGGTCAGACCTGTTGTCACCTGATAAGGGGCTGAAACAGACAATGGAAGAGTCACTACAGTCATGCCCTGTTTATCGAAACCTCAGATCTGAAAATTCCTTAAAGCGAATTCCTTAGCGTTATAAAATTACTTGTCCGAAATCCGATTTCCGTAGCATCGTTTGATCATTTTCCACATACAAAAGCGCTAAATTATATGCAATTTTTTCGTATATCGGATGGCTGACCACCTGACGGTATGATAACACATGCATTTTACATCGAAGTGGCCTTAGCGTTGCCCTAACATAAAAAGAGAGTCAGCAGTCTTTGAAGCGTGGAGGATTAACTACCTGTAATTAGCAAGGCGACACTGAGTTAATTTTGAGTTGCTTTTGAGGGCGCAGTCAATTTGTGGGTCACTATAATTACGCAGCTGATAAACTAGGCTGGACATCCCTGTTGTTTTGGTAGTGACTTTAATCACGGCAGTTTATGTTAGGTACAGGAACAATGAAGCGTGGATGACATCAGAACTGTTTTACGTGATTGGTTGCTAGCATTAGACAGACGTGATGTGATTGAGGTAGGCATGTTATATAATGGATGGAGCAATGCAGTTGGCCAGTTCAGATATCCTGAAAATTAGTCTATCCGGACAATTTCAAGAGAAAAACACAAGTGTCAGATAAGCGGGGGCATGCTTCTGTATATGAATGCAGACTTCATCAATATTTATCATGCTTTGTACGAACATTAATAGAAACTGTCCAGTTTGAGAGTGTGTAGAGACACAGTTCAAAAGACACCATTTATCATACACCATACAAATGTCTCATCATCACTTACAGATACAGAGCATAACATGCAAGTGCTCATCGACAGCACACTTTGCTGTAACAAGTTGTGTCCCATAGCTGTGCCAGGAGCCAGTTGCCAATGGTTTGATCACCAGGATATCGGCGGCTCAACAGAAGACTTATACACATGGAGTTCACCACAGAAACAATGTCCACAACATGGCTCAGTTTGGGCTTTAACCCTTCATGGTGTAAACTGCAGTTTAACATCATACTGAAGCTCTTCCAACATGCATCAGTTTGGGCTTTAACCCTTCATGTTGTAAACTGCAGTTTAACATCATACTGAAGCTCTTCAAACATGCATCAGTTTTTGCCTTCCTGACAACTAAGCATCCAATCTGTGAAAATAACTGAAAAGCTGTTTAAAGTCATGTAACACACAGTCAAGTCACTCATTATAAGTCTATTTGGTTGTCTTAAGAACGGAGTGGTAGCCAAGAGGGTAAAGTGTCATGTTGAAGGCCTGGGTTCTACTCCCCAAATGGGTACAGTGACACCCATTTCTGGAGCGCCAGGCTGTGACATTGTTTGAATATTGTATATAGAGTTCCACTTTTCTGACATGGTCAGTGTAATCAGAGATTGGTGGTTACCAGGACACTTACAGTTGAATCCACAGTTTTTACAGGAGAAGTAGTCGACTGGGTGGGGACCCTGTTCCTTGTACTTCTGGACGAAGCAGATCTTGGGCAGGTCACTCTCACACTTGAAGCAGCCCTTTACCACAATCTCACTGCCTGGTTTCTGTGGGTTAAGTCAAACCTGGGTCAATCAAACACTTGAAGCACTGAGAGGAAGGAAAACTTAGAACACCTAACCTTCATATTTCTGGTCTCATGACACCATTTTGAGCGGGATGTGTTTGAGTAAGATGTTATAGGACCAAGAACATGAAGGATATATGTCTTCAATTTTCTTTCCAACTCAGCCTCGAGAGCAGTTTTCAGAAATCTAACATTTAAGATAGAATAAGGTCAAAACTCAAATTTATTTAAAACATCACTCAATATTGTTTATGTTAATTTCAGTGAAATCATGTGTCAAATGTTAGCAGATCGCACCAACTCACCATTACTTACGACAAGATTACCGATACTGATGATCCCATAACAAACCTTACCCTTTAATATAATACACATCACATTTCACTGGCCAAATTCACAATAGTAAAACATGCACAAAAAATCCAACTATCACCAAAACACGAAATGTTGAGTCAAGCAGTGCCTTTTTTAAAGGGACCGCCTCCGTGGTGTAGTGGTTAGAGCGTCCGCCCGGAGAGCAGAAGGTCGCGGGTTCGATCCCCGACTGCGTCACACCAAAAGACGTTAAAATATGGTACTTGTTGGTCCCTGCCTGGTGCTCGGCATTAATAGGTGCAACAAGGACTGGTCGGCTCGGAGTCAGTATAATGTGTCTGAGTGGGGTATTCATGCTTCACTGCAGCATGGTATCTCAGTGGGCTAGCACTATAAAACCAGCTTCAGTCTGGGCTAGTACAAGCAGCAGCACATACACATACACACGCATGCACGTCATCATATGAGCGAAATATTCTCAAGCACGACGTTAAACCCACTTCACCTCACCTCACCGTTTTAAAGGGAAGTAACTGTGCAGTGTTTTGGATCCCTCTTTTTAGCCCTACAGTATAACAATGCCAAGGTCATGTGTTCAAGAAGTGGAATGTTTACAGATTTTACTTTCACAACGGAAATAAATTCACAATGTGCTGTAGCGACCCTCTGATGACGTGGTACTTGATTGAGAATCCAGACTACTGTGTTTCACCTAAGCCATGTAATGGAGACACCAAGGCTCACCATGTTGTACTGCAGCACTGGACGACAGTGCCAGGTCAGGAGGTGGATGTCGGGGAACGACTCCACACAGTCAGGGTCATCAAGGACCTTCTGAAGGTCAGACCTGTTGTCACCTGATAAGGGGCTGAAACAGACAATGGAGGTCACTACAGTCATGCCCTGTTTATCCGAAACCTCAGATACGAAAATTCCTTAAACGAATTCACAACGTTATAAAATTACTTGTCCGGAAATCCGATTTCCGTAACCGGACGATCGTTTTCACATACAAAACGCTAAATTATATGCAATTTGTTCTTGTATATCCGGATGGCTGACCACCTGACAGTATGATAACACATGCATTTTACCGAGTGGCCTTGCGTGCCCTAACATAAAAGAAGTCAGCAGTCTTTGAAGCGTGAGAGGATTAACTACCTGTAATTAGCAAGGCGACACTGAGTTAATTTTGAGTTGCTTTTGAGGCGTGTCAATTTGTGGGTCACTATAATTACGCTGATAAACTAGGCTGGACATCCCTGTTGTTTTGGTAGTGACTTTAATGCGGCAGTATATGTTAGGTACAGGAACAATGCGAAAGCGTGGATGACATCAGAACTGTTTCGTGATTGGTTGCTAGCATTAGACAGACAGATGTGATTGAGAGGTAGGCATGTTATATAATGGATAGACAATGCAGCTAGCCAGTTCAGATATCTGAAAATTCGTCTATCCGGACAATTTCAAGAAAAACACAAGTGTCCAGATAAACGGGGCACGCCTGTATATGAATGCAGACTTCATCAATATTTATCATGCTTTGTACAGACATTAATAAACTGTCAGACTGAGAGTGTGTAAAGACACAGTTCAAAAGACATTGGCCAAAGGGATTCTAGCATCCATTCATGTTGCTCAGTGGTGTCCTAGTGACTAATAGTGCAGATTTTACAAGTGCTTCTAGGAAACCTGATTCATTTCAAATGTCTTCCATTTATTCAAGGCAACAAGATTATTTTGTAGACTTAAGAACCGAAACCTAACAAATTGTACATAATGTCATAAAACAGCATGCTTTCAAATAATTTTTATACAAAATACAACAAATATGGTCAAACCAGGGTCGGCACCAATATTCATACACTTATCCCAACCCCATCTGATGGGCTTCTGATTCCTACAATCACCCCACAAGGTATATCCTGCCCTCTTACACCCCGATCTGATGAGAGGGTCACCCCTGGGATTCACACACTCTCCCCACAAGGTATATCCTGCCCTCACACCCCTGATCTGATGAGAGGGTCACCCCTGGGATTCATACACTCAACCCACAAGGTATATCCTGCCCTCACACCTCCATCTGATGAGAGGGTTACCCCTGGGATTCACACACTCTCCCCACCCGGTATATCCTGCCCTCACACCCCTATCTGATGAGAGGGTCACCCCTGGGATTAAAACACACTCACCCCACAAGGTATACCATGCCCTCACACCCCCATCTAATGAGAGGGTCACCCCTGGGATTCATACACTCAACCCACAAGGTATACCCTGCCCTCACACCCCAATCTGATGAGAGGGTTACCCCTGGGATTCACACACTCTCCCCACAAGGTATATCCTGCCCTCACACCCCTATCTGATGAGAGGGTCACCCCTGGGATTCATACACTCACCCCACAAGGTATACCCTGCCCTCACACCCCCATCTGATGAGAGGGTCCCCTGGGATTCATACACTCTCCCCACAAGGTATACCCTGCCCTCACACCCCAATCTGATGAGAGGGTCACCCCTGGGATTCATACACTCACCCCACAAGGTATACCCTGCCCTCACACCCCAATCTGATGAGAGGGTCACCCCTGGGATTCATACACTCACCCCACAAGGTATATCCTGCCCTCACACCCCAATCTGATAAGAGCGTCACCCCTAAGATTCATACACTCACCCCACAAGGTATACCCTGCCCTCACACCCCTATCTGATGAGAGGGTCACCCCTGGGATTCATACACTCACCACATAAGGTATACCCTGCCCTCAGACCCCTATCTGATGAGAGGCTTCCCCCTGGGATTCATACACTCACCCCATAAGGTATATCCTGCCCTCACACCCAAATCTGATGAGAGGGTCACCCCTAAGATTCATACACTCTCCCCACCAGGTATACCCTTCCCTCACACCCCCATCTGATAAGTATACCCTGCCCTCACACCCCTAAGATTCATACACTCAACCCACAAGGTATACCCTGCCCTTACACCTCAATCTGATGAGAGGGTTACCCCCAGGGATTCACACACTCTCCCCACCCGGTATATCCTGCCCTCACACCCCTAACTGATGAGAGGGTCACCCCTGGGATTCACACACTCACCCCACAAGGTATACCATGCCCTCACACCCCCATCTAATGAGAGGGTCACCCCTGGGATTCATACACTCACCCCACAAGGTATACCCTGCCCTCACACCCCCATCTGATGAGAGGGTTACCCCTGGGATTCATACACTCTCCCCACCAGGTATATCCTGCCCTCACACCCCTATCTGATGAGAGGGTCACCCCTGGGATTCATACACTCACCCCACAAGGTATACCCTGCCCTCACACCCCCATCTGATGAGAGGGTCCCCTCTGTCTTTCAGGGTATTCTCTATCACAGTCTGTATGTGGGTGATGCTGGAACAGACGACAAAGAATGAAGAGTAGTACAAGAACATCCTCAGTCATTCAGATCCCAATATAATCATGTCAACCTACAGTAATACTTGCCCCTATGTTAACTTTGGTAGTAACTTTCTACTGTTGTTAGCATAATTACAGCATTAAAACCATAAAAGGTTGGATAAAATATTTGTAAAGGAACACAAATAAAAAAATGCTTCTGATCAATATGTATATTTGGAACATATTTTGATTGTAAGTGTGCAATAATTTTTCTATCAATCTCCCCAAAGACATACTTATATAATGTCAGTACACAGTCCGGTGTGTGAGAAGTGACTTACTCATCAAAAGCCTTGATGGTGATGTCAGGAATTTGCAGGTTTTTATCTACGATGTACACCGACACCTTCACCGGCAGTATCGCCAATGTGGGAATGTGGTCAGTCAGATACCTGAAGAAAACAGAGCTTGTGTCACAAATGTTCATGATAAGAGACTCTTCAAAATCTCCTCTCAACATGGGCTGTCTGACACTGTGGGGAATGTGGGGATGGCGGGGTAGTGTTTTTGTGTTCTAGCAGTATCTCTTCACATGGGAACAATGTGAGAAGAACATCTACATGTCTCCTGCCTTTAGGTGTCAAATAGTGTCAAACCATACTCACATATATATACCTTTAACTTTTAAGTTGCTATATAACAAAGTTTCCATTTTGAAACAGACGTATGTCTTATACAATTTCTTGTATTTTCTTATTCATGGAGATGGGGATGAGACCAACTTGGCTTAGTTCTGATAACAAGGATTATACCAAGAACTAGAATGGGCAGTGTTATAAATGTGATAAGCCAATCAGATAAACTGGGTATCAAGATCCATGGTGCATTTGAAAGGTTTTTTTCAGCTTAATTAGGTGTCATGAAACAACATTACAGTGGAGTAATATAAGGTGGACTCTGGAGATCCCAAGTCTGATGTTGATTGATGTCGAAGGAGGTGCTGGGCTGATGTCTCACTCTCAGGCAGCATGTGCTCTTGATCACTTTGTTTCTGGGTTACCTCCCTTTTTCACAATCACAGATACACCCAGGCCCCAGCACACAGATAAAACAAAAATGGTAGAAACCTATCAACAGAACAGAACAGAAACACTCTGATCTCTATCCAGCACGGATTCTCACCTGTCGTAGGCGTCTGCCACTCGGTCAACGCATAGCTGTAGCTGATCTGTGAGAGCATCTTTCTGTGATGTCAGCCGCGACTCCATCACCGCAGTCTGCAGCTGCACCTCTACAATGGACACGTATCTCAGTGAGTGTAACAGTCTGTACACTGACTGTATAAACAGAACATATTACTCTATATAAATGCTTCACCTACAGTGCTGTACTTGTTAGCATCTACACTGAAACCTGACATACAGAGAAAGAAGCTGTTTCTCCATAGAGCTATCCCCTTGTTCATCACACCAACTTTACACCAAATGTGAAATTACAGGCATCTTTGACAATTTCCATATACTATGATTTTAACACATAAGTTTAAAAATCCTTCAGCATATTTATTTTTCTTCATTACTGCCAGTATCATACTGCCAAGCATTTAATACATTAGTCATCACATCTCATGTCACTTTCTGCTCCTAAAGTGGGCCATGGAGGAACTTTTCTGCCAAGAATCAACCTGGAGGTTTTACAGACAACCACTGAGTTAAAGTATTCCCACCTGTAGGCGAGAGTCCCTCCAACATCAGTGTCTGAAGGGCCCGCTCGGTGTCCCGCTCCAGTGTCTGCATGCGCTGCGCAAACTCCAGCCGCAGACTCTGCAACATGAGGCCAGGTCAGTGTGTACAGGTCAGTGTGTACAGGTCCGTGTATTCTATACCTATACAAATACACCATAGAGCACCACAAACCTGTACACATGTGGACCTACTGAACTCCTGATACAAGCCCTCACACCTGACACAGGTGAAGATGACATTTCTATACCTGTAGAAATACACCCTAGAGTACCACATACCTGTACACATGTGGACCTACTGAACTCCTGATACAAGCCCTCACACCTGACACAGGTGAAGCTGATGTTTCTTACCTGGAAGTACTTCTCATGTGCTGTCAGACCTTGTCGTAAGTGCTCTGCAAGGAAACAATCCCTTTATTAAAAGGGTTCAAAATGTGGACAGCAAATTTCTTCAACACCTTCTTCCTTAAGTACCCACTTGTGTACTTGACTCTGTCATGAAATATATTCAATTCAAAGATTCTCAATGAATGCCAGCACATACAGCTTTACTGGGTCACACTGCGCTTCTCCTGCAGTAAACTGACGCCAGGTTTCTTGCATACTGTTAGTAGCTTTAAAGAGCACCATTCTACAACTTGATATATGTATCTGGACTCAGTTCAGTAGTCAGTAATCCATGTGAACCCTGCTGTATGATCGATTACACATGACTGTCATGTCTGTGGTTTGCCAAGCACTCCTTAAAACTAACTGTGTAATGAATAAACATACAACCCAGTCCAATGATGTGTCAATACAAAACGATTCATGGGTACATATTGGAAGAATAGTAAATATATATGCAAATGTATACTAATTTCTGCCACATCCACATTGTCTTACTAACTGTATTCTACTGAATATCTGTTTGGATGGGATTCAATACATAATGAGCTATGTCTCCCAGCGTGTGAAACATGGAGTCTGCATGTAGTGTATCTCTACTGTTGATTTATGAATTACATCCTTACAACATGTATCATTAGAGATCAGTTACCAGTGGTATTTTAAAGCAAAGCAGACCATCCCGACAAAATGAAGAAACTAGATGCTCTTACATGCCATTACCTGCATTTGGGGACTGCCTATGAAAAATGTGGTCTCTTAAGCCGTAGTTAAGGTCTGCTACAATGGTAGTTTTGCCCCTGACTTATACATCACAACTTACTCTTCAACACTTCTTCTACAGGTGACAGCTTGCGGTCACTGAAGTCATTAGATGAGTTGGCAGCTATCAAAACAGGAAACAAAATATTTGTTAAGAGGTCTCCTAAAAGAGAAACACATCCATAATGCTAAGTACAAACTGCCCAGCTCTCATTCACACATCACTAACTGTAACACTTGTTTTTTTTCAAATTTGGTACAATAGGCCAGAGCTTCCATTTTAATACCCCCCGCAAAATGCGTTGAGGGGGGATAATATAGTTGCAGGCAACGATGAGGGCTCCTTGGCTTTAGTTCTATCTGAGGGCTAGATATCATCGTCCAAAACGGAGCCAGAACACGTGTTTTGACATGCGGGCGGATCTTCCAAATACAGCCGGGGTCGCGTGGGTCATGTACCTTTTAAGAAGTTCCGGAGAAGAAATAGTTCCCTCTTTAAAAGGCTGTATCTCAGTTGTTCTTGGGTCTACGGTCAAAACAATTAGTGTTCTGGAATCACCAAGACATCATCTACCATACTGACACTTTTTGTGCAAATTTGCACATTTTGGGAGCAAACCACTCAGAAAACTGCTGAAAAACATGGCCAAAAACTGAAAACAAAAATAACTGCCAAACGGTACGTTTTAGCAACTTGACCTGTCCAGGCAAAATTGTTGGGAATTCGATTGTGCATCTGTACAAGAGATTTGGAAGTGTTGGAACAATTAGTTCTTGAGATATTTGCTGTCAAACGTTGAAATTTTGGAATTAAATTTGAATTATTTCCCCTTTGCTATTGGGCCAAGAGCCTAGAGATTTTTAAGGGAAATATCTACACCTCGGTGCGCATCTGTGTGATTTTTTGTAAGCGTTTCGGAGCATTGGTTTAGGAGTTATGTTTGGTACACAAAATTGGTTGAATAATAAATAATAATAATAATAATAATAATAATAATCCGAACGATGACAATAGGTCTCCTGCCTAGAGGCAAGGAGCCCTAATGATACACAAGGACTAAACTTGAGGATGCAAACGCATGACAGGTTATTTTGTCTAGAGTTGTCCCCCTTCTTGTTGAAGGAATGCTTTGTTTGTTTATTTGTTTGTTTGTTGTTTAACGTCACACGCAATATTCCAGCTACATGGCAGTGATCTGTAAAACATCGAGTCTGGATCAGACAATCCAGTGAACAGCATCATGAAAATCAATTGGGTTATGATGACACAGAAGAAATGGTAGTAGTAGAGTATAGCTGAAGACAGCATCAAGACAAAGACTTGACAGAGGAACAAGAAACTCAGCTTCTCAGGGACATAATCACAATGAGTGAGTGAGTGAGTTTATTTTAACGCCGCTCTCAGCAATATTCCAGCTATATGGCGGCGGTCTGTAAATAATCGAGTCTTGACCAGACAATCCTGTGATCAACAGCCGATGACATTGGGAACCGATGACATGTGTCAGCCAAGTCAGCAAGCCTGACTAACCGATCCGGCTAGTCGCCTCTTACGACAAGCATGAGTTACTGAAGATCAATATTCCAACCCGAACCTTCACAGGTCAATAATCACAATGACAACATAAATCTAGATTTAGTACAAGGAAAGAAATTAGCATGTAGTACTTTATTTAGTGTTACATACACCAAGTATTGTTTGCCAATGACAAAGCAAGCAAGAGTGAGAATCTTCTTCAGTTGACAAATAAATGTCTGCTTTGAATTTCTAAGTCTGTAACAAACTGGTGGCTGATAGCATGAACCAGGGTCCGCCATTCTGTAACCAGATCAGACTGTGGGGTAGCCTAGTGGTTCAAGCGTTTGCTCATCACACCGAAGACCCGGCTTTGATTCCCCAAATGGGTACAATGTGTGAAGCCCATTTCAGGTGTCCCCTGCGGTGAAATTGCTGGAACATTGCTAAAAGCGGCATAAAACCATACTCTCTCATTCACTCTGTAACCAGGTAATACATTGAAACCCCAATTACTTTAGGGAGAGAAATTATGGATGTAAATGTCTTGACTATGGGAAACACAGTGTGAGACATCCATCAATTCTCTCCCTATTGAGTATCACTTCTAAATGCAAGTCAAAGACTATTTTGTTTGACTTCATTACTTGGATGAAATATTTCCAACATACCACTGTTGATGAGATTGTCAAAATAATTAGCTTCCGCTTTGGATTTTTCAGAATCAACTTCTCCTGAAACATGAACACAAAGACAAGTTAAAATCTGATAGAAAAGTTTAACGCTAACATGAAACACGAAAATGAACATATCACACACAAAGTCTTAAATAACATAACATTTCTGTTCCATTGGTTTGTTGTTTGATGCTGCACTCAGAAATATTCCAGCCATATGGCGGAGGTCTGTAAATTATCGAGTCTAGACCAGACAATCCAGTGATCAACATGATGAACCTCGTTCCACATAATTGGGATACAATGACATGTGTCAACCAAGTCAGTGAGCCTGATCACCCGATCCCGTTAGTCGCCTCTTATGACAAGAATGGCTTACTGAAGACCAATTCTAACCCAGATCTTCATGGGTCAATTTCTGTTCCGAATGTATTCAGGATACATATTCAGCAACTAATCAGTACAAGTAATTAAACACCCTTTGTTGGAATTTGAAAGCACCATGCATTTAGTTTTCATTCTCATCTCCCTGAGGAGTATACAATCCGGGCTGCCTTGTCAGAAGGCTAACAGTCACATTACCATCTCATCCTACTGGGTACCCAGTTCTACTGCTGACTGAACAGAGGCTTATTCAGAACATAGTCACTTGATCCAGGAGACATCACATGTGCTACATATGCTTCATCTACGGGGTGGGCTGAAGCCCTAGAAACTCTCAGGAATAATGATGAAGAATGTGGTCACCCATCAAAATACTCCCAAAGACGGTAATCAACCTAACCTGATTTCTGAGTTGTTTGCTGTCTACTAGACCATGAGTCACCATAATATCACTCTGGAGTGAGAGTGTGGTTTGAAAGTACTAGAATCTGTACCTTACTGAGAAAGTGTAATCCCAAATATAACAGGTACACAGTAGATTTTCACCACTTTATGAATAATTCATGTGCCACCATGTTAGCAATACTCTTGTATATTTGGCCCAATCTTGCCTTCTGAATTCCTAGTGAAACTGGTTAACTGAAACACTATGTTGTTCTCACCTATGAGACTGTCGAACTGATGGTCCTTGATGAGCTGGACGGAGTTGACGGCACTGTTGCAGCAGGGACAGGTGTGGTTGCGGTCCACCCACTCCTGAATACACTTCCCACAATAGCGGTGTCCGCATGCCGTTGTCATAGTGTCTGTCATGTTGTTTAGGCATATCGAACACTGGAAGTACTCCTCCAGAATAGAGATCTGACAAGAAAGGTAAATACCATGAAGAAAAGGTCATGATTCAGCATCCTCTCTGGTCTTGATCAAAGCTTGGCTTTAGTAGACTTTGTTCTTGAACACTTCCTTGGCCCAGGTCTTTTGAAAGGTTCCACACAAACACAGCTCTTATCAAGCTTAATATGTTCAGCATTGACTATTAAAGGTAGATGTTAATCAATATATAGTTGTACGAACAAGTTTGGCTTTCTGTTTTTTCTAAAAACTATTTTCAATAGTGACATTTTCACTGTTGTATAGCTGTTTTGAGAGAATTCAGCTTAGATTTCCTACTGTGAAGCGATACTGGTGTTCATTATTTTCCTTCAAAAACTGATTACTGCTAGATTTATTGTGGAAATGAGGAAAGATCTACATGGAATTGAAAATTTCACAATCATCCGTATTGTGTAAAGTGAAATTAGATCCATAATTTCATTAATAAACATAGTAGATGTGATATTGGCGTTTCACGTGGACCTTCTCCTGGTCTGTGGCTTACTGTTATTTTTCATCATTTGTCTACTCAAGGAGTTCATTATAAATGTCTAGATATTATCATGAATCAGGGTTATACTTACAGGTATAACAAGAGGTAGCTCTCCTGTCTTGTCAGTCATTCTGTGGGTGTGCGTGTTGTGTTAAATCAACAGCTCCAACGTCGCATTTTGACACATTAGTATGGGTCTATTTTTAGAAAGAAGGAACTACCGGTTAGCATTAATTACCTCCCTTTGACCGCTGTAGGACCTGATTGAAGCTGCCATAAAATCCGTCTCTGAGACTGGCTGGGAGGCATGACAAAAATCAACTATCACACGTCTCATATGTGTAATTACCATGCTAATGTCGCATGTTGTTTTATTTCTCATCTTAATATTTCCTAAGTCATTATGCCAATAAGGTGTAGAGTACAAATACACAGGGAAAATTGCTGATGGTCAGTTTCAAATGAAACAATCATTGGAAAATTCATACAAATTGTGATGACCAAAAGAATTTAAATAAAAACTACTAACACAATACTATTCACAAGTTATTTATTTTGCCATTATCTTCAATATTTTTATTCTGTTCCACTGTAGGAGCATCTGATTACAGTGTGTGTATAATGCTATATCAGTTATTATGTATATCTAATGTTTGAGTACATGTATATCAATGTCCCTATTAGTTTTTCACACAGGCCTGTTGTTTGTTTGTGTCCCACAACCTTGATTGCCAGGAATGTCTACAAGAAGTAACATTACTCTTTATCAAATGGGACAGTGGATTAGCCTAGCGTTTTTCAAAATGATTGCTCATCATGCCAAAGACCCAGGTTCAATTCCCCACATGGGTACAATGTGTGAAGCCCATTTCTGGTGTCCCCGGCCGTGATATTGCCAGAATATTGATGAAAGCAGCATAAAGTCATACTCACTCAAATGACACATCCACTAGGACATATATTAATCCAGGCAACAGCTTTGTGTATGGTATGTCATCCTCAGTAACAGGCTACGGTATACTAGATATCCTTTCCGTGGCCAAAACGTATGGAAATGTAATGATTTGGATTGTAATGAAACTTGGTATGCTTTTTCAAAACAATCAAGAATTCAACATAATGAAATATGAGCTCTCTAAACAGCAGACTCTTTCCTTCCTTGAACACCTGAGGTATACATTGAAGTCATTAATATATTCAGTGATTTAATCAAGTTCATAGTTTTAATATCTGAAAATATTACATGTATGTAAGGCAGAATTGTGCCTACATACCAGTGAAAGACATATCTTTCAAATACCAGCCTTCCAGTGTGTTGGCACGAAAAGTCCAAAATGACATACTTGGCGAAATCATGACAAAAATATTAAACTGGTGAAAAGCATGTTGAAAATTGGTTTATTTAATTTCATGTTGGTCCCTCCAAGAAACACATTGGCATTTTGTGTACCAAATTTTCATGATGGTTAAATATGATGTGGTTGTCCTGTCAGGTACAAGCCATTTGTGCAATGGATATTCACAAACTGTGACTAACCAGTGGTTGAAAGTGAGCAAGCCGTCCGGGTACGAAGACACCTGATAGTGATTGAATGCATGGGGTGGGTAAAGAGTACTCATGTCCTTCAGTCATGTCATGACAGATGAGCAAATGATACACGTTCCAGTACACATCAGTTAACAGCGTAGGCAAGCCATCCTGGTAAGAGGATGTACCATATGTGACCATCCTATCCTCTTTCTCCTGCTGGGTTGGAATGGTGTGCTGTACGTTTCATTGTTTGTTCACAAAGTACATGGTGGTGCAGTGTTACCTGCTGGACAACACTCAGGTGCATGTCACTCCAGTAAACCAGATATACCATTCAGTGGTAGAGATGTGCAAATGTTCAGCTTGATCAGCTGACTGCAGACCTTGTGGTTTTAGAGATAACAGATTAAGATGACTGACACTGCATAATGATAAAGAAACATAAATAAGTTTGTAATTGTTTATTTCCATCTTGAAATAAACTTATTATAATGAATTATAACAAAGAAATCTGAATCTTCTTCAGAACAGAGTAAAAGCAAGTATGTACCGGTAGTAGTTGCTGTTATGTACATACTTACTGAATGCCACCATCATGGACCTGCAAATGTCTGCCACAACCATTACATGCAATTAATCAGTGAACATGAAGACAGAAACATCCACAAATCATCTCAAGGCCATCACATCACACAAGATCTTCCCAGAATCTCAGTCTATTTGAGTGATACATTAAACATAAAAATGTGACCTGACCAAGGTTCCCCAGTGTTTTACCACAGTCTTGCAAAAGGAACAAAACTAATTCTAATTTAACTGACAAGATGTTTTTAAAACATGTATTTGTATTTTTGTTCCATTACAGAAGAAAAGAGATTAATCAGTGTGTTTGTAGTTTTATTTTGACTACTTTGTTGACATTAAAAGCCTTCATGTGAACACAAACTTACTAAAACCTGAAGAACCATATCTTGAAGACAATGGATCCAACTCTTGTGAATCTCCTGAGAATCTGAATTTCTCTGTATACGTTATAATATTTATGAAACAAATGACAAATAAAATCTGATTGTTTATTCCAACATTGAGAGTTGATCACCTCCACAGATGGTCATGTCAGGTGAACCCTTCACACCCACTCTGAATGAAGGATGCGTACCAAGCCTCAGTGCTGTTTGGTCAAGTGGAGAGTTCACTGGACCCAACCTTCTGTGGAGGTGTCCCCAAATCTTGATGCAGGGAGGTGTGATACTGGACAAAAGGTCAGGGCCCTGCTGCACAAAGCTATTGTTGTGTCTATGATAAACATAGTACTAAGACTGCTATGTGCAACAGCTGCCTGATTTTAATAACATTGAAAATGCAGACCATTTGTATTTTAAACAGATCAGATTCATTCTAAGTGAACAGTGTAATAATCATAACAGCAACTCTTGTGCAATTTCATGTATTTTGTTTGCCATTAAAAAACTAAAACCAACAAATAATGTCATGTAATATCTTCCAATTACTATCCAACCAATCAACTAAAAGTCGTAACAGTTGTCAATCATGTTTCATCCCAGACAACTTTTCAACAAGAAAATCTATATGACAAAAAGAAACAATGCTTTGATGTTACCAAGTGATTGTATCAGTTATGATGTAGATAATGTAGATATTGTCAATTTCCACCTGTCAGCAATATATCTCACAGTTTCTGAGTGTTTGGTTACATAGATGTAACAAGCTACAAGTTGGAACTTGGTTGTGGATCAATATATACAGGGACACTGAAACTGCATTGGGACATTGTAACCATAAGCATTTTCCACAAACAGGAACATTTGTATGAAATATAACTCAGAATAGGTCCCAATACAATTAATAATAGTATCTGGTACGGAATATATTAGAACATTCATGTAACTTGCTTAAAAGTATGAGTGAAGAAATTCAAAAGATGTCTGTGAAAAAATGCTGTAGTATACATGACCATGGTTTACAATGACCATATGTTGGTGCCGTGCAGCACGTCACTGTTGCAGGTGTTGGTTCCATTGTGTTGGGTCTGATGTCATCTAAGTAGAAGTACACGGAATGGAGATGCAGCAAAGTGGTTCTCACTTTCCTGAGTAATGCTTCCCTCCCTGAGGACAAAATGAAAGCTTCAGATGAAATCATGCTGATAACTGAATAAAGATCACATATAATGTCTTTACATGCTGTCACCATTGTGGTCTTACTCTGTGAACCTGCATGTGTCAGACAAATGGGCAGGTTCCCCTTTATACAATCTCACACAGCTCCATTTTCTTGTCTTCCTTTTAACAGCTTAATTACCTTTTCAAGACAATTCTTACCTTCACTTTGTCTAGTTCAGATTTTAAGCCATGCACTTTTGATTTTTCCTTCTCCAGTTCAGCAGTCAGTTGTGAGACCTGCAACAGAAAGATACCATTGCAGCAAGAAATCTGTCAAACAAAACTTACCAAACCTTCCAAAAATAAAATGAAATGGTTTTGAAAGACTGCTTATAAAAGCTGAAATTATATTGATTTCTGGATATATACAGTTATATACAGGCAAAATGTGTAAACTACTTGTCGATACTTTTATTCAGACATCATGGCTATTGTTCCATTGTGATACCTGTCTTGTTAACACAGCTGTATCTTTTCCACACAACCATATACACTTTCAATCCTGCCTCAACATCAACACACAACCTCCAATAAAATTTGGAAAAAGGGGAAAGATGTTGATCTTTTGACTGTGCTGCACAAGCACACACACAATCATGTGCCTGATAAGCTCAAGTGCGGTCGACTACCGCTACAACCTACCAGCTGAATGCTGAACAAGTCCCAAAATTCATCCTGTGATGGTACCTGTTACCCGTGTCTGGTCATTTAATCAATCTGAGTTAACTCACCTGCTCTGTTAGTTCATCTCGTACTTGTGTGAGGTCTTCTAACTGCATCAGAACTTGGGCCTTGTCTTTCACTGTAAATCACACACAAATGTTAAATGACATAAATGCCAGGCAGGAGAATGATGACACGATGAGAGATATGTACTTGAAAGTTTCATGTCTTTCAGGGTCTATTACCCCCATCTTGCAAACATACATCCCCACTGACAGATTGTCAGTCACCGCGATAACACTGTCCAATATATTTCATTTCTCCCTATATACCATGATCATCCCTACTGAACCTGTTGTACATATTACACAATGAACATGTTTCAGTGAGTTAATCCTGCTCTGTCCTGTTGGGTAACGTGTTGGTTCTGGAGTTTTAACTCACTTTCTCCTTGAGCTAATATCACACACAGCTGCTTGTTCCTTTTCTTTACTTGCTTAAACTCCTCCTGTACACGGGAAACAAAACATAAGACATTTTTAACACCATGTTATCAGTAGGTGCAGCATTGGTAATTGGCGGCCATTAACCACGCCGCAAATATGAAAGTCTCTGAGTAGGGCTGCGTAATATAACCGGTTTACCAGTATTTACCGGTTCAGACATGAAAACGATACGTATTGCGATACGCTGGTCAAAAACCGGTATTTTGACTTGCATTCAGAAAACTTTGTCACACTCGGAAATCTTCGGATATGTCCTTGTTTCATTTGTGCCAAATATTATTCACATTTTTATTTTATCATGATTAAAAGTTGTTATTAAAGCTTAATCAAGCCTAGTGATTTTGTTGTGTTTTTGCTTTATTAATCAAGAATTAACTCGATTATAAGTAGTTTTTTGTTTAAAATTACTTCATGCAATATATTGCAATACATATCGCAATACATGCTTTCGCATCGCAATATATTGCAATATGAAAATTCTCTGCAATACCCACCCCTATCTCTGAGTGAGTTGTCTCTTCTGTAACACATTTATAGGCAATGTTATGAAAGAAGACACTACAGGGAACAAGGCTCACAAACTATTTATATAATGTATACAAATCCATTAAAAACCAATAATCCACATTCAACATACAACATATCCCTAACGTGCTAAAGCAAGTGTCCATCTCACTGAAACTAGTGCTCACTTCCACTACATGTAGAGCATATAGATGATGATCTGTAATAACATTAACTCCAGTTGAGTTGTTTAATGTTGTTTGTCTGTGTTGTCAGTTCACAACATTCTACAAGCCACCAGTAAACCAACTACAACCAACAAAGAAGCTACCTCAGGTGATATCAACCACATTCAATGTAGTGACTGGTACATAGGTAAAACATCCCAGCAATTGACCATGAGAATCGAGGAACATCACACATCTGCACACAAAAATGGCTCTAAGTCTGCCATTTCCAACCACATCCATCCTAATCATACCATCCTCTGGAGTGACATTAACATCCTTGAAGCCAACCGACCAGACTACATGCACAACTACTGTCAGCATTGTCACCACACTGTGCATCAACCTAGGGATAAGGATATATGGGCATCACTCTGCCAGCTTCAAATGACAATAGTGACACACAATCAAGCCTTTCCAGTCCACCCAATCCCCAGTCTCACAACAACCCAAAGTACTACCCTGCTATTGATTCCCACAACATGCACAGACAGCAGTATTGCCTGCATCACCACAAACCATACCTGTAATGTTTCTACTTGTGCCTTTAATTCAAGAATTTCTTTGTCTTTATTTGACAGCTCTTCCTGATACTTTGTTGTCATGGCACTTTCACGGACATAGTGCTGTAACAAGAAATCATGGGTTAATACAGACATATTCTACAAGCGGTTGGTTGCTAACTCTTAAAGCACCAGATTGGTTTCCTCAACACAACAGCCATGAAAGTCAGATTTGTCAGGGGTGATTTTGCCTTTCTTGTTAAAGTTAGTCATATATCCACATGACAAGTAATGCAGCTCCATGTGTAGAGGGTAGTGAGGGAACTAGTCCCTGACCAACTACTCACTTTTTTGTATTCTTCCTGGATCTTCTCCTTCTGTATAATTCTGTGGACATCATTTTCAACTTTGTCAAAGAACTTGGCATCGCCTTCCCCCATTGCTACTGCTGGAACTCGGGGCACTGGGATGTTATCTAAATCTGAAAAAGAACATTGGATTTCCAGTTGACTAATATTTTGATGTTGATGTCAGCATTGTCAGCTGTTGATGGAGACTGGAAATATAAAAATACCTGTTATAGGGAAATTCAAATGTCAAATCAACTTGTCCTTAGGACATATAATGCTCACCACAACAACAAGCTGAAAACACACAATGTTTACCTTCTACAGATATTTCCATCTGTCCTGTATCAGTAATTATTCCGCCTAAGATTAATGTTCCCTGATAAGATTTTTTTTTGTAAAGATGTCAGCTACCACACAAGGTAACAAGTTATACAGAACAAGGCCATCAGTATTGATTCATTTGCCAAGTGCAAATGCACAGCCAAAGGCTCTTGTCCAAAACCAATTCACTGTTTGATTACACAATATACTTTAACTTTTCAGGACTCTGATCTATATGTTCATTTGATGCAAAATGTGATGTGTGACTGTCCAACATACATAATGGAGCACCTGTCACATGTAGTATCAAAAACATAATGGTACTGCCAAAAATAAACATGAAGAATGACACTTGAGTTCTACTTGCATTTTTCTATCTTTTATTTCACTGCAATTTGATGAGAAATTGATGCAGTGAGAACTGGTCTAGGATACTAGTCCTCAAACCCTGAGTCAGTGAGGATTAACATTAGATTTTCATTTTATACCCATCTAAGTTTAGTGGACTAGCATGAATTCTGAAAGCTGATCTCACATTGTCCCTATGTGACTGGTGCTCTCTGTTATCACATGACATACTTACCGTCCACATCATCAAGTGGAGCATTTGCCCGTTGGTTGAACTCCTCCAGACTCATGGTGTGTGGCTTATCCTTCTTCTTCTTGCTCCGCTTACCTTCCTTGCTGTCGGTAAGGAACCCATTACTGCCAACTGTAGCGCCATTTTCTACTTTTCGCTGAGTAGAAGAAAGGATAATTCAAAAACTGAATAACTGACATTGAAAAACAAGTATGCATTACTCTTGATGTTGACATCAGACCTGTTGACAAACCTACTAACTCCCTAAAAGCATGTCAGTCCCTTCAGTTTTGTAAAAGATTTCCTCAAGATATCATCACAAATCTTTCCAAGTACAGTGTTTGTAAATCATCTTAACCTTCTTAATTACCAGCTGTTGGAATGATATGTGAACCAACAGAAGTGAGTCTAGCCAGAGTATAAGCAGTAATGTAGAAGTACATGCCTGGAACATAATGCACGGAGCTTGATACTGCTGACTAGAACATGACCACATGACCACTTACACGGCCAGACATGGCCACTAGACAGACCAAAGAATTCAGCCCAGACCAACAGAGTCTACGCTAGACTTACCTGCTTTTCAAGTTCAAAGTCCACTTTACTCTGTAGTAAAGCTTGTTCAAGATCCTTTTCATAGACATCTTTGGCAAACTGAAATTCAAAACATGCCTTAAAGTGAAAACTGGGCTACATTTTCTTAATATACCATAACCTTCAGCTTGCTTAGATCCACACTGTCCAGAATCTAATGTAGCACTACTGCACTTCTTCACTAAAATATTTGAAAAGGGATATATCTTAGATTATAAGTGCCTGTGACAGACAAAATGGGAAAGAGACATTTGTAATTGGTAATCTTCTACTATTCCTACAGTCCAAAGTATCCCGACATTACATTCTACAATTAAATGTCAAACCTTGCATCAAATACAAAGCCTTCTTATTTCAAGTTGATGCAAATCTAGTGAACTTCCGTTCAGTCTGTGTAGCTCAAACAATGGAAGTCCCAAAATATGTCCCAAAGTCTCCAACACGAGTTAGGTCAAGAAGACTAAAGACTAATTGTACAGACATATACTGTGGGCATACAAGAATCATACTGTTGTGAGATAATAATTTAAAACCATCTTAGAAGTAGGGTAGAAGCAGACCTAGCAAGCTTTTATGTCTCATCCTGGACAGTTGGTGACAGTTTATATCCCCTTACATCGGACACTGTCCTTATTACCACAGTCTGCAACTTTATCAAATAGTCTGAAGACTCAGTGGAGGATAATTGTTAGGTCTTCAAAGCTCAGCTAAAAATAGCCCACTAAATAACACTAAACTTTACTGAAATTGAAGCGATTAGCCAAGTCTGATTTAGTAGTCTCAGAAGTTTTCATCACAATGGACAAAGACAGTCATAATTGGCACTAAAACATGCAAAATGTGGAGAGTAGCCTCTCATTAGGCAATTACCATACCTCCTCGTCCTTTTGCCTCCATTCCTCCCATTGTTCAGGTTTGTTTTGCTGACCTCCTGATTTCTGTTTCTTGTTTTGCTCGGAGGAAGAGTCCTTGTGTTGCCGAGGCTGACGAGTGCCAAATGCCAACTGCTTCAACTGCATCACAAATAAATTTTTAACTAAATGATAATTAAAACATTATGATATATCTATTAGAATCTAAATATCAAATTAACATTCCCATTTCCACAGAGTGGAGGTGAATAACTGAAGAGTAGTAATCACTTTGACTGTTGTGAGAACTATCTAAGCACAGGACCGTGTAACTAATATTCTATACCAACAACTGGCTTTGTTTGCACATTTGTTAGAACAGATTTAGTTACATCGTTCTGTGATTCAAGCCATATCAGTGGGCCAGGGTGTTACCTTGCCCTACAAAACTAGGAGTCCAGTGGCCGTATGCATATGTCGGGCGTAAATTCTAGTCCTGGTGTAAGTAAAATGTGCGCCTGGGCGTAACGTTAAACCAGTATGCATATCTTAGATGTAGCTAAAGTTACGCCAGGTGTAGCGCTCCATGTTTACGCCACCTACCCAGCAGGCGTAGCCCTGTAATGGCGACAGTTGTATACCAACATCACAGACGATAGTTCTACAGAAACCGTATATTTAGAGAAAGGTCAAACCCTTTAGAAATATCCGACGACCTTGATCTGTACAGAAGATTTACATTCAGGAGAATTGAAATTTTCAAGATAGTGGATACAATCAGGCGTGATAATGATTATGGCTCGTACCACAATTCCACCCTTACCCCGGGAATGCAGGTACTTGTAGCCTTACGGTTATATGCTACGGGATCATTTCAAAATGCAGTTGGGGAAACCATCAATGTTCATCAACCTATGGTTAGTCGAACAATTCGCAGAGTTTCATTGTACCTTTAGCGGCGAATGAATCAGTGGGTCTACTTTCCCAACCAAAACAAACTGAAATACAGTTTTTACAACATGGCAGGGTTTTCCAGTGTAGTAGGATGTGCCGTGAAGTTGTTTCGCGCCTTTTCCTGGTGGTTTAAACATGTTAGAAAATCTAAAAATAGCACACTCGCCTGGACGTAAATCCGTCAAGTCGGGCGTAGGAACGCTTTGGCTTAACCGACGTTGTGCATGACGTGTAAGAGCAGGGCGCTGCTAAGCTAAAACGTAGTGTGTTACGCCTGATGTGAGCTAAGCCTGACATGTGCATACAGCCAACCCCTTATAACTAATCTCAAGGATCCCTACAGGATGCATTAGGGTCCAGTAAAGTAATCGGGTTGTATTATGTAGTGTACTGTACTATAAGATATAAGAATAACATTCATAATAGGAACTTTATAATGCTTGTCCAGAATTCAGTTCAGTAAATATTATTGTGCGCCCCTTGCGACACAACATATATTTTTTCTTCATCCATTCTATACTTTTGTGCAAAGTAAATGCACATTTGAGTCGCATTAAACACTGGAGGCCTATAAAAATCAAGTTTGGACCAAGCTCTGCAAACAGTCTGGTGAATAATGCTGAAGAGGTTGTTGTCGACACAGGTATTACAGGTATGTACCCATGGTACATTTTTGTATTCAAAATGCAGTTGGGGATACCATTTGTATACCCTATAATAAGTCAATATTGCATTGCCCAGTGCACTTAACCAGTTCCTTAACTCTTCAGATTCTGAATCTGAACTGTGCAAAGTTAACACACACTGACACATGTACTGTACTCTCATATTCTACAATGCTGTAAAACTTGTATTCTGCATGTCCTCATGACCAAGCAAACCAGAACAATAGCATGAAAGGGTTTTGGTTTCAGGTTAAGGAATATGGACTAGTCTCCTATTTGGGGTTCTGGCTTCTTTTCTGTATTCTGACTTAGGCTAGGGTATTTTTTGTATACTAAAGCATACCTGGGGTACATGTACAAAGCCGTAACCTAAATTCGTGAATAACCTTGATTCGAGGATATGCGTTAATTATCAGGCTATCTTGTAAATTAAGTCTCGTATGAAATCACGAAGCTGTAAATTTGAAGAACACACACTGCCACACCTCGCTGACAAAAATGTTCCAAATCTCTGCATTATACATAAATACACTACAATCTAATTGTCTAGCACCGAGACAAAAAGCCCAAGATCACTAATGCCACTAATACCAAATTTTATTTTTACAAAATGTCAAGCAAAAAAGATATTGTTAGCACCAACCTTCTCACACCTCGTCGTTTGCTTTCCTAGGTGTCAATACTTATTTCAATGGGCTGTCATACACAGTGATACATTGTATCCGACTACGTAATCCTTGAAACAAGATGACGTCTCGTTTTGTGTGCACACGAATGGGTGATGATTGCAAATGGCTTCGTTAAACAAACGTTTCATTCATGAGTGGAATATTAGGCATTTTCAATTTGCTGAATCAATGAATAAAATAATCCGTGAGTGTACAAAATGAAACCTGGCATTTAAAATATGATTTTTGCCACATTTCCCTTACATTCACGAATCAAGATTACACAACTGTAGATCTGTACCTAATAAGTTTATACCAGTGGTCACAACACCTTCGTAGTAATAACCATTGATTAAACTGAGATATCCTTATTAGTTCACTTCTCGTTTCAAACATGGGGAAAATGCAGACCGACTTTCCTTTCTATTTAATAAAACATAAAAAATATTCTTAATAAATTCAATTATCTCATTTTCAAAACACAGCATCTTCGAATTTGAGAACCCTTGGGTGCGATTATAGTATATGTTCGCCACCTTATTTTGTAACTATTTTACCATGTTTTCCAATAGTCAGAATGTATGTTTAAAATGATATTAAAGCGTACGGTAAAATAATGTAGAAAACGAGCAGTGAATGATACTCCCAATCTTACTTCAGAGGTTTCTTGTTTCTGTTTCGATTTGTTTTTCTTTTTCTTTGGTTGACTTGGTTGTTCATTTGGCTTCGCCTGTTGTTTCTTTGATGACTTTCTGTCATCATCACCACAGTCATCAATTGACAATACTGAAAACCTTGACTGAGCAACGGATATTGACTTTGCCATTGTAAACCGAACTTCTGCACATGCGAAACGCAGATAACTCTAAGAAAACGTTATACAAGGGAGGTAATTTGTTACGACTAAGTACCACTAAAAAGATTTCTAACTGATGCTAGCATGGAGTATCCATGACGTTTATTATTTAGATATTTAAACAGGCTGTCTGTATTATGGCGATCTGACATTGCTGATCTGAATGCAGATGGATGTGTGCCATTAATAAATTCGTCCTCAAATTCTGAAAAGTGTAATAAATCGCAATGACTACTGGATCTGTCTCGATATTTTGGGTGCCCTACAGGCAACTGAATTCTAGCCCTGACTGTAATAACTATCAAAACCCTAAACAGCTCTGCTTAGTGTATGGTTTTCTATACATGCTATTAATAGTCTGGTAGGATGGGTACAGCATTCAAGTCCCGTGGAAGTTTTGTGATGAGAGCAAGACATTGTGTTTTTTGTATTCATCAGACATGCTAGTTAAATAAAAAGTTTGGTTCCAAGTTGAAATATGGTGCAAATAGTACTTTTTTGAGCACTGTACAAAGTGGTTGTGGAAAAGGTTGCTAAAAGGTCAGAAGGTCATAATGGGAGAGTTGAATATTTAAAGTTTGAGGCTATTAACTTTATCCAAGTGTGTTCCTCTATTTCATGAAATATTTTATTAAAAGAAAACCCCCAAATATATATTTTTTAAATTAAAAAAATACATATAATGAACACTCCCTCTCTCAAAATGGCAGCTAGCAGACGAATTTAAGCAGATGTAGGTTTTGTGCATTTTGTAACTATATGATTGCTTCATTTCATCAACTCAATGTAAATCTAGTTATTAAAGAACAGTTATGTGTGAAACAAAAAAGATATGTTTATTTTCGTTTGGTGAGACTGTCAGTAAGGGAGCAGTCCTTATTTCAAAATGTAGTATGTCAATATCAGATTATGATTTATCAATTTCTTATTATTACGCTTGAAGCTTTTCTTCTAATTGCAGAGTTCTTTGAAAATAGATAAGAATATAATGAAATGATGGGGAGAAAACACTATTTTCTGCTTCACACTTTCTCATTTAAATCCCTTGAAATAATTGTCAAGTCATCAGATCGAATAACTTTCTAAAATGGTGATAATCTTTGAAAAAAAAAGATATACAATATATATAATGTGGGGAGAAAATTTTATATCAGCAGGATAGGAGAAGACACGGTGTCCATATTTAGCTTGTTTGACTTTGGGGATCTGATCTGAGAGATCTAGATGGTGCATAAGCCTGAAGAAGATCTGAGAATTAGACTGGAGCCGTGTTAGTCATGCACTGGTATGCGAGACAGAATAGTTTGAAGGAGATTCTTTGTTTGACGGGCAGCCAATGTAGGTCCTTTAGAGTTGGTGTGATGTGCTTTTTTCTGGTGATCTGGGAGGTAATGCGAGTAGCTAAATTCTGTATGCATTGGAGTTGGTCAGTGACACAAGATGGAGATCCGGCCAAAAGGCTGTTACAGTAGTCCATACGAGATGTGACTAGGCTGAGGCAGAGAGTTTTTGAGGCATCTTTGGTAAGAACGGTCTGGCCTTTGATATTGTGGAGATGGAAGTAGCAAGTTTTAGTAAAATACTTGACGTGTACTGTCATACTTAGATCTTGATCGATGACAACACCCAGATCGTTGAAATTGGAAGAAAGAGGAATGGTTGCTCCACAGACACACACACTAGTAATGTCACACTGCTTGCGTTTTCCAGCCTGTCCCAAAAGAATGGACTCTGTTTTCTCTTAATTTAATTTCAAGGCATTTGATGACATCCATGAATATCTTCTGGCAACAGTCTGATGTCTGACAGAGAGACGCTCTATAGCTGACTCTGTGTTTGGTTGAAATAACTTCCACAGCTGCGTGTCATCTGCGTAGAAGTGGTCAAGATTAAGGTTTTCTACAACAGAGCCAAGTGGAACAGTGTAGAGGGTGAAGAGGTTCGGACCAAGCACGGATCCTTGAGGGACTCCCTACTCAAGCCTAGATGCGGTTGACACAGACTCACCAACAACAACGGTTTGAGTCCTGTCCTGTAGATAAGATGCCAGCCGGGATAAAGCTGAATCCAAGTTCTGTATCAAGTCTTTTGAGGAGTCTCTGATGATCAGTCGTGTCAAAGGCACTGCTTAGGCCAAGTAATGTGAGCAGGGCCACTTGTCCTGTGTCAATACCACATCGTAGGGCATTCGGGATCTTCAGCAGAGCCGTCTCTGTGCTGTGGTGTGCTCTGCAGGCTGATAGGAACACCTCATAGAGGTTATGCCAGGAAAGGTGGCCCATGAGACGACTGGAGACTGCACGTTCAATGAGTTTGGATATAAAGTCTGAAACAGGCCTGTAGTTTTTTGGATCCTCCTAATCAAGGCTTGATTTCTTCAGATGTGGCCTAGCTAGAGCTGACTTGAGTACACTTGGGACATAACCAGATGAAGTAGAAGAGTTAATAATCATAACTAATGTTGGTAAATGTCAGTGAAACTATCAATATGAGTAAGAGGCGTGCCATCAAACATTTTTGGAGGAATATCAGCTTCATCCACAGCCGCAGAAGACGAAATCTTGTCATGAATGTTCTTGGATCTTTTTGTAGAAATAATCCGAAAATGTCTGTGCTATTACTTCATTGTCATCAGATGTCGGATGTGTCGATTCAAAGTGTTTACTCAAGATACTGAACAAAAGTTTGAACAGCAACTTTGGACTTGACTTGTTGGCTTCAATCTTAGAATTGAGATGTTGATTTGTCTGATGACCGTTGTTGAGTGATTTTTGGCTGAAATATACATTTGGCGATGAATCTCCAGGAAAGATTGTTTTCCATCTGCGTTCTGCTTTCCTCTTGTCTTTTTTCGCTTGTCGAACTTCAGGTGTGAAGTCCCAAGCAGATGTTTTAGTGACTGGTATGACTCTGTCCTTAACTGGTGCATGTTTGTCTATATAGCAGCTCAGATAGGACTCTATTGTATAGCAGAACGAGACACTCAGCATCAGATGGTGGCTCAAGTATAAGGTCTGAGTTTAGCAAATTGTCTTTAAAAGTATCGATATCCAGGAAGCGCATGTTCCTACAACGAGTAATCTTCACATTTGGACTGGGTATTGAGAGGTCCAAGCTCACAAAGATATGGAAATGGTCAGAGAGCTGTAGATCCTATACAGGTACACAACTGACACACGCGTCTGAAGCACGGGTAACTATCCAGTCAAGAGTGTGTCCACCTCTGTGGCTTGCCTTGGACACAAGTTGTACACAGTTGTGGACTTCAAGGAGATTAATTATTCGTTTAGTGTCATGGTTATCCTTGTTGTCAAAATGGAAATTGAAGTCGCCTGCAATGATAATAGCTATTTCGTCAACTTATCCAATCTGTGCCGAGACGGTGCCGAGCAGTAATTGCTGCCAATGGTGGCCATACATAGAACTGACTTTGACGCCATCTTGTGGACTCAAGCAAACAGAAACACAACAGTAAAGGCTTTGTCTATAGACGTTTGAATTTTCACCTTTTTACCATTGGGATTACATGAAATAATAGCTCTTAAACTATTGAAGAATTTTTTCTAAAAATGGCTTGTGCGTTTCTTTTTTTGAATTTTGAGTATATTTCTGGGTCGCAGTTTCATGTAAAGACCTCTTCTATAGTTGATAAACAGGGTAAAAAGTATATTCCTTTTTCATATTGTACTAGTTCTATACAAAATATATGCCTTGTGAAGAAAAGAGGGTTTTACTCATCATTATAACATTTAGAGCTAAAACTGACTCTTTAATGTAAATTTAAGACTAAAATCAAACTAAAAAGATCTGGTGACTTACAGCATATGAGAAATATATTCCGTAACCAAATATGCATGGTATTTGATATTAAAACCATTGTTTTGTTCCGTGTTTTTGCAACTTTTTCAGTTCCCGGTTAAATTTTGGCGGCCATCTTGGATTTTGAGCTAAAAATAGCTTTCGCATCAATATTCAGATTGGAACCAAACATTTTTTTAAACTCCTTTAACATATAAACACAAAAGAATATATGATTTGCTTTCATCAAAAAACTTCCACGGAATCCCATTAGCTCTTTGACTATAAGAACTGCACCATTTTAGGCAAGGATAAATATAAAGACTGAACACGAGCAATAGCTTATTGTTTCGGCTGGTTTTACTCAAAACAATCTTGTTCACTTTCCCAAATTGTAAAAAATAAATTAACAGAAATGTTCTCCTCCGTCTCTCCTCCGAATCCAGCGGGTGTCCCTCATCTTGGACTATCAATGTGTAAACAATTCTACGTTATACTGGTGACCGTTGACTATATCATTTGTTGATATGTGTTCAACACAAACTTGATTCCTACCATTGAACACAAATTCCTCTCAACCTATTTCTATCATTTCTGTAAACTGATGATAAATGAACTCCTGCTCTACCAAAAGGTGCATCGATCTACCCTTGTGTCAAGACTGATGCAGAATATGCCATTTCTACCTCAGGAATATCGGATGCTGCAGCAGCCTTTGTCCGCTTCCTTATATTTTCCAGGCTAGACTACTGCAATAGTTTATTGTCTGGAATATCAAAAGAATCCATTTCAAGACTTCAACGCCTACAGAACACTGCAGCACGCATAGTGCCTCTTACGCCCAAGTTCTCCCACATACAGCCAGTTCTAATAATTCAAAGTACTAGCTGTCGCATATCGATGTCTATATGGTACAGCACCAACTGATTAAGCAATACCACCCAACCAGAACACTAAGATCCGTAACTCAGTTTCTCAGTACTGTCCTAAGTGGCGACTTAAAGGATTTGGTTACAGACGATTCCCCACTCAAGTTGCAATCCTCTGGAATTCTCTTCCTGAAGAGTTGAAAAGAGCACCAAGTCTTGATGTTTTCAAGTCAGATCTAAAGACCCTGCTTTTCAAGAAATACTACGACTAGTTAACTAGTCAAATTTGTAGCGCTATGAACATACCTCCTGGCGTGGAGTTTAGCGCAATACAACTGGACTCATTATTATTATTATTATTATCATTAAGGCCAGCGTTGACAGAAACCACACCTGTAATTTGCCCGACTGACAGGTGGCAACAACAATAATATAATACTGACGGAAAATATTTTAATATTTATATTCTTCATATGTTTCTGTTGAAGCGAGGGATTGGTGTGTATGTTTTCTGTTTTCATCATTAAATTTAAAGCCATTTGGGTTCTGTGTTTGACAAATAGGAACACATTAATGATTGGACAGGTGAACTAAACTCTTGTAACCAAGTATCTTCGTTAATGTATCATGTGTGGATGTATTCTTTCCCAGTGAGTGAATAGTTCATGGTCACATTAATATGGCAACTGTTTATAACCATTTTCACTTTGTTTGTTGAAGTAGTACACCAAGATACCCATTAAAGATATACAAAGCGAACCAAACACGAGAAGATTCGAACGAGGTCAAAGGTGATTTCCTAAACCATTTCCTAGCAGCGACAGATGCTTTGAGGCAGTTTGGAACTGTAGGCAGTATGGGAATACACCTAAGATATACCACATCATGTATTATATATTATGTAATACACTAAACGCCCAAAGAAACGTTACCCGCCTACCTTTATGAATTACTGAAAAACTATCAAAGATATGATAGGAGGCATAAGTTTACAAGAAAGCTGAACAACACAGCTTTATGCAAATCACGAAAACAATTTCTCAAATGCATTCATATTTAGATGAAATTGTGAGTGTGTGAAATTGTAAAAGAATCATTCCTATGATTTCAGTCTTTCAAAACATTTTCTGCTGATTTGCATTAGTGAAAACAAGTAAAACCTGTCTTTGATATGTGAAAAAGTGTTTAGAAACATCTAAATTTTCTTTGTTAACATTTTTGCATGCAAAGTAACATTTTTCCATTTTCTGTGTACACATAGCAATTTCAGTCGCAAAAAAGTAGCAATAGTCAAGCAGTATTTGCATCCATTTCCAGCGTTCGAAATACCTGCTTGCCCGACCGCCCGGGACGGATTATTTTCAACACGGAGTGCCAGATTCTCAAATTCACCTGCCCGACGGTCGGGTTAAAATTTAGACATGTATGTAAAGATATTCATCATATTTCAGAATAATAAATCATTATTAATTGACTCGTAAAAAAAGGATGAATTCCAATTGGATGATAAACTACGTCGCTTGTCAAACCTAAATTAGTTGCGGGCAGTTAAGTTTTGGTTAGGGCTGGCAAGTTTTAAATCTAACCAACCCTGAGGTCTGGCTGAAATTTTTGGGAGTTTCATACCCTGCCATTTCACGTGTAGAATGATTCAATAGGGTATAAAGAGAGACTAGAATGCATGATATGATACACAAGTACGAGAAATACGCCACGACTAACAGCTGAAGAGAGAGAAAGAGCCATTGGGATGGTGCAGATTGGATCAACATACAATGTTGTTGCCAACGGCCTCGGATGCCACCGTATCACGGTTACAAGACTTATTCAGGGCTACAGAGAGAGTGGGGTCACCGTAGACAGACCAAGAAGTGGACGTCCACGCATCACAACGCCAGCCGAAGACAGGTACCTCCGTCACTAAGGAAGGAAGGTAACGTTTCTTTTGGCGTTTAGTGTATATACCTCTTTATTATGCAAGTATATTTTTGCGGCTACTTGATTGGTCTAGAGGCGGTCACGTGACCGTCGACAGAAAAGCATATTGACTCCAACCCAGGGCCCCGTTTCACAAAGCTCTCGTAGGCCTAAGATCTCGTAACTTTTCTCGTAGCATTCGTACCTCCTATGTTACAGTATAGCAGGTACCAATGCTACGAGAAAACTTACGAGATCTTAGACCTACGAGAGCTTTGTGAAACGGGGCCCTGGTCCGACCAAAAGTCATATTGACTTGAGTTACTATGATGTCAAGCTATGACGTCATTTTATTGTTTACATGTCACAGTATTGTTGACATAACGTTATTGGTTTGTAGTGAAAATAAAATTACTTTTCTTGACTAAAAGGACATGTTTTGGATTTTAGAAGCTTTTTTTTCAGTAATTACATAATAAAACAATTATAGACTGGCGAATTCGGTCAATACCTGTTTTTATGGACCCACGAAAAGCAATTATATGATATTGACCTCGGACTTTGTCCTCGGTCAATATTGCTTTTCGCGGGTCCATATAAACAGGTATTGACCTCTTGGCGTAGTCTCCAAATGCCTACAGTGACAAATGCCTACAGTGTAGAATAAACAAAGTAATGCACCAGTGATTTCAAGCAGCAGTATCTTCTCCCCATTACATAAATGGAACATTCCAACAGACAAGGTAGACAAATGCCTACACAATGAAAAAATGCTGGGGGGTTTCATATATTTGTGAAATGGAACAATAATTGAATTCATATCTTTACATCTGACAGGGTCAAATATCTTTACATCATCTTATGCATATTTTGACTGGCAAAAAGTCTGAGAATTTGTTTTACTCCATCTTCACTAGTCGACCAACAGCACTGAGAAAGTCCGAGGGAGCCTTCACATCAGCTCGTAGCTTCACCAACGCAAGGGTGTTTGGATGAGCTCTCATGACGACCTTGTTCAGATGGGAATGCCACCCCTCGAGATGGTTGTTCGTGCGAGGTCCTAGGTTGTCATGCTGGTTCCAGATTCCGACTCTGTAGAAGGCATGGTCGTCAACCCAGGTGTTGGTGATGTAGTCGTGCCACAACGTTGAGAAGCCTGAGCCGATCACTTGTTGCAAAACACAGGAGTATGTCTTCTTCGCCATCATCAACACATAGAAAAGGCTGTCCATCTACTGTCTGCTTGAAGATGTCTGGAAGATTGACGTCAGCAAGAGTCTTGGGAAGTGGAGGCATGATCTTCCTTCTCTGCTTGTACAGGCCACTCTTCATGGTGTGGAAGGAGGGAATGGCAGCAGCCTCTTGAACATCAAGCTGAGCTAATTCTTCGTTATAGATCATCTGGATGGGAGTTGTCTCGGCCTGGACTCTCTGACGAAGTGTGCTTGTAATCTTCAAGGCAACCTGGTCTTCTGGAGGATGATTATGTGGCGACTGGTTACGGACAAACTGTCCAACTGTGGTACATTTGCCTAGACAACCACCTTGTACACACTTCCAGTGCACACGTGTCAGGCGCCGGTTATTCAGCCTGTACCTGTAGCCATCTAACAGAACTTGCTGCCCACCTTCCTGCGACGTGTAGAACACTCTACCTTCTTTGGATTCGCCATGATTTGAACCAAACTATGCAGAAGTCCCATTTTATTTCAACATGTTTCCTTCTCAAACTTACTCAGTACAAAATCTATTGCATGCTAAACAGAAGTAATTAAATTGCTTTTACATATATAGTTCCTGTTGAGAAAGATAGACAAATTGTATTGAAACAAGCAAAAAGGATACACAAGGCACTGCTTGTGCTGATATGATCAGATAATCTCTAGGAAGTTTTCATAGTGTAAACAGGTTAAACTCATTAGGGTGGAAGTGACCACTTGTGTGCAGGGAAGCGTATCACTGCTGCTCACCTAAAACAACATACTCCGTAGCTATGATTGCCTGTAGGCATTTGTCACTGTAGGCATTAAGAGACCTAACCGACCTCATCACCAGTCTATAATTGTATAATAACCTTTGTATTCGATTACAGTCTGTAGAATTGTTCATTAACAACAACAAAAACAACAAAAAGAACGTCCAGTTCTCTTGAAATTGTTACTTTCGACTTCTTTGCTTATGATAAAACACCAATGCAAAGAGATTATAGTAAGCACTACTTTTTAAATGAAATTAGCCTCAAAAACTAAATGAATCGTTTCGCAATTAACCGCTTTTACGAAAGCGAATTTAAACATGCTAATCAACCTGACGCTGTGGCAAACGCTTTAGGTTTGATTCTTCGTGACACAGGACACACACCTGGCATAAATTTTGATAATTATCAACAAGTTTTGTCACTTCTACAAACACACAGTGATTGGACGAAATTTGTTATTCCGCGAAGCATTTGCGTTTTGGCTATTCAATCAAGGAATGGAAATAATAGGCAATGTTAAGTGCTTTTATTATGGTTATGGCATTTTGAAAAAATAGCATTATATATAAAGATAGCTTTTTTCATATATGTTGTTTCGGTATAAGTATAAGATTTTAAACACTGGCTTTTTCTGCGTTGCAGTGTCTACGTCACTGCAGATATCAGCGTGTAGCCCTGCACTGTTCTCGTCCACTTGAACTAAGGTTGACCGAGATAAACAGCTTATAGTATAACGTATGCCATATACAGGGATGTACACTACACTACAGCGGGCAATTCACATCGTTCGCTGTCGCTACACCTGTAACACAACAATGTAAGGAATGGTCGTCTTTTATTAATCGAGTTTCCAATTTGTCGACAGATCTACATACTCACTGCATTGGTTTCACATATTCTTGGCAATCTTGCCTTGAGCATGTGCATATGGTAACATCTAGAGTCCCACATGATGACAATGTGCACAATCATTGCTTTTTATTACTTCCGATTACACACGATAACGCCAAAACCGTCATTGAAAAAAGATTTGTACAAAAGGAAGTCAAAGTTCGTGGCACAGTGTAACAATTCTTCACCAATGACGATCGGCCTTTACGCTGTTTTTTATTTTTGTTAACAATGGAAAGCAATATTTTCCCTGAAAAGAAATAAGTCCCTCTCAAGAATACCAAAAGCAGCATCCACCAATCTCACTTTCACCCCCACAGCGTCCTAGTGTCCTGTTACAGTGGAAAGAATCACCTTAATCTGCATGATATACGGTTGTCGTGTCATCCCTGCGGATACCGTGCAGTAGTGAATCCCAGGAGTACAGGCAACACAAACCTGATAATCTTCCTGCAGACATTACTGTTCTGCAAGTTGGAATACTTTAACTGACCCCACCTTCTCTACAACGTACAGCTTGTCTTCAAAAACACATACACCCGTGGGTTCTCGCAGCTGGTTAAAATCTACTATCGTTTGAATATACGTGCCGTCAGGCGATAACACGAGGACACGGTGCAGACCCTGGTCCGCTACGTAGATCCTGCACTGGGCGTCACATGCCACACCAAGAGGCAGCTCTAACGTTTGATTTTTCTTTCCGTCGTACACAAACTTTACAGGATTGCCGTCTGCTTTTGGATCAACTTTTACGACTGTTCCCGCGTTGCCGTCCGACGCTATAAAATCTCCAGTGGGTGATACAGCCATGTGTGATGAACACTCCAGCATGCATTTGGATTCTGCTGGATAATTGTATGATCGCTCAACCTCACCGTCGTCGTTCATCACGTAGATGCCACCGCCGCCGTTCCACCAAGCAGTGCTCGCTGCCCATGTTCGTTCATCAATGCCAGCAATTCCACGGAAATGGATTGTAGTGCTTATAGTTTTGAGAACCTTCATTTCACCAATGTCAAGGTCGACGGTAGCAATAACAGTACTTGGGTCGCTATCGAAATTAATGGTTGAAGCAATGAGCGTTGGAGACAAAGAAGTCACGGCGCTTACTAGAGGGACACTGGGGATCTTGCTCAGCGGCGAGCCCTGAGAGTCGAACAACTTCAAACCGTTGCTAAAATCTGACACAACGATCCTGTCTTCTCTTATGACAACAATATCTCGATTCCATACTTCACGGATGTCTTTCCTAACGCCGCCTGGAATCGTCTGTATCCGCGTGGGGAAGCTGAGCAACAAGGTCGCTGTCTGTGACGCCATCACAATACGAGAACCTGTAGGAAATGAAATAATTATATGGAATGTTTAAACAAACATCGTCATATGGCCAACTGGTATAGGAGGTTAGGGGTTAGGGATAACAGAATGTCTCGTTTGGTTCATAAATGATCCGAATCTAGACACGCCAGTTACCGATGTCTGCAGCGACCCCAACCGTTCGATGAGATCCCAATCCGGAATCGCACAGGGAGAAAACGCTTGGCTCTCTGGCAAATATTTTAGCTACATGGCGGCGGTTTGTAAATACATGTAATCGTGTCTGGGCCAGAGGTGAGGTGAAATTGCGTTTAACGTCGCGCTGGAGAATATTTCGCTCATATGACGACGTGCATGCGTGTGCATGTGTAGGTGCGGCTGCTTGTACTAGCCCAGACTGAAGCTGGTTTTATAGTGCTAGCTCACTGAGATACCATGCCGCAGTGAAGCATGAATACCCCACTGAGACACATTATGCTGACTCCGAGCCGCCCAGTCCTTGTTGTACCCATTAATGCCGAGCGCCAGGCAGGGTCTGGACCAGACATGCCCGTGGTTGACATCACGGTCAGCTTGCATCAGCCAAGTCAGCAAACCTCGCCACCAATCACGTTAGTCGCCTCATCATACGATAAGTATGAGTTGCTGAAGACCAATTCTAACCCGGATGCTAATGTTCAGGTCATTATAAGCACTGTATGTAAAGTTAACATAACGAAACAACGAAATTGTGTGATAATCTTTAAAAAGGTTTGATCTCTATATAAAGCAGTTGAGAATAAAATATACATACGCTACATATATTTTATCAAGAATCTTGGTGAGTGAATATTGCATGGCGCCGATTCACCGAAAAGGCAAAAAGTCTATATATACAGGTATGTTAACAAATGCAATAACATTTATGTTGAAGACGTAAAAAAGCATGTCACATAGGGCCTACTGTCATATACTATAAAATGCATAAATTTAACTCGAACTCAGAAATTCACCATCTACAACATATCTGCGTATATTTCAGGTCAGAAAACTTAAAAGTAAGGTTTAATTTAATAAAAGAAAATACATACATATCAAGGATACGAAGTTTTCACAAACTCATGCGGTTATATATTTAAACATTACAAACAGCACCCTTGAACCACACCAGAGAGGCGCTCATTGTGCCAAGGGAGGTAACTGAAATGCTACGTACGCGAGTTCGAAATTAAGATATACTTACGATAACTCCCATTCCTTAACCCACATATAATGGCATCTTGTTTTATTCTCCTGTTCCATATGCACTTTTCATGTCCAAACAGCTGACGTTGTGTTATTGCCTGTTTGTTAGGATCTGGTGTGCCCTGTGGTTACTTCCGTAGTCATATCAACAGACATTCAGAGGGTGACAACGTGATGTCCCAGCATATGATTGTTGACTGACATGCCGCTGAGTTGATGAACTGTGCTTGCCGTCAAGGCAAACGCTTAAACCACACAATGCTTATATACCATTATTATACGTGTATTCCTATTTATATCTCAACATGTCAAAACTGGATAGTCACGCCAGTCTCCCGGATCAGGGCAACCGGAACAAGATCGGGAAAATTCAATAAAGTGTAGTGTGAGCACGGACATGTTTCATATGAAACAGACAGGCTTGGGTTTGTTACCAATCTAATCGACTGGCAAAAAAGAAACTTTCACCCTGAATTCATATTGTAATAAAAATCATTTTGACAACTGATCTATTTCAAATGATTAAGTAACGACAAAAATGTATCCTTTAACATGTAGTCTCCTGCAATATGGAATCGAAAACCTACTTGTAAATTTACGAACAAGCAGTAACATTTCATGCAGATTGGTTTGAAATATTACATTACAAATAAACAGAAATTTAATAAATGTCTAACTTACACTCTTCAAAAAAGAAAAAGAAGAAAGAAACGCACAGGCCAAAAATAAGGAAATATATACAAAAGTCGATTAAGCTTGAACTTAGATGAATGTTAATTCGACACAGGGGTGAACATATGTATTGCTGTCATTGTCAGCATTAAATCAGTTCACAAACTGCACATGTGTGGACACAAGGGGCGTTCAGGTCGGTCAGTACTTGGTGACACCACCCGTTGCAGCCATCACTGCTCGACACCGCCTTGGAATGGATTGCACAAGTCGTCAGATTTTTGTTTGGGAAATTCTTGCCATTCATCCTGCAACGCGTTGGCAAGTTCTGGAAGTGTCTGAAGACGATTGTGACCTTTACGGACGCGTCAATCAAGTTCGTCCCCTAGATGCTCAGATCAGGCGATTTGGAAGGCCAAGGAAGGATATTGGCGTTTGCATTGGCGAGATAGGCACCTGTTGCACGAGCTTTGTAGTGTCGAGCTCCCTCTGGCAGTTAAAAGGTGGGAGGAAGTAAGGTCGCAGGATTTGGTCGATGTAGCGATTTGCAGTAAGATTGCCTTGAACACTACTAGCACTGATCTGACTGACTGACTGAGTTTGGTTTTACGCCGCTTTTAGCAATATTCCAGCAACATCACGGCAGGGGACACCAGATATGGGCTTCACACATTGTACCCATGTGGGGATTCGAACCCGGGTCTTCGGCGTTACGAGCCAACGCTTTAACCACTAGGCTACCACACCGCCCCAGCACTGATCAACCGTGTAGGACATTTCCCCCCACACCATCACACCATAACGTTTTCCCCACCAAATCTGTCCACCTGTTGAACGTAGTTCCGCGCAAAACGTTCGTGTCGACGTCGATAGACACGTTGTCTCCCATCCTGCTGGACCTTGGCGTGACTGTTGATCCTGAGCTGTCATTGGACCAGCACATTACCATCTTGTGCAGGACATGCTTCCTACTCCTCCGAAACATTGGAAACATTCGAAAGCTTCTCACAAAGGAGTCAGCTAAAATCCTTGTCCTCTCATTGGTGATGACAAGACTAGATTACTGCAACAGCCTCTTTGCTGGTGCAACAAAATCCCAGATTGGTAGACTGCAACGGGTTCAGAACACAGCAGCAAGAATAGTCACTCTCTCACCCAAGTCAGCTCACATCACCCCTGTGTTGAAGGACCTCCACTGGTTGCCCATTCCACAGCGCATCACTTTTAAACTCTGCATTCTCGCCTTCAGATGTCTCTCTGGAAGTGCACCTCAATATCTGTCCGACCTCCTTTCTCCATACAAACCAACAAGATCCCTCCGCTCCGAGAAACATAATCTTCTGTGTATTCCTAAAGTCAGAACAGTTAAATTTGGTCAAAGAACTTTCTCTTATGCTGCAGCCTCAGAATGGAATCATCTCCCACAACATTTGAGAGAAATGACAGAACTTTCAACCTTTCGAACATCGCTAAAGACCCACCTTTTCCAAAAAAGCCTTTTCGTCCTGACATCAGCGCTTTGAGCATGCATTGTGCATGGAAATATGCGCTTTATAAATGAACTATTATTATTATTATTATCCCGTTGTTGCAGGAGGAATCGCGATTCATCGCTGAACCAAACGCGTTGCCAGTTCCCCAGGTTCCATGCCTATCCCTGTTGCACCATTGGACACATTGGTCGGTGTAGTGACTAGTCGTGTCAGGACAGGCCAAGCTTTTGGTCGATATGCTGGAATTCCCACATCTCTCAGACGATTTCTGACGGTTTGGTCGGACATTATTCGAAGACCAGGCACCTGTCCTGCAGTGTCCGTTGCTGTATCGGTGACGTAGGTCACCCGGATGAATCGGTCCTGAGCAGCAGTGGTCAATCATGGCCTACCACTTCTGGGACGGTCTTGGGTCGAATTGAAGTGGGTATATCGATGCCATAATCGATATGTGGTTCTGTGGTGGATCTTGAAGTGTATTGCAACGGTAGACTAGAACTACCCTGCTTCCAAACGTCTAATGGCGATATATCGGTCAGTAGCATTCAATTTACGTTGTAAATTTCGTAATGAAATGATGAATTTGGTTTGGCCTTTTATAGTGGATATCTCTATTCATGTTTCCGACACATTGCACGTGCATTACGTGGAAAACCTTTTTTGTATGCATTTTCCAGGTATCGTTTTCAATTGTTTTGACAAACGTTTACAAACACATTTTTGGGATTCGTTTGTGGGCAATAGACAAAACCACGACATAATTAATGGGATTCAAACAAAGGAATTGCTGTCAAAATATATCGAAATGAACTGCTGAAAACGCCTACGTGTTTGTTTTTTTTTGTTGAAGAGACAGAATCTCTGGCAATGTTATCAGGTTAGCTCACTGCAAGGACACTACTGTACAGGTTGATGAAGAGAGGCATGGGCTGTGTGATTGGAGTCATGATATCTGTGGTACAAAGCTGCTCTTCTCGCCTGTTGCGGAAGATAGTAGTCAGGGGGTTCTATAAGGTGCAATAGGTCAAGCCTACTTCAACGATCAAATGTGCACCAACCCCGAACTTCACAAATTACAGAGGCATGTCTGTGTCACTGTCATTGTCGCAAGTTTTCATACCGTGTTCGTTCTAAATACTGGATAGTTGATGGTACCCTTCTCCTGGGTAGATTGTAGTATAATGTACTTAAATGTAAGTATAATTGTTTTTACACTGTGGCACCAATACGCTTACATAGATACGACTGTGGCTTTGGTATGACAATGTACTAATCATGAAACCTGAGTATGATTTTTAAAAAATCACTTAGAAATACAGATATTCAAAAGTGCAGCAAACTACGGAAACGTTTCGATCTCAAGGTTTCATAGACTATATATATTGGCCGGGAAAGTGAAGTTGAATCCCTTGTCAGTAACCTCGCCAACCCAAATCCTACAGAGCCCTAAACAACCCATCTATTACAGAGTGAATATGATTACTTGTTGAGTATTAAGTGCAGTTTAAAGTTACATCGGGTCCCTTCAGCAAACAGGTAATAACAAATTTGGTCAAATACAAATTTGCGATAAAGGGTTACATAATGAATTATCATATAAATTGAAATTTCTGGCTCCAGTTGGTATATATTTATGCACAGAGTAATCCAGTCTCCATTTAAAGAATAGGGTAGGTTCATGCTGCAAAACATCTGAAGGGCTTGTTCTATGTTGGATGTAACATTAATACTCGCAAACAAGAAATGTGTGTTCTCATTTATTAGTCAAAAGCAAAACTTAACAAAATATCAAAATAAAACGCAAAAAGGATATGTACGACCATTTACAATTCTATGAAGTTTTCAGTTGAAAACTGTCAACCTTCGAGGGACATATAAACATTCAAATTGATTTTTTTTCTCTGCCCATTTGTTTTCAGAAATACCATGTGACCGATCAGTTGCCATCCACAGGCTTAATCTGCTATCTGCCATGTTTGGTCTTTGTTTCATATTTGGATCGGGCTTGTTTGAAATCCTTGAACAAACTATCCCGTCTATCCTTCTGACGGACAGCTCTGTCAGGCTTTGCTTTCGGGCTGTCGCCATCACAACCATTGTCACTATCACTATCCAGAAGGGATTTCCGTTTTTTCCGCATCGATCTTGGTGCATTATCTTCACTATCATCTTCTAATTCTCCATTAGAGCTGTCACTACTATCATCATCGTCTTCTTCAGCGTCATTGTCTTTATCAATGCTCTCAGTATTTGGTTCAAGTGAAGATGGAAGTGCAGGAACACGAAGACCATCCTGATTGCTCTTGCTCACCCCTTGATCATCATCATTATTATCGCCATTATTTGAATCCTGAATTCTATCATTATGCCTTGATTTCTTTCTGCGCAAGGATGATCTTCTACCTTTACTTTTCAATGGTTTGTCCTCATCAGAGCTACTTTCTATAACTTTACTTGATTTCTTCACCCCTGTCTTCATGCCAACCACATGCGCAGTGTCGCCATCAATGGTTCCATCAACACTGTTAGTCTTCTTAATTAGTTTTTGTCGAAGCAATTTTCGGACATCTCCCTCCTCGTTTTGACATGTTTCCGGTAACCTTGATTCAGTGTCAGACCCTGATGAGGGCAGAATAAGTCTTCGGTTTTTCACACGATGCTTTGTCCTCTTCTTGCGAGGATCAGGCTGAAACACAAACACATAAATGGATACAGATGCTGATACACAGGTTGGTTATCAAGAGTACGTTTGATTACGAGGGGGCAGACAAGAAGGGCGTAGTATCATATGAGGTAATGCAAAAAGCCTTTGCTCTTTTAATGAAGCATCTTAGATTGATGATTGTTGCAGCAGAATTTGAACAAACTGCACAATAACAACAGCCTTTGTATTATTCTCCACAAACCTCCTGTGGTGTGTTGTCACAGAAGTCGGAGTCACTGCTGTCACTGCTGCTGTCGTCTTCCATCGCCAGGAAGCCATCTAAAGAGGAGCCCTCGTCGCTTGTGTAGGCCGGGTCGTGGTTGTAGCGGTGGTTGCTGTAATCAACACAGCACTGGTCACAGAAAAACTGTGATGGCAGGAATAGACTGACACACATAATGTATTTATACTTAGAAACAGAATTATACAGTTTACTTTTAACTAGGCATTCGTGTAGTTCTGAATCCTCGGAAGAGGTGTAAGCTTTAAAATTGACATGATTTGGTTTTTGAAATGTAACATTTCCAACAATGTAAATGAACATTTTTACAGAGCAGTCCACAAATATATCATATCAAGCCTATGATTCCTTTAGTTTGATATCATATACATTATGATGATGAAGTATGACTGGTGTTTCTAATTTATAGATGTTTTCTGGGTCTAGTAAGCAGGATGTGCTTTTTCACAATCCAAACTGACATCAATCGGAATCAGACACGCAGGATCAATGTTTTGTGTCTTTGTTCCACACGATTCTAAAGTACACTTATAACTTATGTTGTGTATCTGCTTGTATCTATGACATCCTCGTCTGTCTCATCAACACTTGTCAACATTACCATGATTAACTCATATCTTTACAATTACATGGATACTTACATTACACATAGAGAATAGAGAACGCTGTAGCTTGGGCTTAAGTTCATCTCGATCTTTATACACTTGCATTCGTACTGGAAGTTTATGTCTCCTGACTGTACTTACACTCGTGTAAAATTGTTGACTAGTTTTCTAGGCTTCAAGCCAGGATAGGTCTTCTCGGGGGTCTTGGTTGTCGGGATGGCATCCCACACTTCTTGTCGGGAGGGCATAGCAAACTGTCTGGACTGTCGTTGCTTTAGCCTGTCAGAGCTCCGAGAAGAGGCATCCTATAACACCCCAGTAAACACAGGACTACAAGCACAGAACAAATGAAATTAATGCTTTCCCGCTTTGTAGGTAGTAGATTGGAAGAATGGAAAATGTAAACTTTTGTGGTTTAAAGGGGCACTGATCCAGAGCAATTTCCGTGGACTGGTTGTTGCTTTTGTTATTGTTTTTCTCCAGTGAGTACCCGGATGATATCCCAGAATTCATGACTGGTTCGTTACCTCTGCTGCGCCACCCTCATGTGCAATTGATAGTATAAGTATAGACTGATCAACAAAGATGAAATAATTTTCCTTGATAATGTTATGTTGATTCTGTTGTAAAATTATGTAGACTTTGATGAATAAAAAAATATTCACTTTGATAAAAATGACTTTAATGTAAAATTTTGATTTCATAGTAATGTTGACTTTATAAAAATGTTAACATAAATGGATGTAGAATTTGATTTAAAAAATAGTTTGACCTTGAATTTGGTAAGAAGCCTGATATAATAGCATTGTTTTGACAGTAAAGCTAACTAAGTACATGGGGAGTCTTCGGGAGAAGTGAGCTTGGGTTCACTACTAGTCAATCTGAATGTTGTATTAAATGGCATTATTTTGATAACAAATGAAAACATTTTAAGTTTAACCATCTGCCAGTGGTAAAAAATGTTAGGACTGAATTAATGAAGTCAACGTATGTCTTTATATTTTGTCTTATAATCCTAATTAGTTTATTATCATGTGTGTATGCATTTTGAAACTTAATAAAATGCACACAATCTGCTTATACTTAGTGAATTAATAACATGACTGTAATATCTAGACATCTTATAGATTGCCAACGTGTATCATATTTCACACACACGCCCTGAGTGTGACCTAGTGTATGTTGTCTGTCTCATTACACTTCACGGCAAAAAAATTTATCCTGTTGAATGCCATAACAAATAAATAAAAACAAAAAGCAAATATTAAAATTTAAACAGACTAAAGTTAAAGCAACAATATCAGGCTATTACCTTGTTCGGGGAATGTATCCATCAATATTCACATAAAGGAATGAGATGCCATTCATCTGCAGCTGACAAAGTATCCTGTTCCATGTCATGTGTCTTTTAACAGTCTAATATGCGAAAAAATGATCTATCGTTTCAGGTTTTTCACATTGGTGTATAGTCCCATTGGTTGCCCAAGATAGCACACCTGGCAACTAATTGCATGATGTCCGCCATTCTTTAAATAAGTAATTTAGTTAGCCAATAATGAGCAATCAATCAATGTATTGGCGGTTAATCCTTTGAAGGAAGGACGTTGTTTTACAAACAGACTTTATGACAGGGTGTATTCTGTTTTGATTAGTAAATCTACATACATAAACACTACCTTTTGACAAATCCGCTGTGCAGGATAAAAGCAATTAATCAATCAGCATGTTATCGGTTAATCCTTTGATCGATGTTTGTTTTGTAAGTCAGCTGATAATACCTCTTACTGCACCTACATGCTCAAATTACATAAGATGTAATACATTTGCCACATCAGACCTCAATAATAATGGCATCTCACTCCAGACACAAGAAATGCCAAATGGGAACCTTTGTCGGGTAATCTGAGTGGTGTTGTCACTAATTATACCGGTTATAAATTCATTAACTGACCATCAACTGAATAATGACAAATAACATGTGTAGGTTTACCACCAAACAAGGGTTACAGCAAGAGAGAAGTAATCGCTGTATTGCATGCAAGTTTGATTGCCTGAAAAAAACACCTTATGGGCCGGCACTGTTTTGAGGATACGAACAGAACTTCATTGTTACATAAGAAATATATATAAGCATTTGCTGTGTACTTAGTTAAAAACTGTATATACCTATGTACCTAAGTAAAATTTCAGATTTTTTTTGCAATGGCAAAGTGGGGTTGTTTAGTTTATGGATTCAAATGTGTGTTTTTGATAGCATAGTATACGTAATAGACATCATATTTTTACATGATTAAATATCGAGGTAAAAAACACAGAAATAGGATCAAATCTGATCAGTCACTATACCATTAAACATTTGAAAATCTGAAAAAGCCTACACTGCTGGGATACTTTCTTACAATCAGACAAGAACTACCGGGGATATTTTCAAATAACGGCATCTGATGGGCATCCACCCTTCCTAATGTCCCACTGATTAGGTTGAAGAAATTCTGCCAAGGTGGACAGAAGCCCAGTTCCCGTGTCCGTCACGGTCGAGGGAGCAGGGGCTGACCAGTTTGCAGCTAGGTTTCGTAATTAGACTGTTTGCTGGAAACATTAATCGCTCTGGATCAGTGGCCCTTTAAATTGAACCATGTCAAAGAAAGTTTAGTCGAATGTAACTGTTTAGTATGGAAGGAAACAATTTTGTTCGATATCACTGACAGTAGGTGCTTGACTGTGTATAGTGAATAGCATAAAGTGTCACACAACTTGCTCAAAGAAAGTTTGCACTAGAATGCACTTTACCGGGCGCAGCCGTCGCTGCTCCCTTTACGATCCTTAGGGTTAGGGTAAGGGTATGCCACCCTTTACGATCCTTAGGTTTAGGGTTAGGCACCCTTTACGATCCTTAGGGTTAGGGTTAGGGAACCCCAGCAGCGCTAATTAATCTGAAAAAGTGCGCCCGGTAAAGTGCAGTACTCCCAAAGTTTGAAATGCCTTTTTCAATGAGTAGGAAAGTTCTCTTTTATTTATCGCTTCTTATTTAACTCGCCCTTCCGGTATATCACGTACCCGGTTTTGTCCGGATGTTAACAAAAATAATGTTTCGTTTCTCGGACAGCTATCACAGTACCTGGCCAGGAGAATGACTGCACAAAACTTGCTTTTTGAGAGTTTTATGAGTGTCTTCGTTGGATGATGATGATGAAGAAAGCTGCCTCTTCTTAGCCGACATGGGTTTGCAGCAAGCAATGTTTTCATTAGAGTCATCGCTGTCAGCGCCTTCCATGACGGACGTACTTCTTTCTCTGCCAAGTTCACCCTTTCGTAGGATATCAAAGGAGCTCATAAGCGGTATCATTAAGGCGCCGAGTAAGCAATTAAGCCACTTTACGAGAAGTATAAGCAACAGGATTGTTGGGTTTATTTTTACGCAAAGACAACGGTAACAGGAATGATTGACTCGCCTGAGGTATTCGCTGTTGAGAGCGGCGTTCGCCCTGATCTAGGTTTGTCGGCACCGAATGTAGGAAAAAAAGTAACAGGAAAAAATGAAATAGAAAAAAAGTAACAGTCTTTATATAAATACTTATATAAACACTTATTTAGCTTTGGACTTTGATCATCTTATTTAAGTTGTTGTTGTTACTTGTTTTACTGAGCAACTTCCCACCTATTCAGCTTACTTGTGCTTGTTTTGTTTTGTTTAAACTGTGTTAATGAATAAAAAACAAACAACTGAAAAAGTGTTTCTTTTATTTCCTGTTACTTTTTTTCCGATCACCGTCGGCACCATACCCGTAACTCCAACAGCATCATCTAGGGTTTCTCCCAACATACAACTGACATGCCGTGGAATGATCTTCAGGGCCACTCACTCACACCTATTCACCAGTCACTGACTGCTCATTACACTCAAATCGGTTAGCTTAGTGGAGTATAGTGAACCTGTGGGTAGTTTGGCTTAACCCCCTGATGCCGAGTTTTTTCTCAGGCGCACATTTTCATAAGTGTGAGCGAAGAAAATACAGCCTGATACTTGAAATGGGTTTATGTGCTTATGCATAACGTTATACGCTTAACATTAAAAATGACTCGCAATAAATGTCAAAAATGGAGTTTCTTCTATGACGTAAAACGACGACAGAGGTCATACACGTATAAAAGATAAGGGGGCATAACCCCGCTATGCTTAACACTAGGTCAATGTAATTCAGATCACTTGGAGAGAATTTGTTGTGGATACGGACGATATGTTTTCGTTATGTTTTGTTCACGGTGAACCAAACTATTCCTTTTCAAAGTTCCCCAATGTGAGCGGATACGTTTTAGTAGTTTCACAATTTATAAGAAAAGATGACAATGTACGTTATTTAGCGATTTGGATGGCCCTAGCTGATATATAGGTTAGTTCTTAGATTCCCATATTCTTCTGTTTGTGAAGATGTATTTTGACTAATTTTGCATCATTATTAACAGAGTATTAGCCATATCTTCAAATGTAATGAAATTACTGAAAATAATACAACATTTTAGTTGACGTCATTGCTTGTTTTATGCATTTTGCGACGTCGGAAAAAGACGACGATTTGTATCTTGATTAGTATTTATCTCGCCTAATGTCCATTCATTGTATAAACGGTCTCGGCTTCTATGTCAGAATTTAACACTCTTTAGACAAAATATAAAATGAATGAATTTACCATTTAAATAGTGTCCTGAACATATCAACAATTAGACGGTATGACTGCGCATCTTATTTTGAGCAACTCGCGCACCTGTTTGGCATCAGTTTAACGTAAATGAAAAATAATATTTCACAACACCCGAATATTTTCTAGGATAAGAATTTTCTTTGTTTATGATTATGTAGCTATTTCTTGTCATAAGTATGACTAACGGGACCGGGTGGTCAGGCTCGCTGACTTGGTTGACACGTCATCGATTCCCAATTGCGCTGATCGATGCTCATGCTGTTGATCACTGGGTTGTCTGGTCCAGACTTGATTATTTACAGACCGCCGCCATATAGCTGGAATATTGCTGAGTGCGGTGTAAAACTAAACTCACTCACTCATAAGCATGCAATGAAAGATGCAAAAAGATAGTTTTTTGTATGGAACTATTAGAATATGGATGTAAGGTTTGTCCAAATTAAGATATGACATGGTTTATATATTTTAAAACAATTTTCGTATATATATTGTTAGAGTTTGATATCCTGTCATCACAATATTTTTAACTCGAATATGAATTGATTATATTATCGAAAACAATTATAGTGAATCATAAAACGTTTTTGACAAACGCGCACTGGCCAATCAATATACATCGTTGTTTTGTCTATAAAACGACACAAACAAAAACGACAATTCATTTAAATATGTGCGCATATACATTTCATAAAATGTATAAATCATTTTCATTAATATTATCAGTTTTACTTATAAGGTTGAATTAAATCGCAGTTCATTAACCTGTTCATATGAAACTGCAATATTAGTCCCAGTGTATTGAATATTGTACATCACAGGAACTAAAGTACATGTTGCAGTTATGGCTACGTTTGATCTTCTAACACTTGTGTAAAGGTTTAAAATATGGTGTACTACGCTTTAGTGTGTCAATTTTTTGTAAATATTATTCAAACAATTAAAAACTTTCAAAGAATAAAAACGTGTACCCTGTATCCATGTATGATATTATATTGAACAAGGCTACATGTAGATACTGAAATTAGTTTCATGAAAAAATATCTGAACGATAACGCAAAATATACATCATAATACTGAAAGTGCAATCGGAAGGATTTGTGTATTTTAGGTGTATATTATTAAGAAAGGGCAGTGTGATACGTAACCACTCGGGTAGGGCGAACCTTGAGTTAGTGTCCGTCTATACACTAAATATACAAGGATAAATAGCACCGCTTCAAATCGGAACCAACTTTGACTGGCGAGAATGGAAGCACTTTGGCTATAACAGCGGAAACTTTGCTGAATTTAACATACATTTAATGTTCTGACTACTTCCGCTGTGTACTTCACGTTTAGTTATGCTCTCATTCTGGTCCCTTCTGTTTAGTGAATGGTGACAGGTGTGATTGCAAGACGTACGTGTGTGTGTGTGTGTGTGTGTGTGTGTGTGTGTGTGTGTGTGTGTGTGTGTGTGTGCGAGCGAGGGGAGCGGGGAGGATGTTCAAGGGAGGGATGATGTTCAAAATAGACTACTTTGGGATCTGCCTCACATATCTGCCAAGTTTTGCTGAAAGATATTGAGAAGTTTTCGAGTTGTGCTCCGGAAACGAAGCCCACCCCTCACTTTTGGGACTAAGTCCGAATCGTTTCCATGGAAACCGGGAATAATAAAAATGCCAAAAATCTGCAAATAGCAAAAGGCACAACTTTAGGATCTGTTTGATATACCTACCAAGTTTTGTTGAAAAATATTACACGGTTTTTGAGTTGTGTTCCGAAACGAAAGCAATCCTTACTTTTTGAGACTAAGTCCAAAATGTTTCCATGGAAACCAAGAAAAATAAAAATGACAAAAATCTGCAAATAGCAAAAGGCACCACTTAAGGATCTGTTTGATATATCTACCAAGTTTTGTTGAAAATATTGAACGGTTCTTGAGTTATGCCCGAAACGGCTTCCACCCTTCTTTTAAGACTAAGTCCAAAAACGTTTCCATGGAAACCGAGAAAATAAAATGAAAATAATCTGTAAATAGCAAAAGGCACCACCTATAAAAAATCAATACTCAACAGAATGAGGATACGGACTTCGTTGTGGTAGGTTTAGATTTTATTATCTTCGTGTTGTCATGCGGTACTGTTGTACATATCTCACTCTCTCTCTCTCTCTCTCTCTCACACACACACACACACACCACCAACAACAACAACACAAAATAAATAAATAAATAGAAAATTAAAAATAAAACCCAAAAATCTAGATTGTGCCTTCATTCTGGTGGACTGAATAGACTGGTTTACCTGATCCTCTCTGTACTTGGGTTGGAGGCCCTGGGCAGGGTACCTGTTAATGGACTAAGGCCTACAGCAAAACATCACTGGTCTAACACATATACAACCACTCCCACTCTAATGGCAATAACAGAAAGATACATGGTATGTTGACAGTCTTTATTTGAGCATACCGGTTGCAAGATGGTAACCATAAGCAGCCACGATACACTACAATATTGCAAGAAATAGCACAGGCCTCGACCCTCGTTAGATGTACAGTTCTATCTACTGTGGTGTGGACCGACCGATGCTCACAGTGTATACTGGCTTGAGCAGTGTTAGTCTCACACCTACCGTTGTTAGTTCATATTTTCACTTGTCCCTCGTGTTCCCTATCACCCAGCTACAATGTACAAAAACAACAGATTTTGGATAGGATTCTAACATATTGCAACACGTTGTGTTGGTGAGTATGATGGTACAATATTTTAGAAATTTCACTGTTGTGAACACCATAAAAGGGCTTGGAAGCATTGTACCCATGTGGGAAATAGAAGCCTGTCTTCCATGTGACAAGCTAATACTTTAACCACTACACTATACCACCTCCCAACCATTGCAATTAACAAAGAAATCATTTGATTGTTTGATCAGAATTCTGTCTGTAGTATATAAACAGATCTGAATCATATGATCTGCTCAAAATGACAAGGGTGTGGATCTAGTATGTCTCACATTTTGTCATAGTAGCATCTAGAGTAGATTGGAAGCTAATCCAAGTGTTCCTCCTTTGAGATACACAATTCAGAACATCTGATCAGGACCACTAGAGTCTCAAATCCAAAACATATCCTGTAGCAGCTGAACATAACAGGACACACACTGATTCATATCTAGCCCTTTGTGTCCATGTTGAGAAGCTTCCACACAACTGTTCAATTCTCTTAAGTACACCACAAGCATTCATATCAATCTGTCATGTAATCAAATGAAAGAGTGAAGGTGTGGTTATTGATGCTATATGCTGGCTGAATTTCCATATATTGTTCCACTCAATTTGGACCAGCAAATGTGTGGATGTATGTGACCAATGACACACAAGAAAGAGAGGTTCAGAAAGTGTGTAGCGAGTGTCTTGGTCATGAATTGGAGAGAATGTTTCATGTCACCTTTATGACACTTTAAACCATGTCATGGTGGGGAAACCAATTATTGGCTTCACATTTTAATCAGGGAAAGAATCAAACCTGGGTGATATGGCTTTAACCACTGGGCCATCTCAACACCCCTCAAGAATTTGTGAAGATGATTGGCTGAACATAAGGCATGACTATGGAACAAAGGTTACAGAACAATTATCAGGAAGTTGATAACTTCAGTCATAACCGTGTTTACCAAGCTTATATATCTGTGCAGGTTCACTCTTTCTGAACATTTATCAGTTGTTTCTTACAATTATTGCTGTTCTCAACCTTCATAACTTCAACTAAATCTTTAGATATTAACATGATGAACTGGTCTATCCTGAATGTCTTGCAGTCCAGACAAATGTTGTTGATTCAGATACAAACAATGAACAAGTCATGAAAATAAATAAGATTAACAAGGAAATAATCACATCTATCTCTACAGCTCGGAATTAGGTTTTCTACAAACTATATAAGAACAGAGTGCTTTAAAACCTTGCGAGAACTATGTCTATGAAAGGAATGACTAGCCATGGTCTACACTAGTAGTAAAGACTGACGTCCCCATCACACACCCAATGCAGTCCCATTCATCATTCATGAAGGATGTTTAACTGAAATGTGACATGATATCCTTTAAATAACACTGTAAATCTGCAAATAATTTAACCCAAGTGAAAGAAAATATCAGTGTTCATGTTGACTGGATGTGTTGTCACAGATCTGCGTCCGGAACAGAGCAGCTCCTCCAGTAAGAGTCTAGAAACCCTCCTCAGTATCAGCAACTCGGCTGGTCTTGAAGTGGGAGAACCGTGAGATGACATGGTCAATGCTGTGTTCACCATGAACCTTGTTGTCTCGGCTACGCACGTTTACAGTCTTGTTTTCTTTCTCCTTTTCGCCAACAACTGTGGAGATTAGCATCAATATTGATAAGATTCAGTTTAAACTGACACCATTCTTGTTTAATGACAATGTTTGTTTAAAGTGAGTATGACTTACACAGCTATTAGGATGCTCTTGTCATATTAACTATCTAGACTGGACTTCACACTTTGTACCATGAGTGAAACCTACCACCTACACAACTGGGGTGCATCATTCAAAGTTCAGGACTTTAGTGATGTCAGATGTTATTTCCTTGTGATAGGGAATCTTATTGATAACAACTTTATTACATTATATCCCTTGTTGTATGTTAATCAAACTTCTAAATGCTCATCAAACTTTTATGTGGTTGCCAAAAGTTTGAGAATTCAACACAATTTCACAACAAAGGAGTCAAATACAACTTAAAAGAAACCTCGACATGAATTAATCACGAAGAAACTATATGATCAATCACGCTGACCAAGCATAGATGTAAGTGACAATGGCACTGATCTGCAATGTAAGATTCAGGACATAAGCAGCACTTACCAAAGATGAAGTTATATTGGTTCAGCTGAGCATTCCTCACTTTCTTGTTGAGAGTAGCACCGGTGTCCAGATCGGTCTCACACACAAACCCAGCTGAGTGAATCTGTCTCTTCACCTAGAGACCACAAAGTGAGTGAGTTAAGTTTTACGCTGATTTAAGCAATATTCCAGCAATATCACGGCGGGGGACTCCAGTAATGGGCTTCACACATTGTACCCATGTGGGGATTTGAACCCAGGACTTCGGCATAACGAGTGAACGGTTTAACCACTAGACTCACCCCACCCCACCCCCCACACACAACAGAGAAGACAGAAAGTATTACAAAGGCAACCAACACTGACACCTCAATAGCTGACTTGTCCATCAGTGTCTGATCAGGGACTGGGAGGCAATGATACAATCAGCTACCATCTTCAGGTTTGTCTGACAATTTGGTAGAACTACAAAACATTCATACTTCTCACTTGACATTTGTGCTCTGCAGGTCTACAGGAACACATTGATGTGTTTATGGAGCACAGACTTCACATAATGGCTTTGAGTAAGTGAGTGAGTGAATGAGTATGGTTTTACTATACTTTTAGTTTTAGCAATATTCCATCACGGCGGGAAGACACCAGGGCTTAACACATTGCACCTACGTTGGGAATCGAACCCCGGACTTTGGCATGACGAGTGAAGGCTTAACCACTAGGCTAGCACATCACCTCCATAATGGCTTTGAGTTAGTGATATAACTGACACACAACATACAGTCACAGCCAAGACACTCGGTGTAACCATCTGATTTACATTGAGCATGGGGGACACACATCCTGCCCCATATCTTCATCCTGTTGTTGGTGTTGACAGTTACATGATCAAGACAGAAAGAGGCATGTGAAAAACTTGACATGTGAATAAAACATTTGAATATAAATGCCAATTTGTTGAAATGAGAGTTACCTCGTTTGCGTAGTCGTCGAAGGCAGGCGCAACAGGAATGACACAGGACTGGCGGGGTGAAAGCCAGAAGGGCCTGAAACACACAGGTGTAGACAACATGAGATCAACATGGACATGACAAAGTCTACAGTCTACCTCCTAGTATTTCCTTATTGAGTTCCAAAATGTCTCTTGGAACATTTACTGCTGAAATGACATTATGAACTAAGAGCACCAGAATTCCACTGAGACAATTGTACAAACAATCTTTTGGGTATTTGTAAATTGTCTCGGGTACAAATTAATTATCAACAAAACTTTGAAGTGATCTTATTCATTAACCATAATTTCCCCAATAGATATATAATGCAGTGAAGAACGTCTCACCATTTGCCCCCGTAGTTTTCACACAAGATGGCAATCATCCTCTCCACAGACCCGAGGATAGCACGGTGGATGATGACAGGCTTGTCTTTCTCTCCGTGCTCACTGGAAACAGGAAGTAGAAGGTAAAATAGTCACACATATATAATGTTGACATGACATGTAAAAACAGGTGCAAATGTTGCATCCATATTCAATGGAACCTGACAACTATTGACATACCTAGCAGTTCAAAGTAAGATGTTCAGACATTAAACACATACAGGTACATAAAGGTACCGGTCTATGAATTCAGGTAAAGGAAATCACCACACCATGATCTCGTCAATTTCAGTAAAGATGACTGACGCAGCATATGAAGTTCACATAATCGAATGGTTGCCATCTTTCAGTTTACTTAAAGCCTGTGTGAACATGTAGGAGGTGAGGTGAAATTGGGTTTAACGTCGTACTTGAGAATATTTCGCTCATATGACGACGTGCATGCGCGTGTATGTGTATGTGTGGCTGCTTGTACTAGCCCAGACAGAAGCTGGTTTTATAGTGCTAGCCCACTGAGATACCATGCCGCAGTGAAGCATGAATACCCCACTCAGACACATTATACTGACTCCGAGCCGACCAGTCCTTGTTGTACCCATTAATGCCGAGCACCAGGCAGGGACCAACAAGTACCATATTTTAATGTATTTTGGTATGACGTGGTCGGGGACATGTAGGAATACGTACATTTTGTGACACAGTTGATGTATGATTTGCCACCTACTTGACGTATCCTAGGTTGAACCTGTTGGGTAGCTGGAAGTCCAGCTGGATGGTGGCACATTGGTGGGCTCTACGCAGGGCGTCCAGGATGGTGATGTCGATCTGAAACATGAGAAGTCTCACATAGAGAATCATGGTATACGTTATCAACGTGTGTTAAGATATTTTATATTAAAAAAACATGAGGAAAAGACGCTATTTAACATCCAACGCCATTATTTTGAACTTTTCCGGTTTGTAAAAAGAAATAAGCAGTTTCTTGTAAAAAGTACTGCAAACAGGGCCGTATTACACCACTGATCATAGCATAAGGACTATCTTACACCCCATGCTATAACATAGACCTAGAGTGTTGCAGTGTAACAGGGCACAGCTTCAGTGACTGAGACCAGTGATGTCATCAGAGTCTGACATGGAAACCTATGGCATTACAATGGGGAGCAAAGCATTGAGCCACAATTTCCAATGCCATCCTGCTTGACCACTCAAGCACAATATGTGGCAGCCACTTTTGGATTCAGACAGCAAGTGAGAGGATGTGTTATTCTAGTTTTCTCCAGCAGCCTGTAAATAGCTGTGTGTTGGCTATGTAATTGAGTGACAGCTTGGAGATTTTTCCAAGCAGTCAGCGACTAATACACTAATTCATAGCTGGCAACTTCCTGTCTTCATCGTACTCAGTCCAGGAATCCCCCCAGCATCTCAGTGTGTCAGAGAGCCTATTTCCCACTGATCAAGCACATCTAAGGTAGCCTGTCTAACCTACTCACCTTGGGCCCATAGAAGGCTCCATCACCCGGGTTCAGTTCCCATTTGTCAGTGAACTTGTCCAAACTCTCAGACAGTTGCTGCAACAAAATCAGTTTTCATTACAAAACATGCCACTGGGATTCTGTAAATATTCTGTATTTTCACACAAGTCCCTACACATCATTTCAACAAGAAATGTTCCATGTTTCAGGGGATTATAAGATGAACTAACCTTCTCAGCATCGTTCCACACTTCGATGTCGCCAAGGAACTTCTCCGGCCTAGTGGACAGCTTCAGCTGGAAGCTGAACCCGAATATTCCATACACATGCTTTAGGAAGTCGAGACATCCCTCGATCTCCTCCTTGATCTGAAACACACCCACACATGATCCGTCAGTGAGTTTGTGACTGTTGTCACATGGCAGCAGATGATGGAGATGCTCCATAAATAGGGACCAAGTAAGGCCTTAACCATTGATCCATTGCCATTTATTACAAGTTCATCATGAATGACATATCTTTTCTCATTATACAGCAGTACACATGGTAATAGCCAGACTCTCCACACACCTGGTCAAATCTGCAGAAGATATGGGCATCATCCTGCTGGAACCGCCTCACTCTGGTCAGCCCCGACAGTGCCCCAGACAACTCATTACGATGGAGGACACCAAAGTCTGCCATTCTGAGGGGGAGCTCTCGCCATGACCGGTTCCGATGGTCGAACATCAAACTATACATGAACATATAATTCAACTTTATTTTGGATTAATTTATTAAAATCGTCTTTGTTACAAAATGTTGTCAAATTGTATTGAAAGTTTAAAATATCATACAGAAGTTATTCTGTCAAGCACTCACCAATGACCAGGGCAGTTCATAGGCTTCAATGCAAAGGTCTCTTTTTCAACTTCAAATTGGAACATATTTTCCTGAAAATAAAATTAAAACATGAACACTCATCCTCTTTTTCTATAATGATATTTGTTGATTCCAAGTGACCTTTATACAACAAAACTATTCCATCGTGTCAGTTAGACTACATTAACATTTTTCCATTTATAACTATGTTACCATGGTTACAGGCAAGTACTTACAGCATAATGCTGCCAGTGACCCGACTGCTCCCACAACTTGCTGTTGTATATATTGGGCGACACCACTTCCTGGAAACCTCTCTTTAAGTACTCAGACTGAAACAAGAATAGAAGACCATACATATATTGTCTAGGTGAGGTGATGATGATTTTCATGGAGGAGCATGTACAATGTGAATGACGCCCCCTAAATTTATGTACAAAGTAAGTGACACCCCCACCCCCCACATGTACAAAATTAATGACCCCACCTTCCCATAATTTTTATGCATATTCTTAAAATATTTTTATGTACAAAATTGCTGACCCCCCCAGTTAATTTGTACAAAATTGCTGCCCCCCCTCCCAGAACAAAATGGGTGACCCCTCTTATAATCATCATCACACCACCCACCCACCCACCTAGCCATAGATTATGAACAGTCCCTCAACAACTTGATTCTTGCATATTACTACAGATAATCTGTAATTCAAAGCTACTTGCAGCAAAGGGGACTTGAATCTCAGTCTCCAGATACTCACTCACCTTGATAAACTCTACAAGTGTGTTATATATGAAAGCTCCTTTAGGTAAGAAGAAACAGCTTCCCGGGGCTCAATTCATGGAAGAAAAATAACTCTTGTTCCTGAAAGACAAATCAAACAGAGTTTCAACAGCTTATAGGGCCAGTATGGTTACCGCTACAGCTGACCAATCATAATTTACAACCAGGGCAGATATGGGATTTGAACCTGCGACCATACAGAGACACAACTCAGCACATTGGCTTGCGGCACTAAAGCCAGACAGTTTTCCCATAAGTATGTTGTAGGTAGGTACTGAGCTGTTCCCACCTTTCCAATCTTGCGGTGGTCCCTCTTGGCAGCCTCTGCCTGGAAGTGTTCCCACTCCTTCAGTTGTTTGTTGTCGGGGAACGAGATGCCGTAGATCCTCTGTAGAGACTCAGCGTCTGCCTTCCCTTCCCAGTAGGTGGAGGAATTCTGATGACAATAAGCGGTACATCATACATGATGTGGGGAGCAGGATGAGGTTGGGAACATAACACACAGTTTTAAGGCCAACTAATGTAATAATTAACAGAGGGTCTGGATGAGTGGGTCAGCTAATGGCCGACAGTGTGAGCCATTACCCGTCTCCTCAGGTCACAATGACACATAAGACACACTTTACAAACTGGCTCAGGACAGAAACTCTCACCTTGGTGACCTTCATGGCCTTGATCTTGCCAGTATGTCTAACATGTGGTCCCCGACATAAATCAATTAAAGGTCCGCATCTAAAAACAGAACAAAGTCAAGTTGAAACTCAAGTCCTCAACACAAGTCACTAAAAGGTCTGCATCTAAACACAAAGAAAGTACCTTAGCATCTTTAAGATTCACAAACAAGTCAAAAAGTACCGAGTTTCTAGAATCTCAGAGGCACATGTAGCAGATGTGGTGTTCCCTCAGTCAGAGGACTTTCCACAAATACAGCATTGTGATGCAGCAGTACCATCAGTACTTCAGGATGCCACAGTCATGTGACTGTTTACCTACTGTGCCTGACAAGACAGCTTGGGTTGGATACTCCCAGGGAGCTGACAACAGGGCACACTAATCCAGGGTAATGGATTACCCAATGTGACCTGGGCCATGATATTAGAACTTGGCACAGTGAGCATGCATTGAGTACATAAAAGTACACACATCATCATCATCATCATCATCACCATCATCATTGTTGTTACAGATTGGTCTAACAGACAAATGCAGAAAGAGAAAAAAAGCAATGCCTACTTATATACAGTGGTGGTGGGAGTGGTCACTCTTTCATTAAGAATCCTCTGCTTAAATTTGTTATACTGAAACAGAAAATACACCGGCAATTAAATATAGTACTAATTTCAAGGAATGTTTGAAATCAGAGAAAGATGCCTAATTACCCTGATATAAACACGAGCTGTTCAAAGTATCACTCTTAACATCTCCATTGGTAATCTATAATGAACTACCTGATAGATATATCAAAATATAGAAGTCTCACATCGAACATCTTCAGTAGATCTTCTTTTTTCATTTCTAGCCTCTCAAAGGGTTGCTTTTCCTTGACAACCTGCTTGACAACGCCTTCAAGACAGGGAAGTCATTGCTTGATACTTGTCTGAAGGGAAAGATCAATCAACAACAAATCAACACACAATTCAGCTATCAAATTTCAGTTTATAGGGGCAGTCTATAGTTTATAGGGAAACAGGACCACATGTAAGTGGTGGATGTTGTATAACAGGTTTAACAAGGCAATCAGCCATATTCCAGCAGTTTTAAACAGCCGAACCCAGATCTTCATGAGGTCATCAGTGAACATGTTGAATGATGAGATAAGCAAAGAGCCAGGTGTACAATCTATACAAAATGGGGGGGATAAGTCAACCAAAGAATCCCCACAAGATCACAGAGTCAATATTGTATCATGTTTACCTACACCAATACCACCGAGTTAACACTTGTCAACAGACCACACAGGTTGGACCTACCTGTCCTCCAGGTACATGTCATAGTAGAATCCATTCTCTACAGGTGGACCGTAACATAGATGGCCGCCGTAGTGGCACTCCATGGCCTCGCCCAGGATGTGGGCACTGGAGTGCCAGAACACGTACTGACCTGAAGCGAGGAACAGTAGTTGTGAATATACAAGACTGTCAGGTCTTCTAACTTGTTAAATGCGCCAAGTACACATTTCAGCACAGCCATAGTCATAGTAACCCCAAATAACTCCATTTTTATCAACTTTCAAGTAATGAAAACATACGAACCAAGTAGAAAGATTCTATTCATCTGAGGGGGTTATTTCACCAAGCTAAAAAATACTTCAGATTAGAAAGAGAGTGCCCTACATGCTTAATAGTATTACGATCCTTACCATCTGGGTTATCAAACTTGAGTAACTGCAGAGATGCATCCTGCTCCAGCGGCCGATCGAGGTCCCACAATTCTCCATTGACTTTAGCTATCACAGTGTTGTCTGCAAGACCCTGGCTGGAAAATACAGATATCAAATTGTCTCAAGAAAACCTCACATGTATTTCACAATATGAGCAGATGGTTCAAGGTCCTTCAAAACTATTTCAACTCCATTTGTTATAACCACTGACCAAGATAACACAGCCAATAAAGTTGCTGTATACTGGTAAACAGGGATGCACATTACACATGGTTTCATCTGGTGACGGAAATCTCACAGAGTAAAACATGATTAAATGGTGGGTTATTTTCCCAATACACAGAAACAACCAAGCAGGTTGAAATAAGTGACATTCCACATATTCCATGTAAGAGTTGTATCACTGCTATAACATCATCCCATTACCTGATTCCCTTGGCAACATCATATGGTGAAGTTCTCCAGGACTCTCCCTCAACAACCTTGCCATCAGGTAGCGTGATTTTGATTGGCTGGGGAGTTTGAGCTGCCACCCAATCATCATGCTCTTTCTTTAGTTTTGCCCACAATTCCTCTCTGTGTGCAATAAACTCTGGTGGAGGGTCAAGCTGAAATAAATCTCAACGTTGATAAACACGAAAGAGTCACTTAAACGCACATAAATTTGACCGTTTTCTTCAAATACGTTTACTTGCACTTGTGGCCATCATTATGAAGATGCCATTCATTTTCTATTTATCTGTCCAAATTTTAATACAATTCGATCGAAGTGTTTCTATTACATAAATGGTTTTAATATTCAATCTGTACTATGTGGAAGTTACTCATATTCTGACAAAATCAATGAAAATATTGTAAAATCTGTACATGACTACTTTACCTTAACAAAACGATTTTTTACCTAATTGATTAATTATACTACTGTCTTTTTCATTAAGTCTTTTAGTCCTCAAATGGTGTGTTCTCTTGTCTGTAATGATGAATGTATATAAAATGTTTCCCATCGCATTGTATTCGGAGAGGTATTTTTATAGGCTTATAGCCTGTTTACCAATCCGTTCATTTAATAATGAATAAATATTGTTTAAATCGAAAGAGTCAGGTGGGTGGGATTTAAAGTGGCTTTTACCAATATCCCAGGTAGGCAAGTAATCTTACATTGCATTATCCATGGGACAATAAATGTTTAAAGGGAATACTGTATAAATACCTTTTGAATATTGATACTGAATTTATATTTCACTGCCATAGAAACATGAACATGTACTACGATTACAATGGTTCATATAAAGCATTAAGTTTCAGGTCAACACAGTTTTCATCTATACACATACAGAATAAATAATCTTATCAGTATATTGATATATTGTGATACTTGTTACTCCATGTTTTGATAATACTGGGACATCATATAAATATGCTTAACACATTGTACATAATAGCCTAACCACCTGGATACCTCACCAACCCCAAACTCAGAGGCCAGTAGAAATATTTCCACAACAATGCTGTATAACATTATGTTCCCGAAACATATACAGTGGAAGCCCTCTAAACCAGCAGCCCTCTAAACCAGCATGCTCTCTATATTGGCACTAGAATTTGGTCCCGACAGAAGTTAGTTAATTTATGATAATTTACACGCCCCTCTAATCCGGCGTCAGTCTATTCCGTATTTCAGCACAACAAAGACCGCCCAATTGACTGTTTGTACAGTACTTGTCACCCCCTAAACCGGCATCCGGTATCTCGGTTATCCTGTTGATTGGCAGATTGGCTGAACGTGTATTAACATTAACAACACAATGGATTACTATCGGCATCAAGTTCAATGATGTTGCCTGATAAAAGGAGTATTGATAAGGATTGGGCCTAATTAGGTGAGGTAAATTGGTGAGTGACATGTGAACGAAGAATATGATGACTATCAACACGTTGTTCAGTCGTATTTTACAGCACACGGAAGATCAGCAGGTTGAAAAGTGAAAGGTTCTTTGAACCGGCACGCCGTCTATACCGGCATTTTTTGCCGGTCCCAAGAAATGCCTGTTTAGAAGGCTTCCGCTGTACACATGTATACAACACAGCGATAAATACTGTCTGTTGTTTTGATACTTATTGCAAATAATAGCAAATTCATAATCAAGCTTCATTTTCACATTATCTCTCCTCCAACATATTCTATGACTGAATTTTCAACCAATTATCCTTCTTAGTCATGTTTAAAGAATTGTGTAATTGTAAGAAATTACAAAAATAGAAAGCACAATTCCTTTATCAATACATATCTATCAAGACAAACTGACTTCAGCATATTTTGCTATGACACATTCACACTATGTTTGCAGTTTTTAACAGTTATATCTCCACAAAAGCAATCATAAATCATGATACACTGAAATCGATTTTCATACACAGGTAAGTCAACAAGCGAGCGGTGCACTTTACAGGGCACATCTCTTTACTGATCAGAACTGCATGGGCAATTGAACTCATGATACCACCCTGACATTAGACAAGGCTAATTAGTCAGAACATAGCACTATACATTAAATTCAATTTTATTAAAGCTCTATACATACAATTCTATTTTTCAGCTAATCAACATTCTGCTCATTTCAACATGCATATATTCAACAATCTCCAGGAACACAAGCAAGTAATCAAATATTTACCTCTTTGGTATGAAAACATATACTTTCTGAGTCATTATTTTCAGATCATTCATCCTCCATTTGAGAGTTGTCACACAGTACTCACCCGAGGAGGGCGGGCTCCATCCCCTCCAGCTGAGCCCTTCTTCTTTGATTTCTGAAGACAATTTATGATTCTGTTAGCAGGATTAGAAACTAAAGCAGTTATGACTGTATCTATTATCAAGTACCAAGGAACCCGTTGAAATAATTGAAATTATTCAAAATGAAAAATATCCTTAATCATGATAATGAACAAAAAGAAAAACTAAAACAATGATAGCAATAAACATAATTCAGAAATGATACACTTCTTGATCCCCATTAGCCTATACAGACTTCTGCCAGCTGTGACACGACTACATGTGTACATACAACCATAGCCCTGAGAACATGGCCAGAAAGTCAGTGCACTATACATCTTACCATGCTTTTGTCGTCTTCCATGGCTGGTATTACTGAGTACAGGCAATATAACTATGTATTGATTAAGCTATAACCGAATGATCTACTGCTGATTTGTTCCTACTACAGCTGACTGGCTTGTTTATATAACAAGCAAGGTATCTTCCTGGCTGATGTAATATAACTGTAAGGTGTTCACTGAGCACAGGTTGTACTATCACACCTAGAACTAGATCAAGCATAACAGACAAGTACTCAAAAGTACTATAGATGTGGCAGGTGTTACACCAAATAATAGCCAGTGGAAAGATATCAATATTATTGCACTAACACAACTTCATTCATATGAAACTCTGAGTGTAGTTAAATAACTCAAATGATGCATGTAAATAATGTTGTCCGATGGATAATCCCCAGCCAAATTCTGATGACTAAAGGTTTGAAAAAGTTAACTGCAAAAACATAGTTCCTTATTTTCACGGGCCTCACAACTTGAGTCTACACCGCCTGGTGGCTGATGCAACGCCTAACAATCAATGCGGGCGTGACGAAACAAACACGCAATGGCACGACCGCTTGTCACAGATCATATTTGAATGTCCATGCATATCCAGCAGGATCGTTAAGTTACCCACACTATCTATGATGGAGCAAGCTTATTTACAGTATTTATGGGTATATTTCACCAGGCGCACACAAGTTGACACAACATAAACACACCATTCCCATGGCCCTGACATAGTTGAGTCCTATCTTCTTTCCTAAGCGGAATAAATTTATCCTGGAAATCATGATTTGCAGAACGTGATATATAATCAAAATCGTCGTGCCTGCTTCTTTCCAGATATATCCATCTTCTGAACCCCCTCCGCCACGTTGTCCGCCATGCTTCTCTCTCGGTTGTACTTCAATATTATCTAGTTCCGGTTACCACTGTCACTGTAAGCTCATTCGTAAGGATCAATGAACGTATCTTTTCTACCACCAAGTCCGTTCGATATGTTAAGGGCAACGTTCTTTTTCAGTGACAATACAGACACAACTAGGAACAGCAGCTGTGTAGCTTCGATCGTGTTGGGATGGAATATGTACACTATCAATGTCAACACAGTCTATGACATAGCCATGGACATCGATCCACTCAAATGGGAGAGGTGGTGGGAGATGCCCTCTCTATATATATGCATTCTTACGCTGTGTATGCCTGAATATAGGTATCCTAGAAAGTGGTAGGATAGGCAATTCCAGGCATTTACAAATGGAAAGATTAATTGGACTTCTAAGATAAAGTTTCTTTTGTATAAGTACAGACTTGGATATGCATGGGAACAACAAGAAGTTAATTCCCCAGATTCATTTGTATCTGAATTTCTTTGGCGCTTACAATCTTCATACATAAAGGATTGGCATTCATCATCACTTATTCATTATATAAAACTATATTTGAAACGGAATCATATATTTCAGTAATTTCAATTGATAAATTTTCGTCGTGCTCTTGCAAGATTAAATGCAGTTCCCATACACTGCATATAGAAACTGGAAGATATAATAAAACCCCTCGCGAGCAGAGAACATGTTGTATTTGTATTTGTAAACAGGGTTGTGTCGAAAGTGATTTTCATTTTTGCTAGTGTGCTAGCGGCTAAATACTATGTAAACCCTACTCTCCAAAGTTCAACATCTTACTGTCTTGTGAAACTGAGCATGCAATTAGAAATATTGTTGCACTAATGTACTATACTATTTCTCATTTTGCGACATACAGTTATAAAGTAATTGCATGGAAATAATGCTACATGTACATCTATGCAATATGATTGCTTTAAGTATAGTTTGATGATACATCCTTGTTTGATATTGTGTAATTTATTTATCTATTGTATATTGATCAATATTGTACTACGGGCCGATGGCCTACATTTGTGCAAATAAAAAGTGAGGTGAAGTGAACAAATGGGATGACATGCAGTCAACCAGGACCCGATCTTGGGCGCCCTGGCAAAATAAGCAGTGTAGTATCAGAGTCTTCTCTTCTTTAATTGAATTGTTTGTCATATGTTCTTAGTGTTGACTAAAACACAAATATCACGCGATTGAGTGAATGATGTTTTTCACCAGGGTCTGTAATATTCAGACCATATAATTGGCGGCATGTAAGTACACATGTAACCAAATCCTTCAATGGCCAACCATTGATTGATAGTATGAATATTTAAATGTATAGCTTTATTTCAGCCGGTTTGTAAGGCAAGTATATGTATTAGGTTTTCGCACATATTCTGCCAGTTAATACATGTACCCACACGGTGGTATATACTGTGGTGAACATCAAGATGGTAAATAAATGATGACCACTCCGATGCTGGCTACCTCTTGTATCAGATCAGAGACACCACCAAGAAAACATCCAAACCACGGCGAACCCTGACCAATAAATAGAAACGTGCCATTACAGAGACAAGACCATCTACATCACCATCCAGAATGATCACACTGCTTAATTAGAACGTCAGCATTAAAAGACACCACCCACTTCCGTTCCCTTCTTTTAGTTCCCAGATTGCAAATCCATAGAGAGCACCATCAACCTCGCTTCCAGTTGTATTGACATCTCCTATTTTACCTTCAAAGACAAGATCTACAAGCCAATACAATACTTCCTATGAGTTCCCCCCTATCTCCACTTATCGCTGAAATTTTCATGACATTTTTCGAAGAATCAGCTCAGCACCATTCCAACCCCATTGTTGGTTCTGAAAAGTACATTCGCCATCACAGCTCCTCCCAGAACGACCCTAGGGTAGAACAATCCAAAACCTTTTCATTCCAGATGGACTAAGAACGCCAGTTTACCGCAATCCTACACAGACCAGTATGTCACCTATAACTCCTACCGCCACCTCCCGATAACAACAGCCATCAACATGAACAGTCAGTCATATCGAGAACAAAGTCAACATCTCCACACACGCCCGCACGCACATATTACAACAATGTCTACATTTCAGAAACCAATCAAACCAATCAAACTATAAGAAGCAGAATTTCTTGCAAAGGGAAGATTAGAACAGTGAGTTAATGAGTTTAGTTTTACGCCGCATTCAGCAATAGTCCAGCTATATGGCGGCGGTCTGTAAATAATCGAATCTGGACCAGACAATCCAGTGAATCGGTTTCAGTGACCGAGATAAATGATGTAGTGATGTCATCGGATTGTGATGTCATGGCAAGATATAACGTTTATATTATGTGTTGATATATATTTTATATCAGAAAGCACTTTGGTAATATTCTCTTTCTGTCTATTGTAACAGAAGTGGTACATGAGATGTGAATCTGGGATTTTGAAGTATCACTGAGAATTATCAATAATACAGTCTGGACCAGACAATCCAGTGATCAACAACATGCACATCGATCTACGCAGTTGGGATACGATGACAGTGTCAACCAAGTCAGCGAGCCTGACCACCCGATCCCGTTAGTCGCCTCTAACGACAAGCATGGGTTACTGGAGATCGATTCTAACCCGGATCTTTACGGGTTGTTTTTTAGCTGTATTAGATCATTGTATCAGGTTGAGTATTTTGGGGGTATTGTAAACTGATAGCATGGGGTATTTCTCATTCTGGTGACAACTAGAACTCGACTGTTCACGGGCTGTCGTGATACATGTTTGATATTTCTGACTGCGGCGTAAAACAAATGAAAAAAATGAATAACAATAAACGGTTTACATTATACGACAGGTCGAATTGACACTACTCCTTATATGAGAATTGTATTGTCTTCTTGAAAACGAAAACGCACGCACACACACACAACTCGTCACGCGCCCCTTTGCATATATGTCTGCAATTAAAAGGCTTCAGCCTACATCCTTGACCTCCTTTTGCTCATGTCTACAGTATCTGCATCGTCATGCCAATAAGTTAATGTCAATACCGTAAAACCTCTCATTGATTCGTCTGCTTTTATCAGTTATACATACCGATTTGTGCTGAAAGTCAATGTTAGCTGATCCTTATTAAAGGAATCAATCAGGAATCATATTAGATTAAATATGATATAGGTTCGCATACTACATGATATATTCCCAGTGTAAAACAATAAAGGATCACACAACACAAATTGTATCAATATTGCATAACATTTATATTACTCGGATAAGTGACCTCGGATAGTATGGGAGTTACTTCACCTTAGCGCTAAGGTCGCTTTGTACAACGGCACCCAGGGCCTCCTTTCACAAAGCACTAAGGTGATCGTCAGTCACTTAAGTAACCTTAATGCAATGTTAAAGAATGGACGTTAAGGTTAACCTTAGCAGGGAGACTCTATAATTGTAGAGTATCCCTGACCTTAGTAAAGGTTGCTTCGTGAAAGGAGCCCCCGAGTAGTGAGTCGTCGGGGAGTATAATAGGATCAACATGATGTCATCAATGATAGATTGTAGCGTCATCATTATTGTGACGTAATTAACCTGAAGCCATCAAAGACTGGTACATTTGCATTTCGCCAAATACAATATACAACACTAATGGTTACAACACAGAGATACGATGCAAGTTTAAAACGGCCAAGGAGTTTAAATTTAATCAATAAGTGTTGAAATAACTGATATCAAAAGACGCATGGATGAGATCGAGTCTATTCTTTATCCAAAATCATTCTTTCTACATTCTATTTTATATTTCTTGAGCGTAAAAGAACTGGAAACCAAATATTATCACCCAGAGACTACTGAGTGATTTGTGTTGCCATTGTAAGCAGTGACGTCACAATCTATATAAAAATACAAATTCCGGATAATTGGTGTCGATTCTTATTCTGAAGAAAATCACAGAATTTGTATCATACCAAGTTCGTTTTTTAAAAGGTTTACTGTTCGTAGTTTTAATAGCGGTAGCCAGTGAAAGTTTTAACCCCAACCTTTTCCCCCTGTACCTCATATCGACCGGTCCAACACAAGTGGAAAGTCTGATGGCGAGCCTTGTCCGAGTGTTATTGCGATACAAGGGTCCATCTTCTCTTGTCATCCGTTCATCTATTACGACACGACATTACGCTGCGATGTCGGGTTTACTCATTGAAGACCCCAAATTTGCTTGGCTTAAAGAACTTGGATTATCTGCGCAAAACAAGGGTGTATATTACGGTGTTTGGGGAGGCGAGGGTGAGGTGAGTGTATTGGCCGAGCAGAGAGACCGTATTTAGCGACAAGCTCGCTTTATTTGGTGTCACTGTTGGGAAAGTCAGTGCATGGCATTTTATTCATGTTTTAGCAACTGAGATAACACGTGACATTTTAACGACATCGATATGAAGCACTTGAAAAGTTCCATTCTTGTTTTGTGCCACCACGTACACATGGCAATGTAGGTGAAGGTCACGGGGGCGTGACCAATCAGCTTGCAGAAATGTGTTGATATGTACCATTGTCACTTTATTGACAGTGGCCATCCTGACGTGATGAAAACACTCACTAATATTATTCAGCAAATACCTATATCCCTATAAAAATATTGGAAACCATTAGAGTATATAATCATTTTGTCAGAGACATTATACAAATAATCAGCATGTTATTTCCACTGAGTGTGGTTAAATTTTCATGCATATTTCTTGTATTTTCCTGCACAGTTTCATTTTAAATATTTACCTGTGTTTTCAGGAGACAACTTCGTATTGTCCTGCAAATAACCAACCAATAGCAAAAGTTATTCAGGTGAGTCAGTCCTCCTGTGGAATTTGGCAAGCAGAAGTGAGTGGTTGGTACAGATGTCATGATTGTTGCTGACTGTACCAATGTGTTACAGTATATTTCTTTATTGAACACTTATGACACATAGTGAACATATACCAAACACAATATAACTAAAACAGCCATATAATATAGTTATTCCCTACCAAATTCTAGGTAAAATACATTGTTATACTTAAACTTGTTGAAGTGGAACAGTTTGAACATTGAGTTGGTATCGGGTCTAATCTGTAAATTCAATAAATATTATCTACCATGCTTGAGTATATTGTTAAAAATATACACAATTCTATGTTTGTACAATTTGTAAGCACTTGTGATCTGTCTTGTGTGAAATCTTGTCAGAAATAAGAGGAAATTTACAGCTACAGGTGTTGATGAGTTATGGCACTGGGAATTATTTTACTTTTCCTAGGTCCCGGTGCTTTAAGTCCTATGTTTTGATTTAACAATTGTGTCATGACTTCAGAGTATGTCACACAATGCCACTACCCTTAATCATTAATGGTATTTGTGTGAGCACAGAATTCCCCATAGCTCGACATTGTGCGATATGCAACTCCCCGTAAGAGTTTTGTCCTCTTGTTCTGGCTAAATACTTAGATGATTGGTTTCATTACAGGTATGCTCTCAGATTTTGGAAATGTTTTTCCAAGTTAAGTAGAAATTTTAGTGGAAATCATAATGAAAATTGGACAAAATAATTGCACTGATCATGTCATAATCTTGTTTAAATTGCCAAGCTTGCCCAGTTTGGGTTGGTATTAACGTTTTTGCAGTTTTTTACAAACAAATTGTAGCTCATTATTCTGCAAAAACACCTCACACAACAATGTGTAACTGGGAAGTACTGGGGAGGTGGGGTAGCCTAGTGGTTAAAGCGTTCACTCGTCATGCCAAGACCTGAGTTCAATTCCCCATATGGGTACAATGTATGAAGCCCATTTCTGATGTCCCCTGCCGTGATATTGCTGGAATATTGCTAAAAGCGGCGTAAAACAAGATTCACTCACTCACTCACAGGGAAGTACTGATGCATTCCCTGTGTGAAATCTGTGGAGCTCATGGACTTGGGGTTATGGGACAGGCAGGGAAAATGTCTGTGCCAGAACTGCCAGTTGCTACAAGAACATCCAAGGGACAACCAACAAGAGTTGCTCATTGTTTTCATTTGTATGTTATCTTCAGTATCTTGTGTACCTAAAGTTACCTCATACATGTCTCTCCATTTAGTGCTTGACTGAACAGAATAAGCCACGCTTCATGACACCTTAATTCATGACCTTGAAACCCTGAGTCAGGCTTAACTTTAAAATTTGTGGCTACACTTGCCTAATTAGTGATTTTCTTGTTGATTAAGTTTAGACTTTGATTGGACTGGGGCGTCGTTTCTGAATGTTCTGTTTAATTAGTGAGTAATAAGTGCTGATTGTTTTGTTTAAGGGAAATGCTGCTGACTATGAGAAGGCAATCACTGCAACCAAAGAAGCATGGAAAGTATGGGCCGATGTGAGTATATGGTTCACCTGTACCATGGCTTGTCACCAACTTTTCCACTTTACGTCATGACGTGGAATACATGCGTGGACCTTTGAAATGTAGCAGGCTGTGGCGTCTCCAACAGATGACTTCCTCAGTTCTGTGTATGACTGTTGATTGGTCAAGCTGGTTGAGACATCTGACACTAGACCTTGAATATGTTAATAGTGCCATGGACAGACAAGGTCATGCATAATGTACCCATGCTTGGATTACAAGTTAGCTGTGGAGAGAATCCTATGATTTGTTTGAGTGGCTTTCTCGAAGTTGGTGGTATAGAGATGACAAAACTTTATGCTTGAAAGTGGTATAAGAATCTACACTGAAACGTCACCATTGTCAAAATAAAGAAGTTGATCATCCATAAAGTTTTGTCATCTTGAGAATCCTCTGGTTACAGTATATGACCTTGTTGAACTTTAGTGTTTTCATGTGCCTCAAAATGAGATATATTTCATAACTCTACAATTAGCTTTTAAAAAATTATGTCTTTGAAAAATATGTACATAGGGAAAATTGGCTGCTGTTTCTAAATTTTAGCACATTTCTGGTGTAGCTTACTGTGATATTGCTGGAATATTGCTAAAAGCGATGGAAAACTAAACTCACTCACTCAAAATGTGTCCTTTTCTCACTTGTACACATGACAGGGAACCCGTATCACAAAGACATTACTTCGACTGCTGAATGTGTGCCATCATGGCTCAAAGGGCAGTGGGATATCTTAGGGATTAAAGCGTTCACTTGCCACACACTGAACGCAAAAATTCATTTCCCCAAATGGCTACCATGTTTAAAACCCATTTCTGGCGTTCCTATTATTTTTACATGACAGTTGTGTGTGATTGTCATATTTCTTCATAGTAGCATGTCTGTTTGTGCTGGAAATGTTGGTTGACACATTTACAGGTAATTATCTTCCCCACAGGTTCCAGGTCCGAAGAGAGGAGAGATTGTGCGGCAGATTGGAGAGGCATTCCACAAAAACATAAATCTTCTTGGAAAGTTGGTGAGATACTTTGTGATGTGAACATTCACTTGTTCGCAGTTCACAGCATTATGGTAGATCTGTTTATTAGAACTTTGCTAGACACTTAAGACTTACCTTTAAGGGCACTCTGATTCTGGTGTATATGTATACTCAACAAAGAAAGTTAAGGACCACCCCAATATTCAATATTTAAGCATTATGTGGATCACAATATGAACTATTAAATACTTTAATATTGAAAATTGGGGTGGTCCTTAACTTTTTGTTGAGTATATGATCTGAATAGATATTGTTTCTAATGTAAAAAGAATGTTGATTAATTTATTATTATTTCACATGCATGAGATGACCGTGGTGTGTGGCTGCAATGTATGCTTTGGCCACTGGCTTGCCTGTCCAAAGTATTTTCAGGCTGCAGTGGTAAAGCAGGAATAGTGTTGACGGCTGCGTAAAACAACATTCACTCACTGTGTTTCAGCTGGCGATGGAGATGGGGAAGATTGTGCCGGAGGGGGTGGGAGAGGTCCAGGAGTACATCGACATTGCTGACTATGCCGTTGGACTCTCTCGAATGTTTGCAGGACATGTTTTCCCATCAGAACGTAATAAAACAGACATTCAAAATACTTCTGTACATGTATGTGAAGAATGAGACTTGGTTACAAGGCCAGTGTTCTTGAGACTGCTTGTTATTTACCATTTCTCTGTATAAACACTTTTCTGAAATGTCCTGTGACCCGTGAAGGTCTGGGTTAGAATTGATCTTCAGTAACCCATGCTTGTCATAAGAGGCGACTTAACGGGATCGGGTGGTCAGGCTCGCTGGCTTGGTTGACACATGTCATCGTATCCCAGTTGCATAGATCAATGCTCATGCTGTTGATCACTGGATTGTCTGGTCCAGACTCGATTATTTACAGACCGCTGCCATATAGCTGGAATATTGCTGAGTGCGGCATAAAACTAAACTCACTCACTCACTTCACTTTTAACAACTGATTGAAGTGCTTCCAGTTGAACAGAGGAAATATCCTGAGATCATTTGAGATGTGTGTCTGCTCCAGGCCCTGGGCATATGCTGATGGAGCAGTGGAACCCGCTAGGGGTCATCGGGGTCATCACAGCCTTCAACTTCCCCTGTGCAGTTTATGGCTGGAACTCATGCCTCGCCCTCATCACTGGCAACACTGTGCTGTGGTCAGTCACCTTCACCTTTCTCTTGTTGAATTCTAGACTTGCAACATATCATGAAAATTACTAACTGTCATGTGTGACAAACTGTGAGAACAACTCTCCGATGTAAGAGAGGTAACTCTTAAGAAATAGCTCCCACTGTAGATGCTCTCATTCCAGAAAGTGCATGTTGTTTTCTAAAATGTGGAACAATTGAGCAGAGTGCCTTGCTATATTTTCCCCTATTATAGCAGATGAGAAGTACTTTCTGTTATAAATTAAACTGTTGTGGAATGTTGTAAACCCAAAAGAATTAGGGCAACGACCCAATTGTCTGAAGCACATGAATTTTGCTGTTCAGCATTGCATCCCTTTGGCATTCCAGGAACCAATGTTTGTAGGATCTGATCCTGGTTTTCCCTGACTATGTTATTATGTTTGTCAGCTCCAAACCCATTCTTGTTGATTTCACTGCCGTGGTGAATGCCAGAGACCTGCATCAATTCAGGCATCCGTCCCTCTCACATGTTGGGATATAACTGGAACACTGTCAATGTGGGTTTCGAACTCAGTCACTCACTCATCCAACAGCACAAACAGTGGAGATGTGCATGATATTGTTGTGATATATACTGAGAGAATATACCTTCATTGACTGTACATGGATTTGTCTTGTCTACAGGAAAGGTGCCCCTTCCACACCTCTGACGAGTGTAGCTATGATCAGGTAGGTGTCTTTCTTTGTAAATCCTGATTGTGGCCTGTTAAATATAGCCACATATTTATCCTATAAATTTTGATTGGTTATTTATTGTAGCACTTGGGGCTGTGAGGAAGCCTAGAGGTTAGAGCGTTTGCTCGTCACACCGAAGCCCCAGGTTTGATTCCCCACATGAGTACAATATGTGAAGCCCATTTCTGGTGTTCCTACTGTGATATTGTTGGAATATTGCTAAAAGCAGTGCAAAACCATACTCACTCACTCACTCACTCACTCTTGTAGCACTTGATATGACAAAGGCCATGTATTCAGAGTTTATTTTCTTGTTACATTATTTCAGGATTGTAACGAAGGTATTAGAGGACAACAACATCCCTGGGTCGGTGTGCTCCTTGGTCTGTGGTGGTGCTGATATAGGGTGAGGATGCTGCTTTGTGTGTTGTACTTACTTACTTAGGTAGTGGGTAGGCAAGTGGTTAGAGGTGATGCTGGTTCAGTTCCCAGCATCTGTGATGATTTAGTGGGTCGATTGTACCCACCTCTTCTGCCTTGTTATAGTTATACTGGAGATTCATGTAGTTGTAACTGGAGGTTTCCGACTGGGTTAGCTCCCTTGGCTGTCTGCTGGCATTGTAAATACTAGTATGAAAACAGATGTTTTAATTGTTCAGTGGTCTTATGGATAAAGTGTCTGCCTGGAGAGTCGAAGGTCAAGGGTAAGGACTTGTTACTCTGCCAGTGCTCGGCATTAAGGTGATGAAACAGAGCAGATGAGAGCCTGATGATGTACTGATGGGATAGTCATGTTAAGCTGTCTATGTCAGAGGGCTAGCACTCTAAACATTAGTAGACTGGACTAGGATATCTGTTCAATATTGCTATTCTGTTTTTCTGTAGGACGCTGATAGCTAAAGATGAGAGAGTGAACCTGGTGTCCTTCACTGGCAGCACACCAGTAAGTAAAGGGGACAGATGGTTTACTTCAACATGGAAAAGTCAGTTATTGTGTATTTAGCAATGAAATACTGTAATTAAGAAACCTAATATAGAATTAATATCTTAAATATGTATTGTTTCAGTGGAGCACTGACACTTTTTGCTGGAACTACCTAACATCTGATGCTATGTTCAGAGCAAAATCATGATGCTCAGTATGAAAATTGACATATTCACTGATTGCTATGTTGTTTAAGTTAAGTGAGAAGTGGTAATTTCTGTAACTTTGAGGTGTTCAGCAAGGCACTGTTCTGTTGCAGATTGGGCAGAAGGTGTCTCTGATGGTTCAGGAAAGATTTGGTAATGTCCATTTGTTTTCTCTGACCTGTTTAGGGTTAACACTTTCGTATAGGGTTAACACTTTTTATATAGTCTAGCTACCTCTGTGGAGCATTATCGGTCAAGTTGTCTCACGGCACTGCAATTCACTGGCAGAGTTGCCTCCCTTAGATGTTCCAGGATTCAGTGATTGTAGTTTCTGAGATTTACATTGATTATATCCAACTGATCAGACCATACTGATCCCAAGATCTGCATTGATTTAGGTTTTCCTCCAATAAAATGCTAATGTGCTGTGATATTGCTGGAATACTGAGTTTAAAAAAATAATGTCAGTCAGGGTAAAGTAGCAAATGATGACATATACAGGTACATTTAAAAATAAATGAATGTCTGTTTATTGTGAAAAACATTGAAAGTTGTATCAGTAGCTTTTTGTATGTTTCAGGCAAATTTTTGTTGGAGCTTGGTGGAAACAATGCAATAATAGGTATGTTATGATAAATGGAATACAAGAGTCATGTCTTTCATGGGCTCAAATATTCAGTACCATAAACTGAAGGAACTGTGCAGTGATTAGGTTGTCAGAATCGGTCATCAGTACCTTGTTATGAGAGCCTGATTACCTTGTTATGAGAGACTGATTACCTTGTTATGAGAGACTGATTACCTTGTTATGAGAGACCTGATTACCTTGTTATGAGAGACTGATTACCTTGTTATGAGGGACTGATTACCTTGTTATGAGAGACTGATTACCTTGTTATGAGGGACTGATTACCTTGTTATGAGAGACTGATTACCTTGTTATGAGAGACTGATTACCTTGTTATGAGAGATTACCTTGTTATGACTGATTACCTTGTTATGAGAGACTGATTACCTTGTTATGAGACTGATTACCTTGATTACCTTGTTATTATGAGAGACTGATTACCTTGTTATGAGGGACTGATTACCTTGTTATGAGAGACTGACCTGATTACCTTGTTATGAGAGACTGATTACCTTGTTATGAGGGACTGATTACCTTGTTATTATGATTACCTTGTTATGAGAGACTGATTACCTTGTTATGAGAGACTGATTACCTGATTACCTTGTTATGAGAGACTGATTACCTTGTTATGAGAGACTGATTACCTTGTTATGAGAGACTGATTACCTTGTTACCTTGTTATGAGGGACTGATTACCTTGTTATGAGAGACTGATTACCTTGTTATGAGAGACTGATTACCTTGTTATGAGAGACTGATTACCTTGTTATGAGAGACTGATTACCTTGTTATGAGAGACTGATTACCTTGTTATGAGAGACTGATTACCTTGTTATGAGAGACTGATTACCTTGTTATGAGAGACTGATTACCTTGTTATGAGAGACTGATTACCTTGTTATGAGAGACTGTTACCTGATTACCTTGTTATGAGTGTTGACTGATTACCTTGTTATGAGAGTTAATAGACTGATTACCTGTTAGTTATGAGTAATTCTTCTGTGTTCTGATTACCTTGAGATGTTATGAGGGACTGATTACCTTGGTGACTACTCTGGTTGGCCGTTGGTTCAAATTCTAGATTCACACAGATTGAAGCATGGTTATGTGTCCGACCTTTCATACCTTGATGGTACACCATTAAATCACATTAATCATAGGTTTTGTTGGTGTTTGTACAAAACTGAGTTGAGGACATAAGTCATCGTGTCTGTAGGTCAAGAAAAGGGTAGACGATGATCTGTTGATATGCAGTGAAGGACATGACCTAGGCACTTGCATATGTGTGTGTTGTTTCAGATGGAGTGTTGTATGGGCCTCTACACAGTAAGCAGGGAGTGGCCCAGTACCAGCAGGCAGTGGCTGATGCAGTGGCACAGGGAGGCAAGATAGAGTGTGGAGGCAAGGTAGGTCTTACATTAGGGTGTGGAGGCAAGGGATGTCTTACATGAGGGTGTTGAGGCAAGGTAGGTCTTACATGAGAGTGTGGAGGCAAGGTAGGTCTTACATGAGAGTGTGGAGGCAAGGTAGGTCTTACATGAGGGTGTGGAGGCAAGGTAGGTCTTACATGAGAGTGTAGAGGCAAGGTAGGTCTTACATGAGAGTATGGAGGCAAGGTAGGTCTTACATGAGGGTGTGGAGACAAGGTAGGTCTTACATGAGAGTGTGGAGGCAAGGTAGGTCTTACGTGAGGGTGTGGAGGCAAGGTAGGTCTTACATGAGAGTGTGGAGGCAAGGTAGGTCTTACATGAGGGTGTGGAGGACAGGTAGGTCTTACGTGAGGGTGTGGAGGCAAGGTAGGTCTTACATGAGGGTGTGAAACACAGGTGGGCAAGATAGGGTGTGGAGGCAAGGTAGGTCTTACATGAGGGTGTGGAGGCAAGGTAGGTCTTACATGAGGGTGTTTTGAGGCAAGGTAGGTCTTACATTAGGGTGTGGAGGCAAGGTAGGTCTTACATGAGAGTGTGGAGGCAAGGTAGGTCTTACATGAGGATGTGAAACACAGTAGGGCAAGATAGGGTATGGAGGCAAGGTAGGTCTTACATGAGGGTGTGGAGGCAAGGTAGGTCTTACATGAGGGTGTTTTGAGGCAAGGTAGGTCTTACATTAGGGTGTGTGGAGGCAAGGTAGGTCTTACATGAGAGTGTGGAGGCAAGGTAGGTCTTACATGAGGATGTGAAACACAGTATGGCAAGATAGGGTATGGAGGCAAGGTAGGTCTTACATGAGGGTGTAGAGGCAAGGTAGGTCTTACATGAGGGTGTGGAGGCAAGGTAGGTCTTACATTAGGGTGTGGAGGCAAGGTAGGTCTTACATGAGGGTGTGAAGGCAAGGTAGGTCTTACATGAGGGTGTGGAGGCAAGGTAGGTCTTACATGAGAGTGTGGAGGCAAGGTAGGTCTTACATGAGGGTGTGGAGACAAGGTAGGTCTTACATGAGAGTGTGGAGGCAAGGTAGGTCTTACATGAGGGTGTTGAGGCAAGGTAGGTCTTACATGAGGGTGTGGAGGCAAGGTAGGTCTTACATGAGGGTGTTGAGACAAGGTAGGTCTTACATGAGAGTGTGGAGGCAAGGTAGGTCTTACATGAGGGTGTTGACACAAGGTGGGTCTTACATGAGGGTGTGGAGGCAAGGTAGGTCTTACATGAGGGTGTTGAGACAAGGTAGGTCTTACATTAGGGTGTTGAGACAAGGTAGGTCTTACATGAGGGTGTGGAGGCAAGGTAGGTCTTACATGAGGGTGTGGAGGCAAGGTAGGTCTTACGTGAGGGTTTGGAGGCAAGGTAGGTCTTACTTGAGGTGTGGAGGCAAGGTAGGTCTTACATTAGGGTGTGGAGGCAAGGTGGGTCTTACATGTTGAGAGGTTTGGAGCAGGTAGAGTCTTACTTGAGGTGTGGAGGCAAGGTAGGTCTTACATGAGGGTGTGGAGGCAAGGTAGGTCTTACGTGAGGGTGTGTGGAGGCAAGGTAGGTCTTACGTGAGGGTGTGGAGGCAAGGTAGGTCTTACATGAGGGTGTGGAGGCAAGGTAGGTCTTACATGATTGAGAGGTGTGGAGGCAAGGTAGGTCTTACATGAGGTGTTGAGGCAAGGTAGGTCTTACATTGAGGGTGTGGAGGCAAGGTAGGTCTTACATGAGGGTGTGGAGGCAAGGTAGGTCTTACATGAGAGTGTGGAGCAAGGTAGGTCTTACATGAGGGTGTGGAGGCAAGGTAGGTCTTACATGAGGTGTGGAGGCAAGGTAGGTCTTACATGAGGGTGTGGAGGCAAGGTAGGTCTTACATGAGGGTGTGGAGGCAAGGTAGGTCTTACATGAGGGTGTGGAGGCAAGGTAGGTCTTACATGAGAGTGTGGAGGCAAGGTAGGTCTTACATGAGGGTGTGGAGGCAAGGTAGGTCTTACATGAGGGTGTGGAGGCAAGGTAGGTCTTACATGAGGGTGTGGAGGCAAGGTAGGTCTTACATTGAGGGTGTGGAGGCAAGGTAGGTCTTACGGTGAGGGTGTGGAGGCAAGGTAGGTCTTACATGAGGGTGTGGAGGCAAGGTAGGTCTTACATGAGGGTGTGGAGGCAAGGTAGGTCTTACATGAGAGTGTGGAGGCAAGGTAGGTCTTACATGAGGGTGTGGAGGCAAGGTAGGTCTTACATGAGGGTGTGGAGAGCAAGGTAGGTCTTACATGAGGGTGTTGAGGCAAGGTAGGTCTTACATGAGGGTGTGGAGGCAAGGTAGGTCTTACATGAGGGTGTGGAGGCAAGGTAGGTCTTACATGAGGGTGTGGAGGGCAAGGTAGGTCTTACATGAGGGTGTGGAGGCAAGGTAGGTCTTACATGAGGGTGTGGAGGCAAGGTAGGTCTTACATGAGGGTGTGGAGGCAGGGGGCAAGGTAGGTCTTACATGAGGGTGTGGAAGGCAAGGTAGGTCTTACATGAGAGTGTGGAGGCAAGGTAGGTCTTACATGAGGGTGTGGAGGCAAGGTAGGTCTTACATGAGGGGTGTGGAGGCAAGGTAGGTCTTACATGAGGGTGTGTGGAGAGCAAGGTAGGTCTTACATGAGGGTGTGGAGGCAAGGTAGGTCTTACATGAGAGTGTGGAGGCAAGGTAGGTCTTACATGAGGGTATGGAGGCAAGGTAGGTCTTACATGAGGGTGTGGAGGCAAGGTAGGTCTTACATGAAGATGTGAAACACAGTAGGGCAAGATAGGGTATGGAGGCAAGGTAGGTCTTACATGAGGGTGTGGAGGCAAGGTAGGTCTTACATTAGTTTTAGCCACCACCAAACATGGAAGTGGACCTCCTTTATCTCAGCAGTATATAAAAACGTAAAGACAGACAATGCAGTGTAGACAACATGTTGACAGAAGATGGGTAGAAAATTTGAATTATTAATATAATGCCCTGTGCTCAAGTCTGTGTACTATATTTATGTTAAAGTGAATGTATAATTGCTTATACCACTCTGTTCCTTGGCAGGTGATCGATCGTCCTGGCAACTTTGTGGAACCAACTATCATCAGTGGACTTTCCCATGATGCAGCAGTCGTTCAACGTGAAACATTTGCCCCCATTGTGTATGCTCTCAAGTGTAAGGTACGTATGATATCAATAAAACGATGGGATTGTCTGACCCAGAGTGTTGCCTGAAGGGTTAGCCTGGTGGTTGTACTGTGTCTCTGTAGTGGTATAGAAGCGAGGATCAGTGGATAAGCTATACCTGTTATTTAATTACTGCTGTCCTGTGTGTTAGTTCCCTTGATTGTGACTTTTCAGAGTTTTGAGGAAGCTGTTGAATGGAACAATGAAGTGAAACAGGGACTCACCAGCAGCTTGTTCACGAGGAACCCCAACAAGATCTTCAGGTGGATTGGGTATGTTGGTTTTAACAACATCTCCATATGGGTTGGTCGCCTCATCACAAAGAAGTGATATGTCATAGGTATCTAGTCAACAATCATTGGTTGAACTGAGAAGGTTGTGTAAAACAAGATGTAAGGTATGTTATCTACAGCCAGATGTGTACTTTATGTAGTTATTCGTTTGTCGGTCTGAATATGAAGAGTTACCTCCCATGGATGGTAATGCGCAAGGATTACTTGTTGAGCCAGATCTTCCTGTATTGTTGGATCTGATCATGGATCTGTTAGGGCAATGTACTAGATCGCAATGATCACTATATTTAGGAACCCAAAGTACTGTTTGTCTGTGATGTTTTATCCTTGTGCTATGATGTTGCTGATATTGGTCTAACCTCATGAGAAAATTGTTCTTTCTTGTAGCCCCAAAGGATCTGATTGTGGCGTGGTCAATGTTAACATTCCTACCAGTGGGGCAGAAATAGGAGGAGCTTTTGGTAAGTGTACATCCACCTGCCACCTGTAGTTGGAATACCAGAGAGAGTATTGGGTCCATGTTGTAGGATGGGCAAACAGGGTGATCTGACCGGGTACTGGGCATTCTGGTGCCCATGTAAGTAAGTCAGACACAGTGAAGGATCCAAGTAGGTTGCAAGGCCAAGGATCTCAACCCTGTTGTAAGATCATCACACAATGATCCAAGTGGGTATTGAGGCCAAGGATCTCAACCCTGTTGTAAGATCATCACACAATGATCCAAGTGGGTATTGAGGCCGAGGATGTCAACCCTGTTGTAAGATGGTCACACAGTGATCCAAGTTGGTTGCAAGGCCAAGGATCTCAACCCTGTTGTAAGATGGTCACACAATGATCCAAGTGGGTATTGAGGCCAAGGATGTCAACCCTGTTGTAACCACAATGATTGTAAGGCCATGGTCACTCAATGATCCAAGTGGGTATTGAGGCCAAGGATGTCAACCCTGTTGTAAGATGGTCACACAATAATGATCCAAGTGGGTATTGAGGCCGAGGATGTCAACCCTGTTGTAAGATGGTCACACAGTGATCCAAGTGGGTTGCAAGGCCAAGGATCTCAACCCTGTTGTAAGATGGTCACACAATGATCCAAGTGGGTATTGAGGCCGAGGATGTCAACCCTGTTGTAAGATGGTCACACAGTGATCCAAGTGGGTATTGAGGCCAAGGATCTCAACCCTGTTGTAAGATGGTCACACAATGATCCAAGTGGGTATTGAGGCCAAGGATGTCAACCCTGTTGTAAGATGGTCACACAGTGATCCAAGTGGGTTGCAAGGCCAAGGATCTCAACCCTGTTGTAAGATGGTCACACAATGATCCAAGTGGGTATTGAGGCCAAGGATCTCAACCCTGTTGTAAGATGGTCACAGATTCCAATGGCTGTTGTTCTGTTTGATTGTCATTTTAGAAGTTGATATAATAATAAGAAAGGTACGATACTTTATGAACTCTTGCTTGACAATGGTATAAGAATCTACACCAAAACGTGGGATCATAATATAATAAAGAATTTGTTGTCTATTAAGTATCTTACCTTTCTTAGCTATTGGGGTAAAACTCAACTCACTCACTCAACTCTTAGCTATTGTTCTGTTTGAAGTTTCCAGTTTATGTGATGTTGAGTGTAACTGTTTCAGGTGGAGAGAAGCACACTGGCGGCGGACGTGAGTCTGGCAGTGACGCCTGGAAGCAGTACATGCGGAGATCAACATGGTGAGGACCCACCATAAACATGGCTCCTATTTCTGTGACTGATACGAGAGACACACAAGGGAGCTGAACTTCAGTGTTGGGATGTTGGGGATGGGTCATGAATCATCGGGGGAAGGATCAGGAACAAATCACCATTTATGCCAAAGGAATATCATGCTTGTAAATACATGGGTAGTTATTGCATGCAGATCATTGTGATTACATTTCTTGATTTTCACGAAAGGCTATATAGGCAGTTGTCTCAAGAGGCCAAGATGAAGCAGAAAAGCACAATGGGGACATTCATTCAAGGGGTTGTTGTTTTGTGCTCTGACTCTTGAATTGTTTTTACAGAAATATATCCTAAGCATATCCTTCTGATTGCCAGGGGTCTCAGTCCATGACCACTGATAAGAATTTTCACCTTTCCTCAGGTACCAAATTGATCCCCTGGCTTTGTTATAGACCAATACATGACAATGGACAATGTAACCAATTCACTTCAGCTGCCCTATAACTGGAATATTGCTGAGTATGGCGTAAAACTAAACTCACACACAATTCACTTCAATCTGAATCCACTCTTTCCTAGAGATCCTCCAGATCATTAATCCCCCAAATCAAGTCGTAGATTATTGGTGGGTTTTGAGTATTATTGGGGTTCTCAGGAAAAGGATATTGATACTATTGCAATATAGGCACATGTATTGCAAACCCAGTCATGCTGTAGGCTTATTAAACTGACAGAACATGATGACAAAGCTTTCATTCTAATCCCACCGAATTGTAAGTTAGCACATTGCTTGGTAAGTTGTTAATGAGTGAGAGAGATTTACCTATCACTCCTAAATAATATGGTTTGCTTTGTGTGTTTCAGTACCATCAACTACAGCACGGAGTTGCCTCTAGCTCAGGGAATCAAGTTTGAGTAAACACAGGTAGGTCATAGGTTATTATCAGGCCTTTGAGAAACTGATGCTCAAATTATATGATGGTTCAAACTGAGACCACTGCTAAATGTAGCCCACATGACATTAGTTATCAAGCGACATCACACGTAGATATAGCTTTGATGAGACCAGTGAAGTAACATATACAATGCCGTGGGGACCATTGTGACATCATCGTTCTCATGATGTCACAAACAAATGTCATGACTAATCTCTCTGCCTCTGAATCTAGTGACCTGTACTTTTTACACTCAGGTTGTTTGTTGTGTTTGTTCCCAGGCTGAAAAATTTGGGATAATAATTTTGAATGGTAAATAATCTCATGGCAAACAAAAGCTTTTATCAACTCTGTTTGTTATGTTAGCTATCTTGGGTGGGATTTCTTTTATACGACACAGACTTGTGGTCTGAATATCTGTTACTTTGGAGTGTGACAACACACAAATGACGAATGACATGCTGCACTATCATGGATATGCTGCTGCACTATCATGGAAGTGCTGCACTATCATGGATGTGCTGCACTATCATGGACATGCTGCACTATCATGGACATGCTGCACTATCATGGACATGCTGCACTATCATGGACATGCTGCACTTTGCACTATCATGGATGTGCTGCACTATCATGGACATGCTGCACTATCAGGGATATGCTGCACTATCATGGACATGCTGCACTATCATGGATATGCTGGTCAACCTTCAGTATTATTATAGGATATTTATATAGTGCACATATCAACGCAACTAGTACATGCTCAAGGCGCTGGCAATTTCTTCCCTTGATCATTGGATGTCAATCTCAACGGCACATCGTATTATCAATCTCAACTCCTTGGGGAGTATACAGCTCTTGCAGCCACTAGGCACACCGAGTTATTGCGGCTTTCCCATCCTTACGAGGTACTCATTCACAGTTGGGTGGACTGGGACACATTGTCACAGTACTTTGTCCAAGTTTACTGCATGTTGCTGTACCCGCAACTAGGTGTTTGCACGTATTTATGTGGCCACCATCTGGTCATATACCAACGGATTCATGGGTTCTTTTAAGTGCACAGGGTTGTGTACTGTACACTAGGGGTTGTGACAACACTGAAAGAGTCTGCACACAAAGTTGTCTCCAAGGTTTTTACACCCGGTCACAGGTGGGCTCGATCCTGATACCTCAAGCTCGCTGGATCACTTGCCTGGCACCTTAGACAGCTCGCCCACCATGCCCAGTACCTGTGTTCATCACCGTAATTGACATAGCCAACATTAAACACAAAAGTATATCCACCATCAGCCCCTGCAGATTGTTTGATGTAGTAAAAGATACACCAAGTCAAGTGATGTAGTGGGCATTGGTGGCCCAGTCATCTGAAGGAACGCAATTTCTGGTGCAACAGTAACAGAATCCTGATATCCACAGTGAAGTGTGTAGGAGGTCCTAGCCATCCTTCTTCATACACCTGAGGGTTCTCCTTCTGACAGACAGACAGATGCACCATACATGCATGCACCCACACATGCATGCACCCACACATGCATGCACCCATCCCTGCACTCACCCACCAAGACATGCACAAACACACACACACAGTCACCCATGCATCTACCCATGAACACACACACATAGTGATGCACCCACGTGATGTTTATCCCCATTCATCGTTTTCTACATGATGACAGTTTTCTATCTTCCAGAGTCCCAGAGATGATACTCAAGCAGGCATTCCCAGCTGGGTGAATCTCTCACTGAAGACACTGACAGAGTATACACTACAAGTTGTGCCAAGCTCCACAGATACCTGTCAAGCAACTTATAGACCTGTAATTTGACATGATATGCAGACTGTTTCAGTATTAACTGTTATTGTATATGTGGACAGTGTTTCATCCCGAGATCTTGCTGCATTTACTAATAGTGCTAGTCTAAGGGAATTAGGATTTCTAGGTATTGCTGATGAAGACAGGACAGGTCGTTTTCATTTGTTATATTTGCATATGCTTGAATTAACAACTGCAGATTTATTTCCTTTGTAAATAGTATCTGTTGTTTCCTTTGGCCAAGTTGTACTGTTTAAAATACTACAGTTGATATACAGATTGACAGTAATAATGATGCATGCCTTCCTCTTTTGAGGGTGTGGTTTGGGTATTCATTCATTCACCCTGTACAATCTTATATGAACATAAGTACCTTTTTAAGATACAAAACGATGGAAACATTTACCCCAGATTCAGAGTCTCAATAGTGGCATTATATCACTTTTGTGTTTTTGACTGAGTGCTAGTTGTTTGATACAAATATTGTCAAATATGTACTACATATATTTTACTCAATAAATGTGAGATTTGATTACCGTTTGTTCTGTGTTTTCTCGTGACAAATTGGATGAGAGTGCCCCAAGAATCATCATAGTAAGCTAAACTGTTGCTGAAGTCATTATAGGCAAGAGGGGTACATTTTGTGTTTTCATATTCGAACAGAAATATGTCTATCCTTTTGTGAAAAGGTACATTCGTTCGTTGACAGAAATAACATAAAACATGTTTTTATATTAATACACAATGTGTTTTAGATAGTGATCAAATGTAACAAATGCTGCATTACACTTTCTTAGTAAAGTGCACTCTCATTGGGAATTGGAACCCTATGTAACTGGGATTGTAATATAACATTTGTTAGAGTTTTATATTCAACCCATGTGTAACACAGTACACAGCAATGGCGACCTTAATGTTGGGACAAGAACCTTCCATTAACTCGGTGTAGCAAGTAAATATCAAAACATTAGTTTGGAAGCACCTCAGAGATACGTTTACCACAGCAACATCTGATGTCTCCCCAACTGAAGGTACTGGTAAACCCAGTCAGGTCATGGCTTTGGTTTTCTGGGACTCCAGTAAATCCTCCTAGTTGTCTAACTCACAAACGCCAGACCATTAATGACCAATAGTGATCTTCAGGGGCAAGTGCATGAGAATATCTGGGCTTAATGTCATGGAAAAGGCGCTGGGATTGTGTTTTTCCACCAGGACAATGCACCCGTGTGGCTATGTAACGCTGTGGATTTGAAGTCATTACATATCTTTGGTGTCCACCTCTTCACAAAGATCTGTCTGGCAAGCATTTTAATATGCAAATGATGGTGACGTCATTTCTGCAGTGGAGGAATGCCAGAATAGGAAAGCCTTCCACACCAATCGTATTAACAGAAGTGGACGAACCACAAAGGGAGTTATGAAACATAATTAAAAACCAAATTCATAAATAATATCGAGAATTTTAACGGCACAGAATAATCTGCGTAAACAGATTCCAATAGGCATTACAGGTACAATGGTGATAAGAATTGTATGGTTCAATCTCTGAAATTGGATCCGTGGTGACACCAGGTGTTCGCGAAAGGATAAGCATATCGTGATGTACCAGCAGCACCGACCAATCACAGTCTATCGTGAACTGTGCAAAAAAGAAACTGCATGTAATATAGTCATGTACACAGTTTCTTTTGGTGCCTAGTATAGGAGTTTTTGCCAGCCTTGTACCATTCAAAATCTTATCACATCTTAACTTGGTGCTAGATCAATCAAAGACCTGAGGCATCCATGCAGTTATTGTAAAACATGTTCGTACCATTCGTTACCACTGCACTTGTACTTCTGACATGCGTGACTTACATGTTATCTTAATTACGTTGAGGTCCAAGTAATGTTTTTGGACTGAAAGTAATTGTTGCTATTTTATGCGTTGAAGAAATGATGGCGAGTGTGCTGCTTCTGGATTTACAAGTGCCAACAAACACGGTTACTTGCTCTCTGCTGTAGTATAACGTGTGGAACCTGAGCACTTGAGAGAAATGACTCAGTTTAGTTGCGGAAGTCCATCACCATTATATATATAACAGTTAATAGATCGACTCAGTATTATGAGTTCGTATTAAATGGATTAAGGGAATGTAAATGGGTTTAATTGTTAAAGTGTTGTTATATTGACTTTTTAAAAACATGCCGAGAGAGCAAACTACCCATCGCCAAGTCATCCTTCAAGATAACGCATTGAGTGTAAGACATTCCATAGTGTCCTAGGCAGATCGTGGTCCCTGTAAAGGGAAGTTGTCTACTTACATACTTCCCCCACTGACATATCAACTACGACAAGACCAAGGGCAAGTACACTGGAAGGGCAGTCTGGAAGTATTGGGTACAGCCAGTAGTCCAGTCTTGCACTACCCAGCTTTAGGGCAGGTCAGTGGTACCCGGTCCACAAGGTGGCCAAGTTGACTGTATCCTGACAGTCTTGCACTGCCCCAGTTCAGAATAGAGGATCAGGGCTTTTCAAGATACTTCGGTACCTTGGAATACAGATACATAAATCGGGATATATTTGAAGGCTGCCTTTGAAAGTGTGGACTTTAAAACCGCCGTGTCAGCTGTTCAGATCGACATGTTTGGGGCCCTCCTGTTCATCATTGCTACCTCCGTGCTCCCATGCCAGGGTGTCAGTGACGGGTGAGTGGTTTCTTGTCAGAAGTTCAGCCATATCTGTCTGGACGGTATATATCAGTGGTTGATAGCATGACCATGCCCACACTATGTACATCTGTACAAGGTGACACAACAACCAAGCCATAGAACAAAACTGAGCAATCCACTTGGAGGTCACATGCAGGCATCCAACCATAACAGTAAAACACAACTGAAATCAACTCACAAAATCTGCTTCATTCACTTAATAATGTCATGCTTGATTATTTGAGGAAGAATCAGGTGCTAGGGATACAGCAGATTACAAACATTATTTCGATACTTTCTTATGACAAACTAATGCTTTTCAATTACGTGCAGCATTTATGTATGTCTAGATTTTAACCTTTCTAAAATTTGATGTGCCAAAGGAACTTCAAAACATTATGACATTAGATACTCCAGGAAATCCGACAAACCATTCAACCTCCTTTTTTCGCCTACACGATACAGGTTAAAATAATGTAAAGATTACCTGAAATACATACTTTGTGATTTCAACCCCTCCAGATGGACAGCAGCCTCGGCAGTCCAGTCTATGGACCTTCACTCCTGTAAATTATCTGTCCGTCATCATATCCTATTCAAACGAAAAGGAAGGGATATACTAGTATCCCGCTTTACTAACCAATAGATTTCAAAATATGCACAGAAAGACAACAAACAACAACTAGAAACTTACCGACATACATCACGATAATCCATTACGGTCTGACCCACTTAGAGGCTCGATAGACGAATGACATCCCATATATTCCATTACCATACACCACACGGGATACATCCGGGTATAAGCACGTTCAAAAAGACGCGGGGCGGTGGGGTAGCCTAATGGTTAAAGCGTTGGCTCGTCACGCCGAAGGCCCGGGTTCGAATCCCCACATGGGTACAATGTGTGAAGCCCATTTCTGGTGTCCCCCGCCGTGATGTTGCTGGAATATTGCTAAAAGCGGCGTAAAACCAAACTCAGTCAGTCAAAAAGACGCACAATATACTGCATATGGCATGACCCAACATACGTCTCTTTACTATGAGTGAGTATGGTTTTACTTCGCTTTTAGCAACATTCCAGCAATATCACGATGGGGGACATCAGAAATGGGCTTCACACATTGTGCCCATGTGGGGATCGAACCCGGGTTTTCGGCGTGACGAGCGAACGCTTTAACCACTAGGCTACCCCATCACACCTTCTTAAAACTATGATGCATCTAAGATGAAACAACGCCGACATGTTTGTTTGTTCTCCGTGTCTTTCTTGAGTGCATTGGCCACAGGTATAAGGTGTCCAGGATGGCACCCTGGTCACTGACACCGGGTATAAGGTGTCCAGGATGGCAGCCTGGTCACTGACATCGAGTATAAGGTGTCAAGGATGGCAGCCTGGCCATTGACATCGAGTATAAGTTGTCCAGGATTGCAGCCTGGCCACTGACATCGGGTATAAGGTGTCAGGATGGCAGCCTGGTCACTGACATCGAGTATAAGGTGTCAAGGATGGCAGCCTGGCCACTGACATCGAGTATAAGTTGTCCAGGATTGCAGCCTGGCCACTGACATCGGGTATAAGGTGTCCAGGATGGCAGCCTGGTCACTGACATCGAGTATAAGGTGTCAAGGATGGCAGCCTGGCCACTGACATCGAGTATAAGGTGTCCAGGATAGCAGCCTGGTCACTGACATCGGGTATAAGGTGTCCAGGATGGCAGCCTGGTCACTGACATCGGGCATAAGGTGTCCAGGATGACAGCCTGGTCACTGACATCGGGCATAAGGTGTCCAGGATGGCAGCCTGGTCACTGACATCGGGCATAAGGTGTCCAGGATGGCAGCCTGGTCACTGACATCGGGCATAAGGTGTCCAGGATGACAGCCTGGTCACTGACATCGGGCATAAGGTGTCCAGGATGGCAGCCTGGTCAGGATGGCAGCCTGGCCACTGACATCGGGTATAAGGTGTCCAGGATGGCAGCCTGGTCACTGACATCGGGTATAAGGTGTCCAGGATGGCAGCCTGGTCACTGACATCGGGCATAAGGTGTCCAGGATAGCAGCCTGGTCACTGGAATCATTCTGCAAAAATGAACATTTCGTTTGAGCCACACCTACTTCAGAGTTTTATAACGTTGAAGTGAAGTATTACATTACTAGATTACAAGTCTTCGTGCATATTTTAGCGATGTCGGTGTCAGTTTGCTTCTTTGTATATTTGTAATCCCAAAGTCAGTACCATAAACCAAACGATTGAAATGTCAACAGATCCGCCAGTCCCATCTCTTCTGTCTCTCCCCTCCGTACATCCGGCGTCCGGAACGTCTTAAGTAGTCGTCAGTAGGTTTGTCTTAACTCTACATGTCACGACAAGACACTCTGAAACATCGGTTGATATCTTGTAGTTAATGCTCTTAACGTTGCTAGTGTAGGGTTTTTCTTTGAGGCCAATCTTCAACTACTATAGGCAATATTTCATCTTATTTATGAAATGCATGATCAGTTCAAGAATTTGTTTTAAAAAGCACCAAGTACATATAACATTCTTTCATGATATCCCACCCAATAACATGTGACCACTCCGATAATAATGTTCGAATTTATTACACAAAATTATGAGAAAAAAGGGCATTTGCCAATGCAGAATTGCATCCCCTGGGCAAGCCAGAAACCGGTGATCATGGGTTCGAATCCTGGTTCGACGTGGTTTTGTCTTTAGGTTTGTCAGCACCCTACCCATGCTCAATGGTTTCACAAAAAGTAATAAGCGCCGGAGACGAACATGGCTGTGGGCCTTCCTATCGTGTTAGACTGACATGCCCCGTGAAATAACTGGAATACTTGACAAGGGGTGGTTTTCAGTCACTTCTTCTTGCCAATTCCGGACTGTTTCCAGTTAATGCATATGGGAACACACACACACACGCACGCACGCACGCACGCACGCACACCACCACTGCCCTTTTAACCTGACGATCGCGAGTATTGTGTGGGGTTCAACAAGGTATTCATATCGTCTCTGTTACCAGAAGTTACATGCTGACGATGTCCAGGTATATGGAGGTGGGGAAACCACAGAAGATCTGCATGACACTGTACAACCAAACTCTTGTAGATGTGTACTACACAATGCAGTCCGGCAACAAAAGATACTTCTTCCAGATACAGAAGTACAGGAAAGGTGAGAGATTTCCAATCAGTCTTCCTATGTGATAATGGAATACAATCTAACAGATTGCTCAAGGGTTACCCGGTACAGCGCCGCAGTGAATATGTGACGCAGCTTAAAGGCACGGGTTTGCTCACATGTAGTCACAGTACTGCCAACCAATCCGGTGATTGTGACCACCCGATCCACATTCTGCTGGAATCCCCAGAAATTGAACTTGTCAAAATCAAGTCTAACGATGAGTCTAATAGTATCACATGGCACCAATTCATCGCTAATGGCCCTGCTGTGTCAGTTTAACCTGTATCAGTTTAACACTGCATGTCCCCCTGACTCGGCCGAGCTGTGACAGGTGATGCGGCTGTGTGGAATGTGGATCGGTTGGTCGAGGCTCACAGAATCACAGTTTCATCCGATTATGATCCTTGGGTGGTTAACATAATTCCAATGCAGATCGGTTTCCGAAAATGACCTGTATCACCTTGGAATGTCATCCACATAATTCTGACATTTGATATAATTGCAGTGATGTTCTAATGCAACATCAAGACTAAGCGCTCTCTCTGTTACGCAGGCAAAGGCGGCTGTATCGACGTTACAGTACCCGCCTACGCAGCTGGAACTCGCAACAGGCTGTCAATAAGTATTGTCGAGCCTACAGGGAAGTTTATAGACAGGTCCCACGACTTCGTACCGAGTTCTCCCCTACGAGTCACCTACATACATTCGGACAAACCAATCTACAAGCCTGGTCAGCTTGGTAAGGAAGAACCAGGGTCAGCGAGGTTCATTTGTATTGATGACATCACCCTTACGTAGATACGCTTATGCTATGGGTCATCGCCCTGCTTCCAACAGTCCATCAGTATCGTTGTCCGTTATTATGAATCTTTTCTGAACAACATTATTACTAAAATACAATCTTACAGGTCGTATAAACACAATAAAATAAACATTTTATTTTTAGTGGAAAAGCATTCACTGAACGAATCTCTTCTTCTGCAAAAGCGTTGAACATTTACTTTCAAAACATTGAATGAGGTTAAAACTTTCCTTCTTGAGGGTCTATACTTTGACAAAGACCAAAACTACTGAAAATAATATGTGATATTGGAGTGCTGGAATTCACTACTTGGTAAAGGGACCTTTTATTGATGCATGTTAAAGGGGTATTTAAGGGGGTTGTTGTCTAGTATGGTTTTCCCACAAATGAACTGGCTTGGAAGAGTGTCTGTACCTCTGTACGTAAACTTGCGTTGTTGGAGACGATGGCAAAGACACATTGGACTTTATGGCAGTGATAATCTGTCCCGCTCCCAGACACCATGTTTAGGTGTTTCAGAGGGAATGTTTCATAGATATGATCTGTATCAAAGGGATTAGACTGCGAATGTATACTTTAACTTATATACAGACTTAGCTGACATATGTCATCGTGTCCTAATTGTGTAGAGCGATGCTCACGGTGTCAATCATCGTATTGTCTTGTCCAGACTCGATTATTTACCCACCACGGTCATATAGCTGGAATATTGCTGAGTGTCTCGTTAAACAAACGCACATAAATAAACAACCCTGATTTGTCTTTTGCAGTGCGATTTCGGATCATGACAGTCGACTCTGATTTGATGCCTGACTTGGGCAAGGTAGGTGTCCCAGCTACGCACGCGCGTGCGTGTGTGTGTATGTGTGAGTATGTCGTTAGCTCATGTAGAATGCACACATGCACATATATTAATCGTTTCAGGTCATTCTCCCTACCTGGTATTGTAGCAGTTTCATGTGTTTTGCAGATTTCTCTCGTTCGTGTAATAACACCTACCGACGTCATCATGAAGCAATGGCGAGATATTGACAACGACAAGGGTATGTTCTGTCACATTACGGGAACTGCACTGGTTACGTATTCCGATTATTAGTCTGCCTTTCATAACACTACAAACATGTGATGTTACGGTTCTGTTACGTCAGCCACCTGCCGTGTATATACCACTTCGATAGTGAAAGTGTTGTCCGGCTGATTTTAGGTCAATCGAACATTTTATCTATGTTTTGTGATACTTATGTGTAAAAATCAATATAGGTGCAATATGAATACCTTAACGAAAGTGTTTGTATTTGTTTGAAGTTTGACAAAGACATGAAATGTTTGTAAATGTCTCTCCTTTCCCCCAGGGATCGTGACACTAGAGTTCCAACTGGCGGCAGAGCCATTGCTTGGAGACTGGGTAATTTTGTGGAGACGGGCGGTTATCAGAGAAGAACCACGTTTAAAGTAGCCGAATACGGTAATTCCTGATTGTTAAATTATATAAATGTTCCGCGAATATTCGGTCAACTGAGGATACTGAAGAGTTTGGAGTGAGTGAGTTAGTTTCTGTTTACGTCGCTTTTGGCAATATTCCAGCAATATCACGGCTGGGGACACCAGAAATGGGCTTCACATATTGTATCCATGTGGGGAATCGAACCCGGGTCTTCGGCGTGACGAACGAACGCTTTAACCACTGGACCCACCCCACCGAGTCTGGGTGTTGCGATGGGTTTGGGTGCGTGTGTAGGTTTGTGGTTGAGGGTGTAGCTTAGACAGCGGCGGCCTTACCATGTGTTTGTTTTATGTGTTTATTCTGACAGTGTTACCCAAGTTTTTGATGACGCTGTCTCCACCAAAGCGGGTTGACGACAAGACGGAGGCCATAAAGGGTGAAGTCTGTTGCAAGTGAGTCTGATATACATATTGCAAGGTGAAACACATTAACACTATCCTGCGGAACGATCTATTAAGATCCTTAGCAAGAAATATAAACATTGTAACACAAAGATAAAAATATACCTTGGTATAAATGGCAGATTGGGTCTTAGCTATATCTCGCTGCGTTATAACATAGGCGGATCCAGAGGGGGGGTTCCTGATAGTTTGTCCTGAAAGTTTGTTAAATGACCATTGAAACTCTCGTGAAAATGGGTAAAAATCAACTGTGCACACACACGTCCTTTCTTAAAAGGAGTATCCGTCCCTGTAAGAGGCTTGGGATGTGACGGAAACATCGCGTATACCAGTTTGAGTCAGTACCTGCTGGTTTCAGGTACACATATGGCCAGCCCGTGAAGGGCAAGGTCATGGTGGAAACGTGCGTCACGGAGCTCTATCAGACATACAAGACAAGCACAAAGCCATGTGTCGTCATACATGGAGAGGTGAGCGTCCGATGTGTTTCAGTTACATGACCTACTTTTGATGACCTGTGAATAGAAAATATCAAGGAAAGTGGAGAAATACAATTTCACCAGGACAACTTTGAAACGCCGTTATCTACGCCGTGCCTGAATATCGGTGAATTAAAACATATTTACCTGCTCTTTTAGACGAGGGGTACGTTCTCAGTGAACCCTATTGTTTGCTCAAATGTTATCCATAACTTCAATGAAACCGTATCTGGTCAAAATGTGGCGTTGTCCGGCTGGAGCTTTTTTTATATTTTGATCCACTCTCGGATCCCATAGTAAAGCAACTATTGAGAACAAGAAAGAAGCGACTGTGTTATACGTCACTGAGGATAGTCAGAAGTAGAAACGCCTAGAGTTATGTACCCCACTGTAGGTAGTCAGACACTGGAACTACTGGAGAGAACTCACAGTGCAATAGAAGTATTTGTTAAGCCTTTTTGAAATCACATAAAACATTGCTCTTATTTGATTGATAACAATCACCTTTTTCAGATGACTGGCTGCTTTTCCTATTCATTTGATGTCGCCATTTTAAGACCACATTACCAGGATCGCTACAATTATCTCAAGATCAGCACTTTCGCCGCGGTTTTAGAAGAGGCAACAGGTAACACGAGCCAACACTCCAGCAGCCAGGCACGCTCAGAAGCGTTTACAAGAGCTACAGCAAATTATGCTTGTTTTCTCTTTTAATGAAAGTTTCTATTCCTTTCGAGCAGACTAAATCTCTGAGGACACCATATTAAGCATTAACAGGAATATCACATTATTCATGGCACAGCGCAGTATAGGCTCCCATTATCCCTTTAGAAGCCGAGAACCAAGTGCGTCGTCAATACGTGACTGTGTGGATCTAAGCTCATTATCTCAGCCTCTATTGTCTCTGATCCACTCTGGTACTGTGTCTGTATCAATCCTGCTTGAGAAACAACTATCATGCCTATCGGCAGAGGAATGTTTCAAGGTGACTCTGTCAGTCCTTTGCATCTCTGTTTGTCATCCTTTGAACTTGTTGATGATCGGAGAGGGAGGTTATCATCCAGGACGGCCTCAGCACAGACCGGAAGCCTGTCTTAGTCACGTCCTTTACACACATAACCTTGAACTTTGGAAAAACAGATTCTCTTGTCGAGTCCGTTTCCACTTAATTGAAATTTCTTTCGGGATCGGCAAATGCAACTTTCTTCATCTGAAATGTGGCAAGATGGAAGAGTGAAGATCAGTCAGTACATTTGGGAAATTATTGACCATCTCGTGGAAGGTACTTAGTAATGAAGGTTGGAGACAAACTCCAGAACGCCCACGTAGAAGACCTTCTCTTGGCAGAATACAAAATTTAATGTAGAAATTTTGAGTTCAGAGCTGAACGTTTGCAATAGTGTCAGAGCCACAAAGACGGATGCTGAACCCCTTCTCGTGGTGTTGCTGCTCGACCTGGCAGCGCTTCCTGGGAGAAGTCCCAGTCGTTCTCTTGCTTGCGTGTAAAGCCCTGTGACCCTAACTAGCTTCAGGGTCACCCGTACCCTCTTTGCATATACTGATTTTAAGATGTAAACCATAATACTACTGACAGTATGGTCTAGACTGTGCGTCACTGACCTGATATAAAATATTCAGTACGTACCGTTTATGGCTTCAGTTTAACAAGTTTGTGTTTTTTGTGTCACTAGGCCTGATTGTAAACCAGACAAAAGAAGGGCCAACCATCACTACATTTACCATACAAGCTGACGTCAGTTCCTACACAAGGAAGTTCTTCAAGCCTCAACTGCCATTCGAATACAGGGTAAATATATACTATATCTGTACAACTAGTCATTTACTACATGTCGCGCACCACTGTTATATCATCCCTGAATGAAGGCTGTATAATATTGTGTTCCATACAGTGAACCTCGTCATTCCGGACGTTCCATGTTAAAAAGTATGAAAAAGAATATGTCCCATTTTGCCTCACTTCAAATTGTTGTCATGGAAGTATCATCAGACCTGTTTGGGCGTCACTGACTACGGACATGGTCGCAGACATAAATATTGCAAAAATGATAGAAAACTTTTCGAACATCAAGAGAAAAACATGGTATTAGGTTTACCTATGAGTGTATGATTTAGGTCCATGACTTTCAAAATCAGTAGCCCGGTAGCGTTACTGAAAACCTTAAAGAAATCCGCATTATAATAACTTGTATCAATCATTTTATCGTCATCTATTATTTAGTATTGTTATGAGATGGCGTGTTGATGTGCTTCAACGATCAATAATAAGGGCGGTTGGGAAGCCTAGTTGTGAATGTCTACCCTGTTATTGATACGTGCATTTATAATGCGCTAGATGAATGCTCAAAGCGCAGCACAAGCTGATTATTATTACCCCGGATAACCCAAGCTGCCTGTGAGGCGCAAGAAGGTTAAGTCACATGACTTATCCCATCGGGTACCCATTTTCTGCTGAGTGAACAGAGGCAATTTTTAACAAACTCACTTGCCTAAGGTGAGACCACATGTACTACATGTGCTACAATGTGGGACAGGACTGAAGCCCCAGAAACTCAGAACTCCAGCTACCAAACATGGTCACCCATACAAGGAGTCTCCGTGCCCAACGTAGCTTAACTTCAAATTAGTTGAGCTCTATGCACAGGACCACACACCACCATTGTGGTGTGGATGTTTGCTAAATTCGACATAAGTTCAACTTACTCACTACTTAGGACAAACGTGTATTAATAATAATAATAATAATAGGGGCATTTCTAACGCGCATATATCCATACTGAAGTATGCTCAAAGCGCTACATTATACAAAGAGTTAAGCAAAGTTGGAAAGACATCAGGAAAAGGTGAGTTTTCAGTTTTGATCGGAAGCTAGAGAAGTCACTGGTGTTCCGGAGAGAGAGGGGAAGATCAGTCCAGGCTGTTGAAGATGCGTAGGCGAATGATCTGCTGCCGTAGAGCAGGAGCGCATCCAGACAGGCAGCGGTAGGTGAGGCAGAGGAGTTTAAAGCGGATCCGGTTCTCGATTGGAAGCCAATGAAGAGATTGAAGAATGGGAGAGAGAGATGTGGTCAAACTTCTTCGATCTAGCCACGACACGTGCAGCAGCATTTTGGATTCGTTGAAGTCTCTGGATTTGTGTTTTGTTTGCACCGGCTAGGAGGGAGTTACAAGTCTCCTAGTCCAGGCTATAGTCAGGTATTGCCTAATGGAACTGATATTGCGTAGAGCTGCAAAACAGATCCTAGAGAGATGTGGTATGTGATCATCCAAAGAGAGGTCGGAGTCAAGGATGGCACCAAGATCTCTTACTTTCTGTGAGAATGGAATACTTTCTCCATCAAAATCAAGAGCATTCAATGAGCACTGGGAGCAACGTTTTGCAGGGCCCAGTAGAATGCACTCTGTCTTTGAACTGTTCAATTTTAACATGTTGTCAAACATGTTATTAGTAATCTGTTGCTGAAGAACTGAGGCTTGTTTCATCTGAGGAGCATCTTGTATTTCACATGTCGCATATCAATGGGTAATTGGCGCATACAGCATGTCCATCAAACCCTTCCATGTATCATGTATCGTCTCGTCATCCAGGCGTCTGTACTTGTGATCGTAGCAACTGCTTGAAATGTGGATTCGCCTCAGTTAAAGGTCACATGCAACCAAAAAATCAAACATAATTAAAACACAATTATCACTTATTCATGACATATAATATACATTGCTGGTTACGAAAAAAATATATAAACAAAATTATAAGCGTACAATCGCAAATCGAAAGTGCAAAATTGTTTACTTCGGTTTACTTCCCTCGAAACGAAGCAGCCGGGATACCGAACCCAGTCAGAGCGGGTGGGTGTGCACTCAAGTGTAACGGCTGGTTCATTTGCAGATGCCTTCACGGCTAATTTTGTGTATATATATAGAGAGATGTTGGGCTTTGTAAATACATGCTCATTTTTTTGTGTATAACATTTTGCAATCAACAGACATCATAACATGTCATGTGTTCAAGTATCACACCTGCCTGTCTGTGTAATTACATAATGTGACAGAGACCGAACTCGGGCCGTAAATCAATGCATTTTGTTTATGGTGTATAGCCTGATTGGTGTTAAGTTCAAATTGCATGTGGTCAGTGATAGCAGCTGTGTATTGAATATTGTCATTAGCAGACAGGCAGGCAGACACACAGGTGTCAATAAAACAAGACATTGAGTTTTGTCTGTGACAACGACATATCTATATCACAGTTAGAAATTCTGTCAACGCTAAATAATGACATTGCTTTAAGTATCGAACTGAGAAAGTGTCTTGGTAAGAAGAACGTGTGGTGAAATAGACAAATGAAATTATATAAACAGTTAATTTACTGTCATAACATATAAAAAGCTCGCGCCTGTGAGATGTCAACAAAACATTAGAAAAATAGTTCACACCAAAGCCTTCACCGAGTATTCACCCGACAACCCGCTTCCAAGCTGCGCGAACCTATTTACTTGCGCACGTGCTATGAGCGCAACCCAGCTGTTGAAACCCGTTTTCCCCAGAAAAGTCGGGGGAAAATTAGTGAAACGTTTCAACTCCGATTTCGCGCGTTTTTTTTCATCGCGTTATTTTTCAACTTTATAAGTTGAATTTGCATTTTTGACGATTTGTTTCGGTATGTCCATACCGAAAGGTATCAGAATCTGCAAACTTGTGTTTTACGTCGCATGTGACCTTTAAGTGTTGACGTAGTCAAACGACGTTAATGTTACCGTTGCAGGCCCTCATCAGCAGCTCGGGCACCCCGGCGGCAGGACACATCATGACACTGACGTGTGCGGAGATTGGGTTTCATAAGAAGATAGTCGCAGACAAAAAATGGCTTTGTTTCCTATTTCTTCCCTCGAATTGGCACAGAGAAACCGAAGATAAAATTTGTGGTTTGTTTACTGTTCAAGATCTCGTTCTACAAAGCGGTATATGGGCACATCTCTGCAGTGGCCCATACCATGTCAAACATAATACGAAGGCGCTAGCGCTTCCAGCAATACAGCCTGGCTACACCACTGATGTAATAGTTGTAATATACCGACAGAATTATATCAAAGAATGCTGTTAAACATGAAAGATACAATATTGTTATGGATAGGTACGCAAGTCGTTTCGGGGTACAATCCAACTGTTTAACGAACTACCAGGTATGAACCTCGTACTGGCGTATTCTCTTCCAAATTTGGTCCTATTATACGCGGTGCACGATGGTGAAAGAAACTTAAGTCATCTACCCATTCATCTTCCAGCTAACAGAAGCTGACTCTACAACGCGGAATCCCGTCTCTTTTGAGGCAACTCAGTGGTTTTCCCCAAGTGACAGTTACATCGAAATTCAACCAATCAGCAGGACTATCTCGCCGGGTCTTCAACCAGTCGTATTGTATTTAACAAATCCACCGAAAACAGCTTTCCGCGTCATTACCCAGGTAACTATTGTTCAGTTTGTATCTAAAGATAATAATTTAGGATCCAGGGCCTCCTTTCACAAAGCACTAAGGTGATCGTAAGTCACTAAGGTAACCTTAGTGCAATGTTAAAGAATGGGAGTTAAAGTTAACCTTAGTAAAGGTTGCTTCCTGAAAGGAGCCCCTGTACGCTCGGGACGTCATCTCCATTCCAGTCTCTCCACTCCAGGTGATGAGTAGAGGACGCATAATGCATCACAGCCAGGACAAGTACCGAGTGATGAAGCCAGCTGATGGTACTTACAAGAGAAGCCAGCCATGGTGCCGGAACCTGAAATATTGTAAGAAATTCCAAAAAATTCAATATTGTGCAGGAAAACGCATATAGGCTTGGTAAAAGAAAATGTACAAGAAGGTGAGCATGTTTATTTAATGTACGTTATTCTTGCCTCACAGTATATGTAACGTTCCATGAGTTGGAATCAACTTTTGTTCAAAGGTTCATCTGACAAACGGTTTGCCCCCGATGTCCCCAGCATCAAAATCGAATTGAACGTGTCCTGCTCCATGGCCCCAGAAGCAACGTTGTTGGTATACCACATCCGTCCTGATGGTGAAGTTGTAGCAGACACCGAGTCCTTCAAGGTGGAGCAGTGCTTCACCAACCCGGTAAGAGTTCCACCAGGTCTCCGTCCCATCCAAGCACTGCGACGGTGGCTGTGTCTATGTTGAAGTATGGATACGTCTATGTTTTAGTATGTGGGTTGCTGAAGGATGGAACCAGGCCCAAGGGCAAAACTGGTCATCGTCCTGTCTCTTCACAATCTTACGCACACGTGACTTGTCCTTGAAGCCATAGTAACTGTCCTCTTGTCCTTGAAGCCATAGTAACTGTCCTCTTGTCCTTGAAGCCATAGTAATTGTCCTCTAACCTCGGGTGACCTGAGTTCTGCACCTCAGTTTACCAGTTGTATCATGGCGACGTTGAATGCACGTGTCAGACACACTATATTCTGAATATATAGTCAGTGACCCAACGACGACCAGTTGCCGATTCTGACCCAACATGTGTGGCATCTCGGGATACCGTAACAGATTCTCCTGAAATCGACTTTAAGGAACTGTGTCCTGTATTCCATCTTGCCAGAATCCCCAATGATAAGTATGGTTTTAAGATGGCTGCTTTAGGCTGATTTGTGAAGATCAGAGTGATATTGGACTGAATATCCATGACCTAGAGCTGCTGTCTGTAGATGTGCGGATGTGTTGTGATGTGTATGTTTGCAGGTGAAGATGGCGTTCACGCCGTCCAAGGAGTACCCCGGCTACCCGACCCAGCTGTCACTGTCTGCGGCCCCAGGCTCTCTCTGCATGGTGGGGGTCGTCGATCAGAGCGTCTACCTACTCGGCGGAAAGAACCAGATCACGCCGAAACAGGTGCGTATTTAGTAGTGGTGGTCCGATTAATTGAAATAATCGAAAATTGGTCGCAATGACAAAACGACCAAGCAATCGATCATGTTTCTCATAATCGAACACAAACAATTTTGGACCACTTGTTTGCAATAACAATATTTTTCAAAAGGTTGATTTTGTCTCGACATTGCAGAAGCACTACTAACTCGTTCCAAGTCATGATTAAGTATATCTTAACAACTCCAGGAAATGTATGTTCCTAACACACTAGTCATCCTTTAAACATGTGAAATTTGCAAATGCATTTTGTGCAATTTGCGAAAAACCCAAGAGAACTACATGTTTTTCTTTATTTTTTGTGCATTAACAAACATAACCAGGAAAATTTGATAAATGACGCTATCCAATTATTTTCGATGATTGATCGGTTGTAAAGAACCAATCATCAATTATGAAATTTACACCAATTCCCAACACTAGTATTTATTGGAACGTATAACTATCCAACAGTTATGATTTGCTTCTTGTTGTTTAACGCCGCACTCGGCAATATTACAGCTACATGGCTGCGGTCTGTAAAACCAATCCAGTGATCAACAGCATAAGCATCAATCTGCGCGCTTGGGCACCGATGACATGTTTCATCCAGGTCAGCGAGTCTGACCACCCGATCCCGTTAGTCGCCTCTTACGACAAGCATGCATGGGTTACTGAAGACCAGTTGTAACCTGGATCTGCACGTGTATTAACGGTTATGAAATTCATCATGGATCTGTATTTAATATAACAAGGACATAGGGATGTATCGGAAGGTATAACCAGATCCTTAAATAAGTAAATACTTACTAGCATTAAGTGTCCAAGGTAAATATACTGAACATCATTGAAAACGCACCACTTATAAAAGTTCAGATTATTAAAAGCACATGTAAGGAATTGATATTTTTTGATTGGATAGTAACAGATGGACGACTGACAAAAACAACAACACAGAAAAGACGCTCATTCATTGACACATTCCACAGTCAGAAAGGATCAAATGGCCTTCCACGTCTGCAGTAGTGCAGCCTCAAGTTCCCGGATGTTTCGCATCTGTTGTCGCCGCGAAAGACTTTTACCAATTTCGTCCCACAAGTGCTCCATGGGGGATACATCTGGTGACTGTGCTGGCCAATGAATAACCTGGATGTGTTGCTGGGCCAGATACTGTATGGAAAGTCTTGTTGTGTGTGCCCGTGCGTTGTCCTGTTGAAAAGTATGGACATCTTGGTGGTCATTGAAGGCAGATACGATGTGATTCTGAAGAATCTGATCACGGTAATAAAGGGCATTAACTCTCCCTTGACAGACATGAAGGCAGTCCTGTGATTGTAATTTATTTCACCCCAGGTGATGACGCTCCCACCACCCAAAGGTCTGTCTGAACCACACACTCATCAGCATAATGTTCACCACGTCTACGCCAAACACGTAATCGGCCGTCAGCATTACGTAGATGAAGACGCGACTCGTCAGTGACTACCACACCATGCCATTGTTGTAACCTTTACTGAAAATGCCTGCTAGCCCATTGCATACGCTCATTACGGTGTGTGTCAGTCAGAATTGGTCCAACGTAAGGACGTCGAGCATGGAGCCCAGTAGCGTGTAGACGGCGTCGCATGGAGTCAGCGCTGATGACCCCCACGTCAACCTTGAACTAGTGCAGCAGTCCTGGCAGTCGGCAGTGTTCAATCACTGATATGGACAAGGTCAATATGGCGATCCTGATGGAACGTCGTAACACGTTGTTGCCAAGGTCATTGAAGGTCACGGGTGCTGCCTGTCTACTGATGTCGTCTATGAAGCCTAACGATGGTGGAGTGGCCAAGTCCAAGTTGTCGAGCAATATCCCTGCTGCTGGTGCCAACCTGAATCATGCCTAGTGCACGTTCTCTTCCGTGAGGTGTTAACCTCGGCATCTCTGTCCTCGTTTCACAATCGTTAGTGAAGCAATGAGAATCGGTTCTCATACACCTGCTTTTAATGTCACAGTCAGTATGATTTCAAAATGAAATTCGCGCTTTTTTAATGGCGTGGCTGCATGTTGATGCATTTTGGAATTAAGAGTCATACTGTGGACAGGAATTTGTTTCTAATGCATCTTTTCAACTTGACATGCCCTTCGCCTTCATGTTAGTTATATTCATTGATCATTGTCATGCTGAAATCCATCTTGATGAAAATATGGACAATTTTAGACTGGTGCGTTTTCAGTGATGTTCAGTATACATCGAATAGTTCGTATGTAACTCGTAATTTAACGAGATTTAGATACACTAGGTACAATCTGACTTGTGGCGCTGGCTGTACATAACACGCAAGCACTTCAGGGAAGACGGTATGTTCTGGGTAGTGTATCCCGAAACGAACGACAGACAAGTTACTTTATACAGTATATCTCAATGGGTAGGCCTACACTGAAAATAGCTTACCGTCACGTCTAGCAGTTGAAAATGAACATATTGATATGTGAAACGGTTGTTGCAACGTTGCTGGAGATAAGTGCATTAAATTCAATGTAAATATTCACTACGTGACGCCCTTTCAAATAAACTTGAACGAACGACAAAATGTCGGCACGATATATGGGTATACCCATCTCTAGCGTGGTAGGTGGGAATTTATCAAAACATGACTGACTAACAGAACTGAAATATTTTACGTGAAGTGCGAGATAATTGGTGAGCGTGATTATCGTGAATGCCATTTGGGGCTAATGTGTCTCTCTACAATATTTCTGTCATATTTCGTTTTATTGTAAAATGAAGCCCAAAGCGATAAACAGGTGATGGGTGATTACTCTTCACGTCAGATTGCATCGCCTTATGATGTACTGTTATATCCTAACAGTTATTCTCTCCCCTGGAGCACTACAACGCCATCAAGGACGCACCAGCGGACAGCTACACGACCCTTACCCGATATTGCGAAGCATGGTTTAAGAAGCACGGAGTCGTCAACTCTGATGAACTCAGTAAGATAACCATTTGTTTTCCTTTCACCTAAACATATGTCATGTACCTTGGAATAAGCGAGGTTTCAACGTATATTTCAATAAACCTCTCTTTCCTTCTAGAATTCAATGTCCCTCACTACGCCTATCTCAACACCAGGTTCACGTACCTGTCTGATTATGTCGACTCCAGCGTGGCATTCAAGGTATGTGGACCTTGCTTTGGACTTAACGTAAGCTTTGTTCTATTGTATTACAATGAACCTCTCCATACTTGTCCGCTACTTGATGATGGTCCAAGACTATTACATTGTGCTGAAGACACGCAAAACCCAGTGTTTGAGGGTTGTATTATTGAACTAGGGCTCCTTTACTAAGGTTAACCGTAACTCCCATTTTTTAACATTGCACTGAGGTGTCCTTGATGACTTACGAGCACCGTAAAGGAGGCCCGGGAATAGAATAGAAAAAGGTAGAAGATGTAGACATAGTAAACGTATTTGTCTCCTTCAAGCAAGACTACCTACAAACCATTTGGACCAGTGAAACATACCTTCTACTGGTCCTCTGAACTAGTTGGAAAAAACGAAATTCTGAAGCTCAAAACCCTACCCCGAACTAAACTGGCTTATTTTCAGGATCTTGAGACGTGTGCAAACATAATTGTTATCATCAATTCTGTTCTGGTGAAACTGTGTTGTTTGACGTTGCTTACACCGTCAAGAATTCATTCTATGAAACAGCGGTTCGTAAGTAATGACAGGATTAAGCCAAAGCAGTGACTGATGTTATGAGAACCACCCCACGAACTGGTTCAGGCTATTTGTTATTACTGAATACACTGGGAAATAGACGGTGGGTTACAACGTAAACCAATGTAACAGCGTGCAAACCGATGTCAACATCTTCCAGGACATCTGTTGTCAGCATCTTCCAGGACATCTGTTGTCAGCATCTTCCAGGACATCTGTTGTCAGCATCTTCCAGGACATCTGTTGTCAGCATCTTCCAGGACATCTGTTGTCAGCATCTTCCAGGACATCTGTTCTTTACTACATTACGTTTGTCACTGTGTATTGCTTGTATTTCCACAGCTGTCGTCACTTCACATTTTTGGTTTACTGGAACTTCGATCCAGACCTTGTAAAAAGCAGTTCACCTACAACATGTACCGCCATCGCAGATCTCTCGGTTCCGCTCTCAATGACTGGCAGTCTGATCAGTCGGAAGGTTCTGGGGGGAGATCATTGGGTAGGTAGGACGCCAGTGAGGATCTTGTGCTATTGGGAGATCATCATTAGGACGCCAGTGAGGATCTTGTGCTATTGGGAGATCATTGGTAGGTAGGACGCCAGTGAGGATCTTGTGCCATTGGGAGATCAGGACGCCAGTGAGGATCTTGTGTTATTGGGAGATTAGGTAGGACGCCAGTGAGGATCTTGTGCTATTGGGAGATCATTGGGTAGGTAGGACGCCAGTGAGGATCTTGTGCTATTGGGAGATCATTGGGTAGGTAGGACGCCAGTGAGGATCTTGTGCTATTGGGAGATCATTGGGTAGGTAGGACGCCAGTGGGATCTTGTGCTATTGGGAGATCATTGGGTAGGTAGTACGCCAGTGAGGATCTTGTGCTATTGGGAGATCATTGGGTAGGTAGGACGCCAGTGAGGATCTTGTGCTATTGGGAGATCATTGGGTAGGTAGGACGCCAGTGAGGATCTTGTGCTATTGGGAGATCATTGGGTAGGTAGGACGCCAGTGAGGATCTTGTGCTATTGGGAGATCATTGGGTAGGTAGGACGCCAGTGAGGATCTTGTGTTATTGGAGATCATTGGGTAGGTAGGACGCCAGTGAGGATCTTGTGCTATTGGGAGATCATTGGTAGGTAGGACGCCAGTGAGGATCTTGTGCTATTGGGAGATCATTGGGTAGGTAGGACGCCAGTGAGGGATCTTGTGTTATTGGGAGATCATTGGGTAGGTAGGACGCCAGTGAGGATCTTGTGCTTATTGGGAGATCATTGCGTGTCTGAGTCGGCGTCTGTGACAGCTTTCCAGCCGTTCTTCGTCTCCTTCACCCTCCCTTACGCCGCCGTCAGGGGAGAATACATCCCTCTCACCGTCACCGTCTTCAACTACCTCACAGAGTGTATTGAGGTGGGTACAAACGTTGTTCTGGTCCAACCCTATACCTATTCGTCTTGACATTCCAAGTCCTGCTTACTTAATACCCCAATAGGATGCACTTCCAATAGATGCAAAAGTGTCCACGGAGATACATGGTTGTCATACACATGGGGGTAACTTCACCATCACTTGGGAAGAATATGCCGACTTTTAAATAATAAAATCCTTCACTGAAATTGTTTCAGAAATGTACTTGGGCTAGGTAATGTTTTGTCTTATAATTACACTAACGTGCACCAGGTTGACCTAGTTGAGGACCATAGATGTACATATGTTGATTACTCCCCTTGGGTCATGGTCATTTTCGTTAACCCTTTTCACGCACGTCAACCTGTGATGGTGTAATCTGAATCAGTTTACTGTCATTTCCACACGTTCTCGTCGTATACATGCAGTAATTTAATTTTGTTTGCTGTCATACTAACGGAAAGGTTGTTTATAACATGTTTGGTCTTATATGCATACACAATGTTTTCAGATTACGAATTTTTCGAAGTTACCGTATGGGCGACCGAAGTGGACATCAGTCCTTGGATCCCTAAACATGCTGATTGCTTTTTATGTAATTTCAGATTGAACTGCGACTGAACGATTCTAATGAATTTGACCTATTGAACCCTGAGCGAGTCACGTGGATGTGCATATGTGGAAACGAGGCAAAACGTCATGACTTTGTGATCGTACCGAAAAATATTGGGCACATCAATGTCACGGCTCAGGTCACTACGATATTCATATCAATTTAAAGTGCCATCCATATATAAACTAGTATATTTCTCTTTCCAAATTAAATTTTTAAGTAAAATTTTGGATATCAGTAAAGCGAGAGACTTTATCATTTTTCATTCATTAAACTGAAATAAGCTCTCTGCTATATTTAGGCCAAGTCGATTCCCGGGGATTCGCAGTGTCCCAAAGTCACGGCTACAGGAGAGGCAATCGGAATCAAGGACGCCGTGGTCAGACAACTCCTGGTGGAAGTGAGTTCATATGTGTTGCATACATTGATTGTTATAATTTGCAGATGCCCCGAGCTAGACTAATCTCGTTTCAAAACAAACTCAGTACAGTGTTGTTTTTCTAGAGTTCTTCCCCCTGCATAGCTTGACACATGTCAGAAATTAACCATTAAACAGACAAATCAGGCGTATAGCTAGTAGAAGAAGAACTACCTATGTACCCTAAATATATTATAACAATCTCATGACAAATCTACAATGTACGGAAGCGTCCTAGTGCCACAGTCTGAATTTTTTTCTCTCTAATTGGAGATAGCATCTCCTAATTAGGACTTACTATCTCCTAATTAGGAGATACTTTCTCCTAATTAGGACTAGATGAAAATATAAACCGACCAGCTCCTCCATCCTTTCTGTGCAATAATGAATGAAACCCAAACATATGTAACAAGTTAAGTCCTAATTAGGAGATAGTAACTCCTAATTAGGAGATAGTATCACCTAATTAGGAGATAGTAACTCCTAATTAGGAGATAGTATCACCTAATTAGGAGATAGTAAGTCCTAATTAGGAGATAGCTAAGTCCTAATTAGGAGATAGTAAGTCCTAATTAGGAGATAGTAAGTCCCCTAATTAGGAGATAGACTATAGGTCCTAATTAGGAGAGATAGTAAGCTTCAATAGTACACCTACAGGTACGTCAGTAGTACACCTAGAGGTAACTTCAATAGTACACCTACAGGTACGTCAGTAGTACACAAACAGGTAACTTCAATGAGTACACCTACAGGCACGTCAGTAGTACACCTACAGGTAACTTCAATAGTACACCTACAGGCACGTCAGTAGTACACCTAGAGGTAACTTCAATAGTACACTTACAGGTACGTCAGTAGTACACAAACAGGTAGCTTCAATAGTACACCTACAGGCACGTCAGTAGTATACCTAGAGGTAGCTTCAATGGTACATCTACAGGCACGTCAGTAGTACACCTACAGGTAACTTCAATGGTACACCTACAGGTACGTCAGTAGTAGTACACAAACAGGTAACTTCAATGGTACACTTACAGGCACGTCAGTAGTAGACCTAGAGGTAGCTTCAATAGTACATCTACAGGTACGTCAGTAGTACACCTACAGGTAACTTCAATAGTACACCTACAGGCACGTCAGTAGTACACAAACAGGTAACTTCAATGGTACATCTACAGGTGCGTCAGTACTACACCTACAGGTAACTTCAATAGTACACCTACAGGCACGTCAGTAGTACACACAAACAGGTAACTTCAATAGTACACCTACAGGCACGCCAGTAGTACACAAACAGGTAACTTCAATGGAACACCTACAGGTAACTTCAATAGGTACACCTACAGGTAACTCCATAGCACACCAACAAGTACTGCGTCAGTAGTACACCTAGAGGTAGCTTCAATAGTACACCTACAGGCACGTCAGTAGTACACCTAGAGGTAACTTTAATGGTACACCTACAGGTACGTCAGTAGTACACCTAGATGTAACTTCAATAGTACACCTACAGGTACGTCAGTAGTACACCTAGATGTTACTTCAATGAGTACACCTACAGGTACGTCAGTAGTACACAAACAGGTAGCTTCAATAGTACACCTACAGGCACGTCAGTAGTAGACCTAGAGGTAACTTCAATAGTACACCTACAGGTACGTCAGTAGTACACCTACAGGTAACTTCAATAGTACACCAACAGGGTACTTCAGTAGTACACCTACAGGTAGCTTCAATAGTACACCTACAGGTACGTCAGTAGTACACCTACAGGTAACTTCAATAGTACACCTACAGGTACGTCAGTAGTACACCTAGAGGTAACTTTAATAGTACACACCAACAAGTACATCAGTAGTACACCTACAGGTAGCTTCAATAGTACACCTACAGGTACGTCAGTAGTACACCTACAGGTAACTTCAATAGTACACCTACAGGTACGTCAGTAGTACACCTACATGTAACTTCAATAGTACACCTACAGGTACGTCAGTAGTACACCTACAGGTAACTTCAATAGTACACCTACAGGTACGTCAGTAGTACACCTACAGGTAACTTCAATAGTACACCTACAGGTACGTCAGTAGTACACCTACAGGTAACTTCAATAGTACACCTACAGGTACGTCAGTAGTACACCTACAGGTAACTTCAATAGTACACCAACAGGTACTTCAGTAGTACACCTACAGGTAGCTTCAATAGTACACCTACAGGCACGTCAGTAGTACACCTGGGTACACCTAGAGGTAACTTTAATAGTACACCTACAGGTACGTCAGTAGTACACCTAGATGTAACTAGTACACCTAATGTCCCCACCAACATAGCACCTGGGCGAGACATCAGTTGGCGTAGTAGCAGTACCATAGAGGCAGGTCTTCAATAGTACACCTACAGGCACGTCAGTAGTACACCTAGAGGTAACTTTAATGGTACACCTACAGGTAGCTTCAGTAGTACACCTAGATGTAACTTCAATAGTACACCAACAGGTACGTCAGTAGTACGAGGCAGCTTCAGTAGTACACCTAGATGTAACTTCAGCAGTAGTACACCTACAGGCATCGTCAGTAGTACACAAACAGGTAACTTCAATAGTACACCTACAGGTACGTCAGTAGTGACCTAGATGTACTACACACCTACAGGTAACTTCAATAGTACACCTACAGGCACGTCAGTCAGTAGTACACAAACAGGTAACTTCAATAGTACACCTACAGGTAACTTCAATAGTACACCTACAGGTAACTCCATAGTACACCAACAGGTACGTCAGTAGTACACCTACAGGTAGCTTCAATAGTACACCAACAGGTACTTCAGTAGTACACCTACAGGTAGCTTCAATAGTACACCTACAGGTACGTCAGTAGTACACCTACAGGTAACTTCAATAGTACACCAACAGGTAGCTTCAATAGTACACCTACAGGTAACTTCAATAGTACACCAACAGGTACGTCAGTTGTACATTGACGCCATGGTGTGTTCAGATACATTAGCAGTACACCTACAGCACCATGGCGAGACAGCAGTACACCTACGGTATTATAAACGTCATTAGGGTCTCCTTAGACTAACATCTAGTCTCTGAAATGAACATATTTTACAGAAAAAAGCTCCTAAATTATAATCATGAAATATATTGTAAAGAAGCACAGAGAATTTCTTCATCTTCAGAAGAAACTGTGGAAATCTAGACTTGCCACATATTCTAGACCTACATGCGCCTCCTTGGATATATTTGTTTCAGGGTCTGTATGACAGACTAGGGTCTCCTATGATGTCTGATTCAGGCCACCGATAACAAATTCAATTTTGTCAATTGAGCATTAACATATGAATATCCACTAGCTGTAAGTTTCTAATTGCAGCATGTAGAACAAGATTGGAAATCGGTAAAGTGCCACTGACAAAACCTCCTCCCCTTACTCTGAACCCTCCCCCGCACACCACCACCCTCGTACTCCCTGTTATATATCTTATGTAGTAGATTTAGTAGGTTTCACGGAGGAGAATAGGCCCCAGTATCTGATACTTGTAGTAGAGGTCAAGATGATCGGATTGTCAGGAATGGTGTGATGTTGGTATGGATATCGCTGACAACTTGGTACAACATTCACTCACTGACCCTGGTGACAAGAATCACATTACATGCCTCTTCCGACTACTTCCAGTCAGCTGCACCTGGAGACCGTGACAAGGAAGACAGAAGACTGATGTATCCATATCGTGTTTGTTTTCAGAAACAGGAACGGAATTCTTCGACTCCATCGACCTGCCCCTCCCCGCGGACGAAGCAGTAGTGCCCGACTCTGGAAGAGGGCTGATCAGCGTGATAGGTGAGGGAGTTTACAGTTTACCTGCTTGAGACAATCTAAGGAGAGATAATTGATACATTACTCAAATACGTTACAGTATACTCTTTTCTTTGATAGTACCTTAGTTATTCTGTCCTGACATGACAGCAACACAAGCCTGACAGATTGACTTTAATGATATGGAAGAATCGGGTATTCTCTTTTGAGTAATATATGTAGTGTATAACAGTCAGTTGTCAGTCATATACATGTTAGTCACGATTACTCCATGATACTGACTGGAAGTGTACATACTTGGAGATGGAAATGTTATGTTGTTAGTGTCATGATGGATTAAAGGTGATTAAATTACATTTGTGACGTCATTCCATTGTTTCGCCAATGGAGCGAGTTACTTTTCGGGAAGTTACCCGTTTCAAATTAAAGCCTTCACATGAGGTCAGAAATATCCCCAGTTCTTTGAATGAGATATTAAATTCTGTTTTCTTCCATCGGAATCTGTATTACATATCGGACAAAACAGCTTACTACGAGGTCTTTTGGAGATATTAAACTGTTTTCTTATCGTCTGTATTTTAAAATTATTTCTTTTTCATTGTTTACTGGTTGCATTATGTCTATAATCTGTACGTGAAAACCTACATGATGGACGGCAGTTAACTTTTGATCAATTATTAGGCCGCCAGCGTACATTATCTGTTTTTCTCAGTTATAGTCATTGGCCCTCATCATATCCTCCAGCCCAGCCAACTTGGTGCCGAGTTTGTTTAGTCTAGTTTCACTGCGACGAGTTATGAGGATCACCACTTACAGCTCCATATGAATTACATCTCAATGATCTAGAAGAACCCAGTTTATTTACAGACCGGTTTCTTAGTCAGGTTTTACGTTGGTTTCCCTCTGGTTGTGAGGATGCCTTACATCCAGGTGATCTGATAGGGCCAAGCTTTTTGGAGTTTGTTTCAGTTTAGTTTTACTTTGACAAGTTTAGACGATCACCAGCTACAGTAACATTTATCTCACATCCAGGTGACCTGATGGGGCCCAGTTTCAGCAATATCGGCGACCTCCTCCGGGTTCCCTACGGCTGCGGAGAACAGAACATGATCAACTTTGCCCCGAACGTGTTCATCATGAGATACCTGAAGGCCACTAATCAGCTGACAGAGGAGATATCGGCCACCATAGACAAGTACCTCGGAAGTGGTAACTACACATGCTTCTCCTCAGTAACGGTAGATAGTTTCGGGAGTGCACACAAAGCCCTCCGGCCGCAATACTAATTTCTCATCAATAATGTACTGACAGCTTGTTTCTCATTTCGCAGGCTACCAACGGGAGCTGAACTACAGGCGAGAAGATGGATCCTTCAGCGCATTCGGCAACTCCGACAGCAGCGGCAGCACGTGGCTCACGGCCTTCGTCGTCAAGTCCTTCACCGAGGCCCAGCCTTTCCTGGAGATCGACGAGAACGTTCTCAGAAGGGCGAGGGTAGGGTCTCCCTGGTCATTTAGCGTTTTCGCAGTGTTGAAACCAGATTCATTCATAGTGTTTGTACCCTTGGAGAATAATTCGCTTATCTGCCACTAAAAGGCAAGTTTCAAAACTGAAATATTAAAAAACCCTTAGCTCCAAAATTAGCGTAAATAAGACATTTTTGATAATGATTGGCTTAGAGGTTCCGATGGTAATTGTTTCACAAGGCCGATCTGATGAACCTGTCAAGAAGTAGTACCATGTACTATATCATACAGATACGTACACATTTTCTGGCGACAACTCTCGTATATTTCTACACTAGTTCAATAATTTTAATTATGCATATTTCGTATAATAGTTTACTATGTGAGTAACATTGGTTTGTCTTTTGTCCATGTTGCTATTACCTCTAAACGTGTATGTGTGTATAGCAATGGCTGAAGGACAAGCAGACACGTGAGACGGGCTGCTTCACTGAAGTTGGACGTATCATACATTCATCCATGAGAGGAGGTGTTGACGGCGCCAACAGTGACGTGACGCTGACGGCGTTTGTTATGGGTGCTCTCATCTCTGGCGGCACACCCAAAAGTGTGAGTATTTGTCATTGTGTGACGCCATCATCGCCTGTGTATAGGTATTATTCCCCTGAAAAGTTGATAGCTAGGTCCTGATTTCATGAAACTCGGAACGACAACTTTTGGAAATAAGAATGAACATTTAGTTTTAACTTAAAATGAATCTGAGATGGCTTAGTCATGTTATGTTAAGCCTACTATTCTGAGAACATTGCCACACAACCAGAAGCACCCACACTCCAGAACATTCCAAAAATCGGTTTAACAAAACTGTTCTCCGAATGTATGTATCCGTATGTCGCATTGGGATTTCTGGTCCTAAACATGTCCTTTCGAGCAGTTTGTCCAAAAGAAGGTCAAATGAAGAGTTAGTGGGCACTTTTTGTGTCATGTCTGGCTAATTTCACTGCTTAAATCAACTATTGCTTTCTCTTATCTTAACTAATAACAAACTTTCAATCCTGTCTCATCCTGCAATACCAGCCACACGAAATTGGTATTGGCTTTGTTGGTAATGGTAAGAAAAATCCCAACATTGTTTTTGTAACCTACTAAATGCGATATCACAGGACCCTGCGATCCTGAACGCCATCAAGTGCATCAATGCAAAGCCCATCACCGACGTCTACACCATGGCCGCTGCTGCCTACGCCACGTCGCTCCAGGACGCAAACAGTCGCGTGCACGTCAACCTACAGAGAGGCCTTCACACCAAGGCTGTCGTTAATGGTAGGACGGGCTCAGGTCTCGAGTCATGACAGTAAACTGGGATTATAACGATTCAGACACAATCATGTGTATTAATCATCTAACATTACCATCCACGAGATATATACATGTAGCTTGGCTGGGATCAGTGTCCCTATAATGTCTATGAGTGAGTTTAAATCTTCCTTTGCTCCTTTTAAACAAAGGTAAACTACATCAAGCCACCCTTATATCTGATCTTTACACTGTGTTACCTTTAGTTGGCAGATCACCGACGAATATTCGCCGCGGTGTCCCCCCATCCACGAACTTATGAATCTTTTTCAGTCGGTAATTGCGCTACCATATCCTCTTCTCGACTGTAACCTATTCTATAGCAATGTTGAATTGAAGGTTCCTTCAAAGCACATGCAAGGTCCACGTCAATATTCTTTTCAGGTTCCTTGATGCACTGGGAGACGAGGAAGGACGCCAACCGACAGCGGAGCTACTACTACCGCGCTTCCGCGCTGAACGTGGAGACGACGGCCTACGCCCTGCTGGCCTACCTGGAGGAGGACGACCTGGAGTCCAGCCTGAAGATCGTCAAGTGGCTGCAGAAACAGAGGAACCCTCAGGGAGGATTCGCCTCCACTCAGGTCAGTTGTATATACACATGTGACACATAGTGTGTCCTTGGGTTCCAACATATGATCGTGAGGCATGATACATAGATAATATAGTGCATGTGTTTGCCTTGCACATGATGCCCCTCAACTTTAAAGTGGGTCTGCTGTATGACGACGGAGTATGCAGTCAAATTAACAACACTACTTGGAGTATGTGGACACCTGTTGGTTTGGGGCAGTCCTCCATGTATACCGTTTCATCACCAAAATTGGTATGAGAAACCATTCTGCTCCTTGAGTGAGTTTGTCAAGTTTGCAGCCTTCTCGAGTTATTCTCAGAGGCCGCTGATAAAACAATACAGGGATTACTTGGTTCTATCATCCTGCCGAACACTGAAACCATCAAGTATCAATACTCCTATTCTTGTCAAGGAACCGCGAATACTGAGCAAGAAGACATTGCTATGTTGTATATTTGCCTCTGATCTCGTTATCCCAGGACACCGTTGTAGCGCTGGACGCACTGTCGAAGTTTGCGACATCAACTAGTTCTGGGGATAAAATCAAGTTGTCACTGACCGTGGAAGGGGAGGATGTTCACAAGAACTTCATCGTGTCAGGGTCCAACAGCATGGTGATGCAGACAGAGCCGCTGAAGGTGCCCAATGAGATCACTTTGAGTGGTACCGGCGCCGGGTGTGCTTTGTTCCAGGTAGGGAGTGGAGATATTACGTAAACATGATCTTCTCAGAATGGACAAGGCCAAATGAACATAAGCACGAGAGGAATGAACAGAATAACAGTGACTATGTAGATATTTGTCTTCTGGACTTTGAAACAATGAAATGTATAATTATCATTTATAATTTATCCTTCACGTATGCACTTGAAATCCTTCTTGTATATTTAAGGCATAATATTCCACATACGTTCAGTTCACTCAGAATGTACTCATTAATAAACGGAGTTTGGGCACAATGTCTTTGTCTTTGCTAGGCCACAGTTCGCTACAACACCTACGACCTTGACAAGGTGGACCTCCCCTTCACCCTGAACGTCACAGTGCAGCCTCCAGACCCAGTGAAACCAGACTGCGGTCGCAGGACAATCAACATATGCACAGCGTTAGTAGAGCCTTGTGCTGTTTGTGATAGGGACGCCTAGGTTACACGACTTCAACATTGATATACTTGATATCCTCCACATACGGCTTTCGTCCAGACTGGAATCCATGGATCACACTGTTGTTTGTTACCTTTGTTATTCCCTAGCTTCTTTGTTTCACAACTCGGTAACAGAATGACGTCACTTTCCAAACCGAAAATAATGTTATCTAAAGTTTCTGAGGTCAGAATCATCCTGTTTTACACACCGAGTAGGTTTCAAGGTCATCAGCAGATACACGTACACGTGTGGCCAGAGAAACGTCCTGCACATGTCCTGGATACAGACCACCCACACTGTTTTGTAGCCACGGTGGTACTTGAAAAACATGTAATCATGATACTTTACGATATAAGGGTAATTATATAATAGGCAGCAGCTTTACAATTCATCAATATTGATGACAGCTTTAAGAATTGACCTCACACACACTGTCTCATAGACTTCTTCAACACCAGACAGAGGCAGATTCCTCTGCTGTGTTTAACATTTGTGAATACTTGCAGACAAGATTTGTAAGTAACGAAAGGACTGAGGGGTGACGTTGGGGGTAAGACATTACGAAGCACATATACTCGTGCTTTGAATTACTCCATAGTTACCCTGTCTGGTCTGTGTCCAGGTTCGTGAAAGGAGGGCGTTCGGGAATGGCGATTGTCAACGCCAAGATGGTGACCGGGTGGCTGGTGGCCACGGACTCATTGGAGAGAGTAAGTCTTATCTCTGGGAAACCCGACAGATATTCTTATTTCACGGACGATCTCATCCTAAATATAAAAACATGAGAACTTTAAATGGACCGGTCCTGCAGGTTCAGAGTAATGTACCCCGCGCTACAGAAAGTCATGTACCCCGCGCTACAGAAAGTCACGTACCCCGCGCTACAGAAAGTCATGTACCCCGCGCTACAGAAAGTCATGTACCCCGCGCTACAGAAAGTCATGTACCCCGCGCTACAGAAAGTCATGTACCCCGTGCCTGTAGGAAAGGCCTAATGTGCCAATCGTTTGCAGGATAAACCCAATGTACACGGTGCTTGCCTTTGAACTGGCTAAAATCGGGATAGGGTTGTCACTGGTTGTGTGTCATGGTAGGCCGACAGTAATCACTACACAACTGATTGTTCTGTCCAGATGCACATTTAATTATAGACGCGTTCGATATATAAACTCTCCCAAAAAAGAAACGCATCATGAAAATAGCAATTTCATGTAGCAATGAATTAAAACCTGATTCATTTTACAAACGGTTTTGTTCTGTTTATGAGTCCTATGGTGTTTATGTTTTGAAACATCACAACAAAACGCACCATCCGTAAAATAACCGTATTTAACAGCATGATTTTCAATTTCGGCGTGTAGTGTCACAGAATACACTGACTGACTGACTGAGTTTGGTTTTACGCCGCTTTTAGCAATATTCCAGCAACATCACGGCGGGGGACACCAGAAATGGGCTTCACACATTTTACCCATGTGGTACAGAATGCACAATTCACATGCAATGCACGTGGAAGTTGGGGATCAGATAGTCTCAATGATGAGTATAAAAGGTTGATCGCTGTCTGTCGATTATTCAATGTATTTGGAATATTGTTGACGAACTCAAAATGTCACGTCTAAGTGAAGCCAACCGTCATATCGCCATTGGTTTGCTTGAAGCTGGCCAGTCTCAACGTGCAGTTGCCCGACGCATGAATGTTCACCAAAGCACCATTTCACGGTTTTTGGAGAGATACTGCCGGCAGAATGCGGTAGCAGATGCCCCTCGTAGTGGGCGACCTCGAGCGACCACTGCGGCGCAGGATCGCTACATCCGGGTACTTCACCTGCGTCATCGAACAGCTACGGCGACCAGTACCGCTCGACAAATACCCGGATTGAGGAGGCTTTCTGCACAGACCGTCAGGAACAGGTTGAGAGAGGCTGGTTTACGTGCAAGAAGACCTTATTTTGGCCCTGTGCTTCGACAACAACATCGTCGACATCGAGTTCAATGGTACACCAACGTTCAGGCCTGGAACCTACCAAATTGGCGTAGAATCTGGTTCAGTGATGAATCACGATTTCTATTGGAACGACGCGATGGCAGAAAGCGGGTGTACAGACGTCGACGTGAACGTTTCGCCGACGCTTGCGTTCCCCAGGTGGACAGATTCGGCCGGGACAGTGTTATGATGTGGGGAGCGATCACCTGCCGTAGGAGAACTGATTTGGTGATGATCCAGGGCAACCTGACAGCTCAATGGTACTGTGACGAAATCCTACGCCCACACCTCCTTACAATCATTGCTCGCCAGAGGGAGTTGTTTCAACAGGACAATGCCAGGCCCCACACAGCACGTCACACTAGAGACTTCCTCCAGAACCACAACATCAATGTGCTCCCCTGGCCCTCAAGATCACCGGACTTAAACCCGATCGAACATCTGTGGGATGCCCTGGACAGACGGGTGCGACGCTGTAACCCTCAGCCCCAGACACTTCAGCAACTTGCAAAGGCACTACAGGAAGAGTGGGCTGCGATTGGGCAACACGAGATTCTGAGATTTATTCGTTCGATGCCGAGGCGATGCCGTGCAGTTCTGGATGCCCACGGTGGTCACACGAGGTATTGACTTCAGCGCCACCACACGTCTCCATGTGACACTCAAGCTGACTTTCCTCGAGTTGGTGCCAAAGACGGATAAGTCTGCATTCCCAGTGTGCAATTTCGCTATATTTCATTTACTCATAAAGCCTACAAGATGTTTCAAATTAAACATAAAAATACAGTTGAAATTCCTATATGCGTTTCTTTTTTGGGAGAGTATATTTTAATTGTGCTGATTGCGACGTGAAACAATACTCGTTCGTTGGGAAATAAAAATCGTTATTCCTTAACTTAATACATGTATCAAGCTTTGCAATGTTAACATGTCATTAATCATGATACACTGTGAGTGAGTGAGTCAATCAGCCACTTTGAGTGACCCTTCTACTCTTTCAAAGCCCGAGGAGGAGTATGTTCATAAAGTCTGATTATACTTTATCTAGGACTCGAAGCCACCCTCCGCGGATCCTGGCACGGGTAGGTGTCACAACTTCCCACAGTTCAGCACCTCAACCTACTTAGCACAGATCGTAGATCAATATTTAGTTATAATAAAGTTTTTCTTTCAATACTTTCCCAGTTGAAGGAGGACCCGTTTCTCCAGCTGAAGAGATACGAAGTGGACAGCAAAAGACCGGACAGTGTTCATTTCTACTTTGATGAGGTAAGCATGTTGGTCGTCTCTAACCTCACTTGATCAACATATTTAAGACCCCCAAGCCCATAGATGAGCAACCAAAAAATGGTCGGTGTGTCCACCCCACGAGTTCCAATAATTATGATATGATTATTATGGTCAATGGTTGATAAAAATTTTAGCGATACTTTTTTTAAAGTGTGTATATCTGTACTGTGCACTCGAGGGTCACATCTAATTAGAAAATGACACCCTCTTACCACATTTCTACTTAAAGTGCTTTAATATCACAAAGATATTTTAATATATCAAAAGTAACTTTTGCTCTAAAATCTATTATTCTCACTGAATTAGGAATTGTTTTCTTTATGCATTTTACAAAAGGTTTTTATCAAATACGACCTTTTGGAACTGTTCCTTCAGACTAGTAACTGTAGGTGTCAGGTTATGGATGTACTTCACGTGTTGTCTTTCTTCTTGCAGCTGACCGAGCAAACACGATGCTTCGACTTTGACGTCACCCAGGAGATCAAAGTGGATAACACAAAGGAGGCCGTCGTCCAGGTGTATGATTATTATGACACAGGTATGTACAGAGACCAGGTGTGTGGTAATTGTGACACAGGTATGTACAGAGACCAGGTGTGTGGTAATTGTGACACAGAGTATGTACAGAGACCAGGTGTGTGGTAATTGTGACACAGGTATGTACAGAGACCAGGTGTGTGGTAATTGTGACATAGGTATGTACAGAGACCAGGTGTGTGGTAATTGTGACATAGGTATGTACAGGACCAGGTGTGTGGTAATTGTGACACAGGTATGTACAGGGAACAGGTGTGTGGTAATTGTGACATAGGTATGTACAGGTAGACAGAGACCAGGTGTGTAATTGTGACAGGTGTGGTAATTGTGACATGGGTAACAGAGACCAGGTGTGTGATAATTGTGACAGGTGTGGTAATTGTGACATAGGTGTGTGGTGTACAGAGACCAGGTGTGTGGTAATTGTGACATAGGTAGGTATGTACAGAGACCAGGTGTGTGGTAATTGTGACATGACACAGGTATGTGATAATTGTGACAGGTCTGTACAGGGAACAGGTGTGGGTAATGTGACATGAGACCAGGTGTGTGGTAATTGTGGACACAGGTATGTACAGAGACCAGGTGTGTGGTAATTGTGACATACAGAGACCAGGTGTGTGGTAATTGTGACAGGTAGACCAGGTGTGTGGTAATGTGTGACACAGGTATGTACAGGGTGTGTGGTAACAGGTGTGTGGTAATTGTGACACAGGTATGTACAGGGAACAGGTGTGTGGTAATTGTGACACAGGTATGTACAGAGACCAGGTGTGTGGTAATTGTGACACAGGTATGTACAGAGACCAGGTGTGTGGTAATTGTGACACAGGTATGTACAGAGACCAGGTGTGTGGTAATTGCGACAGGTATGTACAGAGACCAGGTGTGGTAATTGTGACACAGGTATGTACATAGACCAGGCATGTGTTAATTGTGACATAGGTATGTATAGGGACAAGGTGTATGATTCTCATGACACAGGTATATTTAGAGACCAGGTGTGACATATTTATGGCACAGCTATGTATGGATCGTGTTAGCGATGTAAGCTCGTTGTTCTAAACGCTGACGAGCTTTGAATAATGTGTTTAACCCATTCTTGATTCCTGTTGTTGCTGTAATGTCACTGGAGCCATGTAGTGCCTCACTCTCCTATGAACTGCCAAGAATATTCTTTCCGTTTCCAGAGCTTGTGACAAAGGTGTTCTACAATATCAAGAATGATTGCAAACCCAAGGTAAAGAATTCTACAAGAACACCTTCAGGGACGACCACAACAACATCGGCGCCAAAGACATCTTCAACAGTCAGCATGGGTGTGGGGACGACTGGGGTGGTGGTTGAGAAGCTTGATGATGAGGACGAGGATGAGGAGGGAACCGGCGTACTTAGCAGTATCGACCCTGCGTGGATAGCTGCCGGATTCAAGATTCGACACAACAGTATTCCCGTTATCAACAACTATAAAAAATCCACTATCATCGATTTCTCAATAAAAGGTATTGTGTTAATTTTATGTTGTTGAGGTAAGGTTCATAATGTCCTCAAGACAGACGTAAATTGTATTTTGTTAATTTAGCTGAGGACTAATTAGTAGATGAAGTCATGAACGAACGCCCAGATGACGTCGTCATAAAATATAAAATAATATTTCCCGCTTGTGATGCAAAAGAAAACTAGGCGGAGTTGATGTGTTCTTCAACCCAATGCAGTCGGTATCACTACATCAATATTTGAAGGTAGACAAAAAAAGGTAGAAGGTAGTAAAAATATCGTGAAACCATTTTGCAAAAATACTCATAAAAAAACTAATAAGGGAACACATGAAAGTACAAGTTCTTTTCCAGGTTTCTTCACAAGGTATGTATTGCACTGTGAGTGATAATCTAACAATTAATAAAGGAACACTTGTACTTTCATGTGTTCCTTTAATCGTTTCCATAAGTATATATATCTGCCAGATTGTCACCTTCCCAGACGGTATCCGCTTCAGATGGTCGTATGTTGCATTTTGGCCAACAGATTCAGATGTTGATCACAAAGATGTTTTACCGATGGAGGTCAAGGCTGCACCAGGGTCAACAGTGAGTTTGCCCTGTGATCTGGGAGCCGAATACACACACAGTCCAGATCGAAGCTATTCGGTAGGTACTTGTGAGAATAAATAGGTCACTGAATATGAGGTCCTTCGATTTCTTACCCATATATGAAGAAAGTTCCTTCTGAAAAGTACAGCGTAATGTGTTGATGTTAAATTACAAATTAATTGAAGTTTGGGTTGTTGGTTATGATGTCTTCTTTTCAAGATTGCATGGGTCGCCGAGCCGACGGAAGAAGTACTGACCCTTCACAGACAAATCGTGGTTGACGTGGCACGTTACAGTGTCATGGAAAACTACAGCTTGATAGTTACAGACACCAGCGTGGAGGATTCTGGGAAGTACAGATGCCAGGTCAACACCAACCCTGTGCAGATGTCCTTCGTCAACCTCGTTGTCCAAGGTACCGTAGCTGACTAACGTGTCAACCGAACAGGCTTGTGTAGTGTTAGAAGATAGCTTTAGTCTTGACCTGTTCTAAGTCCCAATATATACCTATTTCAGAGCCCCCTGTAATCGTGGCTTCTTCTAACGACACTTCTGCTGCCATGGGAGAGGAGGTCACACTGTTCTGCAACGTCACCGGAAGTCCAGAAACTAAGATGACGTGGTATCGGTCCGTGGGGAAAAACAACCGATCAAGTGAGATTATAGTTATGTACTTACGGGCCCTATAGTTATGTATATCAGTGTTCACAGTATTAAAGGTGTTGGTGATTCACCCTGTATGCTAAGGTTTTGACAGTATAAATGATTACGTATCCATGTTCACCATCAGTTTTACATGACCATGTCGTGTTGAAATTACCTGTACACGTTGCCCACCATTGTTACATAACCCAGGAGTGGGGAAGGGGAGGCAGCTGGTCATCAAGTCCGCCCAGGCGTCCGCTACCTACCAGTGTGTGGCCAGTAATGGAGTCCCACCTGGCGCCTCTACTGAGATACAGCTCATAGTCAAGAGTGAGTGGATTGTCTTTACATCCGTTTATTTGCATCTAAAGAATTTCAGGTAAACTGAGATTGTCTCTATTATACGGTAAATTTAGTTATAAACCAAGTCAGCAATTATCTTGCAAGTTTCCTTTTTGTCACAATTGTTAAACTGTCCAGAACAATGTGGAGCATTCACCCGAACACACCCTCGTTCCTTCAACATTGTTTGCATCATTGCCAAACTGACAATACGTGTGCTATCTGTACGCTAAATCTATATGTAGCGAAAATAAAGAACTTGGAACGGGCCAAGCCATATATTGAACTTAAGGCTTAGACTACTTCCGTGCGGGCTCCAGCCAAAGTGACAGGAGGTCTCAACAAGGCCTCCAGTTCGGACGCTAGAAACAGGGATACAAGACGATTCCTGTCACTCTTGATCTACCGGAAGTACAGCCACCAGCCGTCCGTCTAAAGGACACTCCTGGCGGCGGACATCTACACAACTGTTAAAGGACCACTGGGTTACCCGCAGGAGTTACTGGACAGCTTTACTGACCATCCGTAGAAGGGCAAGAGACTTTGTCTGTCTGATCCAACTATTTCATTGTAAGAGCACCTGGACATAGAGGCACTCTTGCCCCTAGACATCTACAGCCGTATTTTTCTGATGCCCAAGATGAACTCAAATAAGCTGCGCATGATCCACAACGTTCAGTTTTCGCATGCACGGATCACTTGTTGGTGGTCCCAGACTCCCTGGATTGGGTTCATTTAGGCATGGTTTCTCACTCCTACAAAGCGTTTGTAACGTTACGATCTATCGTAACTCCATAGCCTATCATCGTTACGCTACCAACTCCGGTCCACCTGTCAGAAGAGCCAGACATTGAACGTCCCATCTTTCCTGGCCTACTCAAATATTTATACACAACGCATCCGTCTAGAGTCACTGACCATGCACGCTTGAACCATTTACTAGATTGGCGGATGGATAAGTTACAAAAGATACGGGATAGAAGGTGTTTCCCTATACGTACATACCTATCCTGACACAACTGCTCTCATCGTGGGAAAAGATGACGCAGGGGCATGCTCGGAACGATGTGGTCGGCAGGTGTATTCGGGTGAATGTTCTTCTGACATTGTTCAACTTTACTTTACGATCGAGGCAAGAAGGAATATTGCAAACTGTTTGTCAAGATAAGCATGTACATAAAAGGAATATTTATCCCTATTAATCGAAAGTTAGCTGAAAATAATGTCTACCCTTCCGAAAACATACTAGGTATTCAGTTGGGCCTTCTGGATCTGCTCTTGACATTATATGGCCACTATACGTGAATATTCTAAAATTGTGCATTTATCGATTTTCAGTAATTCAAGCACGTAAATTTATCCACTGTTTTGATTTTTACTCCCAATGGGATTTGTTTGGGTGGGCAGAAAACTGAAACTGACTGACGTTTTACATTTGCAAACAGTTGATTTATAACATGTCTCAAAGAATACGAAAGCACAGTATGCCTGTCTACATTTGCAAACTGGTGTGTTCTTTGACAACCTGAAGATGACATTTCGGTACGTTGTGGGCCTATCTGTCTCATTACTACCTACCGTGTATGCGGCACCCAGACCATATGCAAACTAAAAGCTGACCTTGGTGAGCCTCCGCCTCCATCAGTGAAGCCTCTTCGTCATCAGTGTCTGCATCTGCGGGCACGAATACAGCTTAAAACGATTAAACAGCTCTCCAAAACTTCAGTGACAAAATTGACATGCATTTTGCCTCTATATTTTATGATTTAAGCTACTACACCCATGCCAGCATCGACAACCAAAGAGCCAGCGACACCGTCTACGGTAAGCAGTGATTCATGTAACAGACATTCACTCTGTCTGGCGCATTTCGGATGTTTCTTGTAATTCGAATTAAGGAGGCTTTACTGCACATCCATGTTCCATGTGAGGGATAGTAAATAACAAGACAAAGGATTGTCTAAAGTTAACCAACATGTTCAGATAAGGCTAACCCAGACTAAAATGTATGCTTAAAGTGTTTGTATACGTAAATCATGACATATATCTTATTTGTTTCTTTGTACAGAGTTTATGTCTGTTACATTAATAACCACGGTAACAGTAAAGTTCTTGAGAAATACAACCTTTTTGGATGCATGTGTAGTACTATTTTCCAGTGCTTATGTTTGTAGGGAGCCTGTCCTTTGTGCCAAGTCCTGTCGGAGAAACAGGCTACCTTCGCCTACTGCCAGGCTACCGCAGGTAGAACCAGTTTTTTTATTTGTAGAGTCTCAATTAGAGAATAGCCCATCCTTACTGTTGTTAGTTCAGATACAGGGAAAGATGTGGTCTCCTGTCCCTTTTCTCGCTAAGAAAATGAACTACAGTGGAAACCTGATAAGTAAAACTTCAAGGGACTCGCCAAAATTGTTTACTTATCAGGTATTTTACTTATCCAAACTTATAAAAACCTGCAAATGACAACCATATGCATGTATATGTATGCACATGTAACAATGAACAACTTATCGGGACTGGCAGTGTATTGTCAACTGCTTGACTCCAGCGAGCTGTAAGTGGGATGTTTGTTTGACTGGAGACTGACACGACTGCCCCTCATGTCGGATGATGTGGTGATCGCTAATTTAGTTATCCAGTCTCTTTTGTTAAGTAATTTACTTCCATGGACCGTAAGCAGACGTTTAGTTAAGCGGTATTGTTTACTTATCCGAGTTTAGTTAACCGGACTCTAATAGTGATAATTAATGAAGAAAGTTGTCGGGACCAAAGAAAAGTGTTTACTTATCAGGTCTGTTTAGTTAAGCGGTCTTTACTTAGGCGGTTTCCACTAGGTTATGGATAGTTTGATATCCTGGATATTCATTCTTAATCTCTGGACATGCTGGACTCTGAAAATGCATAAAAAGTTGACTGCAACAGATAATTTGTCTCAAACAGAACTCCCCTAGATACAAGAAGTTTTGGACTGGAAATGGTCAGCTGGTTGTTGTTGTCTGTGTTTCATTTCTCTGCATGGCACTTCAATTTGTGTTACATTTTCTTAGAGATGAAGTAGGTCGTATAAATAGTAGTTAAGAGCTTTCACTTTGTTTTTCACCACGCGACTTTACCCGCAGCTTACAAGGTGCTGGGCATTAGAGTAAGGAAGTCAAGGGTCAAGGTCAAGATACTAGGTGACTTCCGGTCGGTGAAACGGGTAAGGACCCGGCGTGCTTTGCGACTGGTGATAGACAGAAAATGTTCGTGTGACCTGATCACCAAACTGAAACCCCGTAAGTATTGCATGAATGGTATCCTCCCATTACCCCTACATCCCATTACCCCTACAGCTTATAACAACAAAGTTCACGGTCCAATGCACTGCTAATCCCCTTCCTGTTACCTGTTGCCTGGACAATGGACTAGCCCAAACACATGAACACAAAATCGGACGAAGGCCATTCCTGGTGCTCATCACTTAATTGCATTGTATGATATGCCCATATAGTTGCCCGGATGCCACAGACTCAGGCCACAGAGCACATGCCTAGTATGTTGACACAAGGCTTTTCTAAAGATTAGGGCTGTAACGATGCATCGATAGTATGTATGACTATCGATAGTTTAGTAATTGACTTCCGTTGATAAATGTGCAGCGCAAAATACAGGAAGTTCCAGATTCGTTCACTTTGATTTAGAGTTATCGGCCCCTGTTGCCGCTTAAACAAACATGACTGTTTACATGATCTGGGTTTAAAGTTTCTTGCCAGTTATCAGCTCGTTTTTATTTCACATAAACTATACATTCATTTGGGAAATGACTTCAAATGAGGCAATTCAATGAGAAAAAAACTACTGCAATAGTTGGTCGCAATAGTATGTTGCAATAGACTATCGCTATTCCCCCTCAATAGTCACCCATACTAAATAGCTTGTGTAGCCTCAGCGGCCAGGCCATAGCAAGGTACTGATCTGCTGCACTGTCAAACGTTCTATCCACCTATGGTCGTATTGTACAATAGTAACAGCGGGAGCTGAGGGAGGCTTGTTAACCGGTTAGAACGAAATATGTCTTCAGTCGGAATATTAGATAAACTTAAAGGCCAGCGTCCTGGAAATTTTAGAATATATTATATCAACGAATACACAATGCCATTTAGAAAGTGGTCAAATGTAACAAATGTTATATTTGGGATTACAGTTTCATAGTAAAGTACAGCTTCTAGTACTTTTGCTGGGGTGGGTCCCATCCGGGATTCGAACCCACGCCCTCAGAGTCAGGCACCTAATCGCCAGCACACAAAGTCAAGCGTGGAAGCCGCGGTGGCTGAGCGGGTTAGGATGGAACTCAACCCAACAAAAGTACTAGAATCTGTACTTTACTAAGAAAGTGTAATCTCAAATATAACATCTGTTATATTATATCAACGAAAATATTTTATGAATCCTTTACTATTCTGTACGACAATGTGAATGCCTGTGCAGTTAAATATGCATAGCTGTGTATTAACCGGAGAAACATGCCCTTCTCAGCTGTTGTTGTGACTCCTCCTGGTAATGAGTGATGGTGTAGTAATATATCCTGAAAACAGTCGGTTTCCTAAATCAATGATGAGATCCAAGCTCGGATTTTAATTCTTGGTAATTGTGCACCTCGAACATTACACAATGAAATACTGTACGGTGTCACCCCAGATACAAGTCAGTCTATATTTGAGCAAATATATGGCTGCCTATAAGTCCACTGGGAACGTCTGTGTAATCACATCTCTTTTTCTATATCACTAGGAACTATGCTGGCACTGTTCATGATGAAAAAAGTTGATCTCAGTTCCAAACCTCGAGAGATTATCATTGGACCCGAGACTACGGCGGTTCTGTTGCCGAAAGCTCTGGAAAGAAAGTTAATTAAGAGCAGATCCAGCTGCACAAAGCTGTAAGTATGATTTTGTATCGATATACAATTTGGGTCTTTATGACTATAAAACCTCCGACAAACTTGACTGATTCACAAAAGACTTGAAAAAGTTTGTAAATAAGAAAACAAGGTCCTATAGACATGATAGATGGCGTCCACTTGCCAGTTCTTTATACCATATTTGGACATAGGGCTTTCATTAAACTTCAGTTTCAAGTGAAAGTCACGATTACTTTAGAAAGATCTGAATTGTGTTGGGCTGCCCGGTCAGACCATAAAACTGTCTTTTCCTTGTTGTCGTGTATTTTTGGGGAGAATTGAATATCCATCATTGCGGTTCTACAGTTTTAATTCTTTAATACGTCATTAACGTTATTACGCCAGAAGCCAGACTCACATTTAGTCCAAACAATAAATCTATTATGGAAATATATATCTTGAAAGAAACAATGAATAAAATACAATAGGATCCTAGAACAATTCTTACTTTCAGTCTATGGCATATGGCAACCTAGACTTGCCCAGTCATTCTTGACTTGAGTGTGACTTGCATATTTAATATATTCTCTAGGGTATAGGAGCTCATAATTAGCCACAGTATACCATTAAGTTAACGACTAACAGTTAGGAATGTACGTGGATAGTGGGTGGTTGTCTAGTCGATCATAACCCGTCCATATTTCTTTGTCCACAGACAGGAACTGTAAACCAGCGGTCAACGCAGAGAGGAAGCTATCTCAAGTGCCTGATGGAGGCCTGCACGGATAAACACCTATCCCACTATGAGCGCAATATTCGAAGAATGCTATACATACTTACAGCAGTATATATGTCACTTTCAAACCGTTCCTGACGTGTTTGGTTCCTCTAACACACGGACATCGCTGTTTAAGTATTGTTATTTATCATTATCTCACCAGGAAATATAGCAGGCACCTGTCAAAATCTGTCCAAATTATGTTTTGTGGTGTTTCCCCTTTTCAGTAAATATGAATTATAAAATAATATATCAGTATTGACCATGTTTGTCTTGAAATCCTGTCTTCCTGACACAACGTACATATGTCATTGGTTCCTAAGCATGAATACCCAACTGGGTACTGGTGTTAAAACTGACAATTTTACTGGGAACTGTTGTCAGGATTACCTCCTTCATCTTGATGGTGGTGTTTTTTGTCCCGAATTAATGATCTGTTTTGTTTGCCAAGTGTTTTGTTATATCCCACTTTGCCTGTACTCCTAAGTTGTGGAACTATCAAACCAACACTACTCTCAGTGTATATAGCCTTGTAATCCCACCTGCTGCCGGCCCTGACTTGTTATACGTCATAACGACTGCAATTATCACATACGCTTGTTTTGTTATCCGTCATAACGACTGCCATTTATCACATACGCTTGTTTTGTTGTCCATAATAATCACACCAATAAATAATGAATTACTCTGTGTGTTTTCCCTCCCAAACCGATTGATGACAGTGTCAAAATGCATACAGTTTGATACATATTGTCCAAATATAATTAAGCCAAGAAACACCCAGCTCCCGGTTCAATGGAGTGAAGGAACAGGGGAGTTAAATCTAAACAAACTTGTTGAATCACATATCCGCCATATAGGATACTTGCGGAGTTACCCCCTTGCCTTCATTCACCCGCTTCGCCAGAAGTGATTTTTGTAGAATAAATGTTACAACAATTCTAACAAATACGACGGCAGATAAGAAAAGTAATCTCAAACAGTTTAATGGTAAAATTAGGCAATATGATATTTCTTTTTATTTCTGCTTATTCCTGTTCCTTCAAACCCCTGAGGGGTAATGGAGGCGAAAAACTATTTGTCATGCCATGAGTGGCGCTTAAAATGTTGAATTGAATATATTGTACGTGAGTAATTATTGAATATGAGGCTGGAAATCTCAGAGCACAACCCTGTGATGAAATGGGTGTCTACCTTTGGTGGTGGCGATATTTAATTTTGATATTAAAAATATTTTTCGAACCGAAGCGAGGGAAGCACGTTGCCAACCTTTGCTCGCTTTGCTCGCATATAGAAAGACTGGTCATTTTCCGCTCTGTTGCGCAGCCCAATTTGCGCTACAGTTTGTCTGTGGCCTAATGTCGGAGGGCAGACAGAAGTGATGCGTTTATTTCTCAGGCGTTTACCACGTTCGAGAAAAACACGAGCAGGGGACATGGTGGTGACAAAGAAAAGACCTATTGACATAATAGCGGAGTCATACGTTTCTGGCGTGTCCAAGGGACGCTACTCCGCACAGCTAATTACGGTGGCTAAAAGACTGGGCTCCTGAAGCCAATAAGAGCAGACTACAGGAATCTCGTATAGAAAAATCATTAAAATATATCACGTCACACGCAATTCACGAACGACATCTGAAACCCATATGGAGGCACGGACATGCCAGGAACTTAAGATGATGATGCAGTGATACAGCCTTAGTCGGATCGATTGTGTGTGTGTGTGTGTGTGTGTGTGTGTGTGTGTGTGTGTGTGTGTGTGTGTGTGTGTGTGTGTGTGTGTGTGTGTGTGTGTGTGTGTGTGTGTGTGTTACATGGTACATATCATTGGTCCACAGTTTACTCGCATATAGTACAAGCATTGAATCGTATGGTTTACAGATACTTAAGTGGCATATATTGTTTTCTAAGATTATTGTAAGCGTTACATAGAAGTAGAAAGTGGTATTCATTTTCAATATTACAGAGTTTACAAACCCATTGATTTCTAGGAATTTTATACTACCTTCCCGTTTCGATGTTTAAAAATGAGAACTGCAGCGAAAACGAGCCAAAATGTTCTAAACTTATTGTCCAAGAGCGTTCAACGGGGATAGCTCCGTTCGTTGTGGTACTCTCGGATGGTAGTTCAAGAGACGGAAGACAAACGTCAGCAGTATAGTTGACGAGAGCAGCAGCCATGTTTATTATGGTTGGGGAATAATGGTAGAAATGGTACATACAAGTGACAGAACGCACATCGGTCGAGTGGCCAATGTTCCCGATGTGGAGACCCGCTCTGTCACTTACACACATTCAGAAGTCGGACGGCGATTCTTCATCGTCGACGTAGTCGTTGGTGAGGCGACGGCCTTGCCGACGCCCCGACTAGCCGCACAGTCCGTCCGCTTCGGTGAATGATCTGGGCCCGTTTCCTCGCCTCGTCTCTGACTGGTCTCCCTGACTGACCATGTGAGTCCGGTTTTATGCATAGGGACATTACGCCACGTTGTGCAAGGTAATTGACCTGTGCACGTGTACATACGTAAGATCCGCCGACGTGGGGAGATGTTAATTAACATTTACTGATGGCATTGAGAATTAAGGGTCCTGCCCTAAGGGAGGTTTATGATAAAAGGGCTACACCGAATGATTGCTGAATACATTAAACAGACAAAGTGGATAGAATTTCGGTGCACTTTGGATATATATGGAAACAATTATGTTGTTTGAATACTAGTATATGAAGTTTAACAGAAACTTATTGAAATGGTTTACTCTATGACATTATCAAGATTTAGTGATAATAAATATGGTTTCACAGTGAAAACAGTCTTACATTGAGAATACGAACACATCTTAGAACTATTCAGCAGAGCGGAGTACCAATTCTGTTCATAAGCGGCTGTTAATCTAAATTCATATTCTGCCAGGAAAGGAACGGGGAAATCTACACTTTGGGCTTCCCAGTCTTACCACGAGATACATCATACCATACCCTTTCATAGGAAACCGAGATTTGGGCATATTCAGAACTTTACACACCAATATGACAAACAACGTGTGAAAGCTGAAATATAGAGTGGGCATCTCCCACACTCACCACGAACACAGTGATCGGTGGTAGAAGATTTAACATCTAAACATAACTTGCATGCCAATAAATGAATTGATTCTATTTCCTCAATATTATCTAATCACCATACTTCAGCTCCGTATGAAAGGATAGGAACAACTTTTGAATCAAATTAACTTAAAAAATACAGGTAGGATTCAGCGTACTTCGGGTTCAAGATTAAAGCACTTATATAGCCTTGTGCCTGCACGTGCCTGTAAGCGAACCAATTCGTGTTTGTCACCATAATCCCAAGCGTCACCAGAGTGATGATCGTTTAACGCGTATACCCTAGATCATGATATGTGGTGTGGGTGTGGTGTGGTGTGGTGTGGTGTGGTGTGGTGGTGGTGGTGGTGGTGGTGTGTGTGTGTGTGTGTGTGGTGTGTGTGTGTGTGTGCGTGTGTGTGTGCGTGCGTGCGTGCGTGTGTGTGTGTGTGTGTGTGTGCAGTTTGGTCATTTCCAGCAACAGACATTTGGCAGTATAGTCACAAGTAATACTCTCCTTCGGTAATCGGAATACTATTTTTGTATGACGAACAAATACTCGAAGCACCAGGCTACACTATCACACCTTTACTACATTAACTTTACACATTAACTTTACACATTAACTTTACACATTAACTTTACACATAACTTTACACATAACTTTACACATTAACTTTACACATTAACTTTACACATTTTACACACACATTAACTTTACACATAACTTTACACATTAACTTTACACATAACTTTACACATAACTTTACACATTAACTTTACACATAACTTTACACATTAACTTTACACATAACTTTACACATTACCTTTACACATAACTTTACACATTTACACATAACTTTACACATTAACTTTACACATTAACTTTACACTTAACTTTACACATTAACTTTACACATAACTTTACACATAACTTTACACATTAACTTTACACATAACTTTACACATTAACTTTACACATTAACTTTACACATAACTTTACACATAACTTTACACATAACTTTACACATTAACTTTACACATTAACTCAGTTGAAGTGCTCAGTAATACGACGAGGCAGCCATTTGTGTCACCCTGGCTGGGGGAGGGAAAGACGGAGATGTCGGCACTTCAAGGCTGGAGGATGTCTCACCTACTCCAACCCTCAGCGTTTCCCCTCCGTGACAACACCTCCCTCCTCCATCCCCGTCGTCTCAAGAGCTCAGTAGTTAGTCTCACCGAGACCACGCTTCAGTCTGGAAGTCCATCCTGACTCCACAACAGTAGTCCAGTCAGCCATCTGTACCTGATAGTCCAGCCTGACTCCACAACAGTAGTCCAGTCAGCCATCTGTACCTGATAGTCCAGCCTGACTCCCCAACAGTAGTCCAGCCAGGCTCTTGGTGTTGTCAAGTCCGGTTCTGTACTCGTTACTGTTCGATGTTGTAACTCAAGTCAAGTCAAGATTTGTACCCGAGAGTCACGTCTGGCTCTGCCCCGATAGCCTAGTCCAGATTCGTACCCGAGAGTCAAGTCCGGCTTCGTACCTGAGAATCAAGTCCGGCTTCGTACCCGAGAATCAAGTCCTGCTTTGTACCCCATAGCCGAGCCAGGTCAGATCTGGCAGCGACAAGTGTAGGCTTTGAAGTCCTCTGGAAACAGATAATAGTCAGTTGCTGAAACCAACGTGTTTCTTTCTGAATAAACTTGATCCATTCTTTGTGGATATCAAACATTGGTTTGGGGACATCCTGGTCGGAAAGACATTTGTACATGCGTTGACTGACACAGACGTGTTTTGAAGGTGAACAATATCCTTGCTGAACTAGTAAACCGACATGACGATGTTCCTTGGTCTCCTTGTTCTTGTCGCCATGGCGACGCTTCCTTGCCAGGGTAACAACAAGACTGGGTAAGTAGCTGGCTAGCTATTATCGAAACGTTTGTAGCCTTACTTCTTAAGCCCATTCTTAACACATTGTCTACGATCAAAGTTAAGAATTCTTAAGGCTACGAACGTTTCGAGAATAAGAGCCCTGATTCTTATTTCCAAACGGTTGGTAGCCAGCATGTTGGTAACCTCCTGTAAACACCTAGATATCAGGAAGAAGCGGATCGCGATCACCTTCAGTCAACCGCCAGTGATCAAACCAAGGCACCACGTGTCCCCTATGGTTTATTCTAGTGCGTATTTTTTATAGTTGACTGAGGTATCATACTGATAATATCTACCACATATTCCATCCCTCGTCCATTGACTTAACATTCTGTAGTATTCTGTAGTAGCTGTAGACTTGTAGTTTGATACAGAATAGCGCATGCTGTGTTAACTGTATACGATGGTTAATACTATAATTCCCGATGGGGCATGCATAGTACAAAAATGCATAGTAGATCTACATTCATAGTACAGTTGTCGGATGGTGTATGTTTAGCATACCAATGGAAAATACATAGCTTTACTTCAATGAAAATACGGGGTTTATTAAATTCAGTCTTTCAGAACATATTCATGAAGTCAACTCCTCGACTTTAAGGTCATGATTCACACTTTCCAGTAGGGTGCCCAAAACATTTGTTTTATGCGTTCCTTTGGAGAATAGTACTCAAACGCTTGTTTTATTAATGTGAACAGGACACATGGAAGGTTTAGCTATCGGGTGGTCAAAAACACTTCAGGGGCGGTGGGGTAGCCTAGTGGTTAAAGCGTTTGCTCGTCACACCGAAGACCCGGGTTGGATTCCCCACACGGGCACAATGTGTGAAGCCCATTTCCGGTGTCCCCCACCGTGATGTTGCTGGAATAGTGCTAAAAGCGGCGTAAAACAATACAAACTCACTCGCTCAAAAACACTTCAAGTTTCGTAATAACGCTTAAGCACTGCCACGGCTTGTTTCAAATCAACGCGTCGTGAAAATGCTTCAAACAGGAATGGGTCAAATCGAGTTTTCATCGAAATACAATATCATCTCTTCCAAGACGTTATCTACAGCAGAGCTACACAAATGTCTTCTCGCGGTCAACAAAAACATGTTTGGTTGGCGTATCTACCTAATCGAGGCCAAAACTGCTCGTATAGGTCCTGGATTGAGACCAGTTAATGTTCATCACATTGTTACTGTACATCTAATTTCTTGTTGTTCTTGTTAATCATTTACTGTATATATATGTAACCCTGTGTTTTACCTGACCCATACTTGCTTGACAACGATACAAGAATCTGTATCGAAACGTCGCATCTTCCGAATAAAGAAGTTGTTCATCCATAAAGTTTGTTCCTTATCTGATTCACCAACTTCTAAACATGCCACTCAAAGAAATTAATGTCAGAACCTTGCGCAAACGGCCATGTCAAGCCTATAGACGGTATCCGATGGTCACAATAGAGCACTGAGACAGTGTGCTGTTCACAGATGAGTCTAATCGTGCTAAGGTCTATAGCTCCCGGCGTCAAGAGAACGTTTCAGCAGTGCTTGCTTTTCCCAAAGTCGCCGGCAAAGGTAGATGATGCACCTGCACACCTCCATACAATAACTGACGGATATTCACAAAGGCACATAACTCATTCACAGTATAAGGGTGGATGGTACGTCCATACTTCATAGATAATTCATAGTATACTTGCAGATGGACATGGTGCAATAGTAGATGTGCAATGTGCAATGGTAGATGTGCATAGTGCAGTGGTAGATGTGCATAGTGTAATAGTAGATGTGCATTGTGTAATAGTAGATGTGATTAGTGCAATGGTAGACGTGCATAGTGCAATAGTAGATGTGCATAGTGCAATGGTAGATGTGCATAATGCAATAGTAGACGTGCATAGTGCAATGGTAGATGTGCATTGTGCAATAGTAGATGTGCATAATGCAATAGTAGATGTGCATAGTGCAATTGCAGATGTGCATAGTGCAATAGTAGATGTGCATAATGCAATAGTAGATGTGCATTGTGTAATAGTAGATGTGCATAGTGCAATGATTGATGTGATTAGTGCAATGGTAGATGTGCATAGTGCAATAGTAGATGTGCATAGTGCAGTGGTAGAGATGTGCATAGTGTTCAATTCATAGTGCAGATGCAATACAGTAGATGTGCATAGTACTACAGTAGATGGGACATAGTACAATAGTAGATGTGCATAGTGCAGTGGGAGATGTGCTTAGTGCAATAGTAGATGTGCATTGTGCAATAGTAGGTCTGCATTGTGTAATAGTAGATGTGATTAGTGCAATGGTAGACGTGCACAGTGCAGTGGTAGATGTGTTCAATTCAAGATGAGTAGAAGCGTAGATGTAAACAGTGCAATAGTAGATAATGCATAGTACTATAGTAGATTGGACACAGTACAATAGTAGATTATACATAATGTTATAGATAACATATCAGTTTCACTTTAGTATGGTGTACATATGCTGCAGCTTGATGCAACCGCAGATGAAGCACGGTCCAGTAATGGTGTATGGAACAACATAGATGCCATCGGTAGTGCATTAGAAGACCAGCTACAGACTCTTTATCGATGATGCCCATTTAGTACAATAGACAGCATAGATAGGATGACCCAATGACTGAAACCACAGTGCGTGCGTGCGTGTGTGTGCTGCTATTTGAACTGGCCCGGACTTGTGTCTGTTTTGACCGCAACGCAAGGGAGGGTATGACCGTTACCATCTTTTGACGTCTTTTTGTATGATGCGACTTAGTCATAGAACCTCCGCTCTTCTGCTGCATTATAGCAGGTCGTGCATAGTTAGTTTCAGTCAAACATAGTGCATGTACATGTGTCAAGGATAGTATGCGGTGTATGTGTAGTGCGTGTACATGTGTCAAGGATAGTATGCGGTGTATGTGTAGTGCGTGTACATGTGTCAAGGATAGTATGCGGTGTATGTGTAGTGCGTGTACATGTGTCAAGGATAGTATGCGGTGTATGTGTAGTGCGTGTACATGTGTCAAGGATAGTATGCGGTGTATGTGTAGTGCGTGTACATGTGTCAAGGATAGTATGCGGTGTATGTGTAGTGCGTACATGTGTCACATGTATGTGTAGTGCAAGGATAGTATGCGGTGTATGTGTAGTGCGTGTACATATGTGTCAAGGATAGTATGCGGTGTATGTGTAGTGCGTGTACATGTGTCAAGGATAGTATGCGGTGTATGTGTAGTGCGTGTACATGTGTCAAGGATAGTATGCGGTGTATGCGGTGTATGTGGATAGTGCGTGTACATGTGTCAAGGATAGTATGCGGTGTATGTGTAGTGTACATGTGGATACATGTGTCAAGGACATGTGTCAAGGATAGTATGCGGTGTATGTGTAGTGCATGTACATGTGTCAAGGATAGTATGCGGTGTATGTGTAGTGCATGTACATGTGTCAAGGATAGTATGCGGTGTATGTGTAGTGCGTGTACATGTGTCAAGGATAGTATGCGGTGTATGTGTAGTGCGTGTACATGTGTCAAGGATAGTATGCGGTGTATGTGTAGTGCGTGTACATGTGTCAAGGATAGTATGCGGTGTATGTGTAGTGCGTGTACATGCATTGTTCTACAGTAAGCGTTACATGGATAGTAAATGGAAATGCTGAGGGGCATGTATTGTTCAGGACTATGGATTCTATGGTAAACGAAACAAATCGCAGCTTTCAAACTTACAATTTGTTAAATGAAACTTATTATATTTAGACCAGATTAACAAATGTAATCTGAAACTAGATCAGATCACCCTTTTAGCAAACCGACTGGTTTGACCTTGACCCGATTGACGTATTGAATACGTTCAGTATGTTCGTACGAATACACAATGACATGCAGAAAGTGGTCAAATGTAACACATGTTATATTTGGGATTTCACTTTCTCAGTTAAGTACAAATTCTAGTACTTTTATTGGGTTGAGTCCCATCCGGGATTCGAACCCACAACCTCAGAGTCAGGCGTCTAACCAACTCAGCCAGTTGTCCGACGGCAGTATGTGCGTAGTAAGGCGTTATGGATCGAGGTCGAGGTCGAGGGGTCAAATCAGGAAATGTGTTGCTTATCTGAATTTCCGTTTGTCGTATCTTATTAGACTACCGGTGTCCGGAACGTCTTACACCACAGCAGATGGCTTCAACATTGGAGATACTCAAATATTGTTGTTGCAGTTTACGTCAAGATTGCATGTATGTACTCACATGCACGCGCAGGTTCCATACAAAAGTGCTAATTTTAGTTTAGGAGCTCTCATTTCTACATACAAGAGTGCCACAGTCAATTTTTTTATCTCCTAAGTAGGACGTAGCTATATTCAAATACCACGTAACTGGCACAATAAGAATACAAATTCCCTGTGATGGCATTAATATCCAAGTCGGGGTTAGAGGTCAAATTCCAAGATTCTTGAAACGTCCGATTCAACACTGATGTCAGCGATGTCCATCGGAGACTCACGACAGGTGTCAAGCGCCGGTATGGAGCTTGATATTCCTGTTAGGAGCTTCGAAGTGACGTCAATGTTAATTAGTTTAATTGACAATAAAATAGAGGAATATAATTAATTTGACATTGAAAGTATATTTATATTACTTTGGACTGCCGTGTCGTTACACGGACTGGACACAATGGAAAGGTTTGACCAGCAGTAAAACAACTGTTACCAAGTCAAGCCTTTGTTTGATCATGTCAGTTAACCAAGCTAAGGTTAGTTTCCTTTTCACAGTAATACAACCGTTTGACATTACGCCAGGGTGAAGTTGCGACTATTGCTTAAGGTTCTACCCTAGGTTATTCTCAATTAACGCTGGTTAATTCAGATTGACTCTAATCTTCAATTAGGTGACTCAATCACTTAATTTAATTTAATTTAAAATTTAATTTAAGAAAATAAATACACAAGCAATGGGAAATTGTGCCAAGTCGCCGTTTTAGTTATGCTCTGGAGTTTGGACTCTCTCATCCGGTCACAGAAGTCGATGATATCCGACTGAAACAAAAATGCTTAGTGGAGATTAGTAAATCATATTTTACATATTGCCCCATATCTTTTTTCGTCGTTTCAGTCTGTAAGGAACCCATTCAGTAGCTAGGCCGAGGAAACACGACGAAACTTTATTCCTCAGATCTTTCTTAGACATGAATATTTGAACTGGCTCAAAGAATTATTCACTGTCACAATATGAAACGCGACATTAGGTCAATACGCATTTTCACTCATAACTATACGTTTTCAATTTATAACAAAATGCATCAAGGCGGTATCTTGATGTTATTCATAGTTTCATCTCGAGAAGCATAGGTTGTTGGAGACCAAATCTAATCGTAATTCTCAGACGAAAACATGCTACGGTCTCTTATGAAATCCTTGTTCTGTTCTACCGTGAGCACCGGTGGTCATGTCGTCTAAGGCGACACAGTTCGTTGTGGTGGGGACGTGGGGTAGGTAGCATAGTGGTTAAAGCGTTCGCTCGTCACGCCGAAAACCCGGGTTCGATTCCTGTGTGTGAATCCCATTTCTGGTGTCCTCCACCGCGATTGTTGCTGGAATATTGCTAAAAGCGGCGTAAAACTAAACTCACTCACTCAGTTTGCTGTGCTGTGTTGCTTGGGAATGACAGAAACTTAGGATCGTGGGTTCGGTTCCCGGATCTCCTGCACCATGTTTCTAGATGTGTCACTATCACGCCCGTGTTTGTGGATTCACGGAAGCAACTGAGGTTTTGTCTTCAATATATCGTGACAAGCCGTGTTGTAACTGGAGCGACGTTACCCGCAAGTGACTCACTCACTCACTGATGTATATGTTGTGTTCCCAGGAGTTACATGCTGACAATGCCGAGTGTGTTGGAGGTGGGGAAACAACAGAAGATCTGTCTGACACTGTACAAACACCGCCGAATGGACGTGTACTACTCCCTGAAGGCTAACAAGAAGCGCTACTTCTACCAGAGACAGAAATACAGGCGAGGTAAGGAACTGTAGCTACCAGAGACAGAAGTACAGGCGAGGTAAGGAACTGTAGCTACCAGAGACAGAAGTACAGGCGAGGTAAGGAACTGTAGCTACCAGAGACAGAAGTACAGGCGAGGTAAGGAACTGTAGCTACCAGAGACAGAAGTACAGGCGAGGTAAGGAACTGTAGCTACCAGAGACAGAAGTACAGGCGAGGTAAGGAACTGTAGCTACCAGAGACAGAAGTACAGGCGAGGTAAGGAACTGTAGCTACCAGAGACAGAAGTACAGGCGAGGTAAGGAACTGTAGCTACCAGAGACAGAAGTACAGGCGAGGTAAGGAACTGTAGCTACCAGAGACAGAAGTACAGGCGAGGTAAGGAACTGTAGCTACCAGAGACAGAAGTACAGGCGAGGTAAGGAACTGTAGCTACCAGAGACAGAAGTACAGGCGAGGTAAGGAACTGTAGCTACCAGAGACAGAAGTACAGGCGAGGTAAGGAACTGTAGCTACCAGAGACAGAAGTACAGGCGAGGTAAGGAACTGTAGCTACCAGAGACAGAAGTACAGGCGAGGTAAGGAACTGTAGCTACCAGAGACAGAAGTACAGGCGAGGTAAGGAACTGTAGCTACCAGAGACAGAAGTACAGGCGGGGTAAGGAACTGTAGCTACCAGAGACAGAAGTACAGGCGAGGTAAGGAACTGTAGGTACCAGAGACAGAAGTACAGGCGAGGTAAGGAACTGTAGCTACCAGAGACAGAAGTACAGGCGGGGTAAGGAACCGTAACTACCAGAGACAGAAGTACAGGCGAGGTAAGGAACTGTAGCTACCAGAGACAGAAGTACAGGCGAGGTAAGGAACTGTAGGTACCAGAGACAGAAGTACAGGCGAGGTAAGGAACTGTAGCTAGCAGAGACAGAAGTACAGGCGGGGTAAGGAACTGTAGCTACCAGAGACAGAAGTACAGGCGAGGTAAGGAACTTATAACAACGTTTCTTGTCACGATAGATTTTTCACTTTGAGATTCTTTCTTCATTATTCAACTACAGCTTCAGAAAACACACGACTAAAACAACATCGAAATAAACGAATAAACATTGAAGTGAATTTCTACCTTGTTTTTTTATGTAATGTTCACTACTGGGAAAACTATTCAACTGTTAACGTTGAATAGAACGTTAAGACAACGTAAAATCCGTTAGCATGAAATAAATATCCTTATGGAGACGTTAAAATGACCTGTCATAAAGTCAGGCTACAACGTAAATGGGAGTCCACAGAATAACGAAAGCATAACGTTTTGACAATGTGAAATTGTTAGCTGATATGTCATACACTGCAGAGTGAGTGTAGTTTTACGCCGCACTCAGTAATATTACATAATACACACTGTCAGCAATACACATACATGGCTGTGCAATACACACAAATGACTGTGCAATACACACACATGACTGTGCAATACACACAAATGACTGTGCAATACACATACATGGCTGTACAATACACCCGATATGCTTTACATAATATAGTACCCTACGTAATCAGTAGGTTCTGACGCATTAAGTATTGTCTATTGTAAATAGCGTTGAGTATCCAGGCCTTTGAACTGTTCGAGAGGCATTCTAGAAGTTGTAAGCAATAGGAATGACAAGTGTCATTCGCTATTGTACAACAAAGAGGTTGATCATCCATAAGCACTTGTCATTCCTATCGAGGGCTTTGACTGAAGAGCGTTAGATTTACAGAGAATATTTACAAAAAATAAGTTCAGTGCAATAATATGTCTCTATGTCACAGGCCAGGGTGGATGCATCACCTTTACAATCCCCCCGGATCTGGGCGGGATTCGACACAAGCTGTCCATGGCAATGATCGGCCCCAGACGCATGAGGGAGCACAAGTCGCACACCTTCACACCGCAACCACAACAGAGAACCACCTTCATCCACTCGGACAAACCCATCTACAAGCCGGGGCAGCTGGGTAGATTTAACATGTTATATTTTACACTTTCTCAGATTCTAGTACATTTCTTGGGTTGTGTCCCATCTCTGATTCGAACCCATACTGTCTGGGTCAGGCACCCAACCACCTGCACACAAAGGCAGCATTCTAATCTACCCAACCTCCGTGGCAACTGGTAGTCTAGACCACGGAGTTTGAGTACCACTCTGACAGGTGTAAATTGGCACGGCCAAAAGCGATGAACACACAATGCCACTTACAATGCGGTAATTCCGTTTTTAAGGCATTTTGTGGTCACTTGAAGCATGAACGGGTAGGTAGAATGTGATATCTTGACAGGCCTTGCTACCTGTATATTTGATTGTCTAATTGTCGAACAAACCCTTGTTACATAAACTGTCGCCCCCTAGACAGCGTCCAGTATGGTGCTATCACTACAGGAATATCTTTTCACACTAAGAGATGTTACAGTTCCTATCTTCATGTTCCAGTGAGAATCAGAGTCATGACCATCGACTCCGAACTGATGCCAAGCACAGACAAGGTAAGCATTTACATATTCATCCGACATCCCCTGGTTAACGTGTTTGATCGCTGCACCGAACACCCGGGTTCGATTCCCAACATGGGTACAGTGTGTGGAGTTCGGTGTCCCTCGCCCAGTTTCAGTTCCTTAAAACGATTGCTTCGTTCGTTTTCCCTGCTTTACTTCAATTTTCCTTTCTCGTTGGTTCACGACTGTCAGATAAACAAAGGTTGCGACCTGCCAAATTGCCTAAAAGGTCTCATTGTGGTTCATATTTGTATCCTTAAACTGGGCCAGGATGCCCTGATCGAATATGTGTTCCGATTATGATCCATGCTCGGTCATCATACTTTGCTCGTGTTTTCACCTCTGAGACGTGTCTGTATTGAAGGGAGGGTATATATTACTTACAATACAATACAATCATTGTGTTTTTGTTAGTTAAGAATAATTACATTATCAATTTCTTTGCAGATATCACTCGTTCGGATAATCACACCAAATGACGTCATCATGAAACAATGGCGAGATCTCGACAATAAAAAGGGTAAAGTATAAAGTCAACTGTATAAAGTAAACTGTATTAAAGTCAATGCATACACTTCATACACTCAATAATTTCTTTGAAGCACGTTTCTGTATGCTACATCGAATCGATTTCAACATACTCCTTGACACAGTGGTCCTTGGTGGACAAGTGGTCGAGAAAATTATTAATATTGTTCAAATTTAAACCAGGTTAGCCTAGTAGTTAAAGTGTTTCCTCGACACGCTGAAGAGCGGGGTACGATTCCGAAGATGAAAAACTGTGTGCTCTACTTTCCTGGCATCCTCCGTCATGATGTTGATGGCTATATATAGTATATTAGTTAGCTCAAGAGGAACAAGACATTATGACAAACTGCCTGTTGCAGGAATGGTGACTCTAGAGTTCCAGCTGGCGGCAGAACCAGTTCTTGGAGACTGGGTTATTTTGACGGAGATTGGAGGCAAGGAAACGCGAGCAAAGTTCGAAGTCGCTGAATACGGTATGTGATGAAGTTTGACCACAGTATAACCTTGTTGTTGTGTAAACCCTATTCTTTGAGCGGTAATGTTAGACGATACATATTACAGGGGCATACCTTCGTATGCATGCTTGTATTGCTCTGTGGGCGGCGAAAGATGATAGTTCTGGATGTTCGATAATCGGAGAGGAAGAGAGAAAGCTCATTAAACAAAAAGTGGCGGTAGCATCTTAAAGTGAGTAGATTAAATGCTCGTAAGAAAAATGTTTTAGTTTGATAGTAATTTCAAAGATAGGGGACATGTTGTCTTTGTGACGCGGGAAGTAAACGATTTTGATGTGTGAGTATGATACGTTGGCGTAGATTCATCATCATGTCAAACCTGACCTGTTTGGTGCAGGGCTGTCAGTGAACCACGTGCGTGTTTTGTATAGACAGACAGGGCTATCAGTGAACCACGTGCGTGTTTTGTACTGACAGACACAGGGCTATCAGTGAACCACGTGCGTGTTTTGTACTGACAGACACAGGGCTATCAGTGAACCACGTGCGTGTTTTGTACTGACAGACACAGGGCTATCAGTGAACCACGTGCGTGTTTTGTATAGACAGACACAAGGCTATCAGTGAACCACGTGCGTGTTTTGTACTGACAGACACAGGGCTATCAGTGAACCACGTGCGTGTTTTGTACTGACAGACACAAGGCTATCAGTGAACCACGTGCGTGTTTTGCACTGACAGAAACAGGGCTATCAGTGAACCACGTGCTTGTTTTGTATAGACAGACACAAGGCTATCAGTGAACCACGTGCGCGTTTTGTACTGACAGACACAGGGCTATCAGTGAACCACGTGCGTGTTTTGTACTGACAGACACAAGGCTATCAGTGAACCACGTGCGTGTTTTGCACTGACAGAAACAGGGCTATCAGTGAACCACGTGCTTGTTTTGTACTCTCAGACTCAGGGCTATCAGTGAACCACGTGCGTGTTTTGTACTGACAGACACAGGGCTAATTAACAGTGAACTATGTGCGTGTTTTGTACTGACAGACACAGGGCTATCAGTGAACCACGTGCTTGTTTTGTATAGACAGCCACAGGGCTATCAGTGTACCACGTGCGTGTTTTATATAGACAGCCACAAGGCTATCAGTGAACCACGTGCGTGTTTTGTACTCTCAGACTCAGGGCTATCAGTGAACCACGTGCGTGTTTTGTATAGACAGCCACAAGGCTATCAGTGAACCACGTGCGTGTTTTGTACTCTCAGACACAGGGCTATCAGTGAGCCACGTGCGTGTTTTGTACTGACAGACACAGAGCTAATTAACAGTGAACTACGTGCGTGTTTTGTACTGACAGACACAGGGCTATCAGTGAACCACGTGCGTGTTTTGTACTGACAGACACAGGGCTATCAGTGAACCACGTGCTTGTTTTGTACTGCAACATTAGAAGCATTACTGTATATGGCAGCGTGATGGAGGTTGTTTAGTTACGCTATGGATTAGTCCTATTTCATGAGATCACGAGATGACATTCATATTCGACAATGAAACTGCACCGCATCAGTGTGTTTCAGTGCTGCCCAAGTTCTCCATCATCGTGACGCCCCCGACACGAGTAAACGAAAAGACGGAGCAGATTGAAGGGGAGGTGTGCTCCAAGTAAGTGGGACAATATATTTCTTTCGGAAAAACTTTGTGTCATATAGCGAGATGTCCAGGGGCTACACGGCAAGTTCAGTCCTTCTTGCGAAGGAGTGACTTACATTGAGGATCAGCCGGTCAGTCTGCTGTCATTGAATATGAATAGTAGACGGCGAAGGGACATTTGTGCAATAAGACTACAACTTCCACATGCAATCCCGAACAAAACAAATATGCATATGTTGAGCCTTGTAAAGATGTCGTAATTGTCACATGCGTGTCCTAGCTGACTCTGTGTCATCGTGCCCCCACGACGTAGGCCATTGCTTGTGTGCTTTTAATATCAGTCACTGGTTTGTCAGTAGTTGGCCATTACTGACCGATGCGAAGTACATTCTCTTGCTCACTCATTCCAAGGAGGTGGCTTATCTGTGTCCATTACAGCTCCCTCCTACTCTGTTACCTACCTAACTCGTTACCTACTCTGTCGCCATGGTAACACAGGTGTATTGTTTCAGGTACACGTACGGGCAACCTGTGAAGGGCAAGATTATGGTGGACACATGCATCACCGAGTTGTCCCAGACATACGGCACAGGCAAGAAGCCATGCGCAGTCATACACGGGGAGGTAAGGGAGCGATTGTGTCTGTCTAGATTGTCAAGAGATACCGTGTGTATCTGGGCAAGGTTGTCAGGAGGTACCGTGTGAATCTGTGGTTATATTGTCAGGATGTACCGTGTGTATCTGGGCAAGATTGTCAGGAGGTACCGTGTGTATCTGTGGCAAGATTGTCAGGATGTACCGTGTGTATCTGGGCTAGATTGTCAGGAGGTACCGTGTGTATCTGGGCAATATTGTCAGGAGGTACCGTGTATCTGGGCAAGATTGTCAGGATGTACCGTGTGTATCTGGGCAAGATTGTCAGGAGGTACCGTGGTCAGCAAGATTGTCAGGAGGTATCTTGTGTATCTGGGCAAGATTGTCAGGATGTACCGTGTGTATCTGGGCACGATAGTCAGGATGTATCATGTGTATATGGGGCATGATTGTCAGGAGATACCGTGTGTATCTGTGGTAATATTGTCAGGAGGTATCTTGGTGTATCTGGGCAGGATTGCCAAGATTGCCCGTGTGTATCTGTGGTTATATTGTCAGGAGGTACCGATCTGGTACCGTGTGTATCTGTGGTAAAATTGTCAGTCAGGAGGTACCGAAGGTATTGTATCTGTCGTTATATTGTCAGGAGGTATCTTGTGTATCTGGGCTACCGTGTGTATCTGGGCTTGATTGTCAGGAGGTACCGAGTGCACCTGGGAAGATTGTCAGGGTGTACCCTGTGCATATGGGCAAGATTGATAGGAGGTACCGTGTGTATCTGGGCTAGATTGTCAGGACATACAGTGTGTATCTGGGCAAGATTGTCAGGGTGTACCGTGTGTATCTGGGCAAGATTGTCAGGAGGTACCGTGTGTATCTGGGCAAGATTGTCAGAAGGTACCGTGTGTATCTGTGGCAGTTTTGTCAGGAGGTACCGTGAGTATCTGGGCAAGATTGTCAAGAGGTACCGTGTGTATCTGGCAAGATTGTCAGGAGGTACTGCGTGTATCTGGGCAAGTTTGTCAAGAGGTACCGTGAGTATCTGGGCAAGATTGCCAAGAGGTACCGTGTGTATCTGGCAAGATTGTCAGGAGGTAGCGTGAGTATCTGGGCAAGATTCCAAGAGGTACCGTGTGTATCTTGCAAGATTGTCAGAAGGTACTGCGTGTATCTGGGCAAGTTTGTCAGGAGGTACCGTGAGTATCTGGACAAGATTGTCAAGAGGTACCGTGTGTATCTGGCAAGATTGTCAGGAGGTACTGCGTGTATCTGGGCAAGTTTGCCAAGAGGTACCGTGTGTATCTGGCAAGTTTGTCAGGAGGTACCGTGAGTATCTGGGCAAGATTGCCAGGAGGTACCGTGTGTATCTGTGTTTACGTATATTGTATATTGTCAGGAGGTACCGCGTGTATCTGGGCTAAATTGTCAGGAGGTACTGTGTGCATTTGGGGCTAGATTGTCAGGAGGTGCCGTATGTGTCTATGGCTAGATTGTCTGGAATATCGCACGTACCTTGGGCTTCAGTAGCAATCTAGGGTTAGATTGACAAGGGCTGTCTTGCGAATTTGTGTCTATGTTGTCAAGAATTGCCCTGTGTATGTCGGGCTACAGTGTGCATCTTTTGCTAGATTGACAGTAGATGTGCATCGGGTGCTAGACTGCCAATAGCTGTCTCGTGTACCTGTGCTGGATTGTCAATAGCTGCCACGTGTGTCTGTTTGTGCAATATGTATGTCTGCATCAACAAGAGCTTGTTTGCATCTAATTGCTAGCATGCGCGTTGTCATTAGAAATGTATTAATACTGTACATTTGTTAGTATTGAGTAAATTATGTTGTATCATGTTGACAATACATGTCCTGTTTTAGATAAATGGCTGCTTTACCTACTCATTTGCCACCTCCATCCTGAGACCTTACTTCGAAAACCGCTACAACTACCTCAAACTCAGCACCTTCGTGGCCATATTTGAAGAGGCGACTGGTATGTTTGCAATTAACACTCGTATCTTTCCGTAACAATCAGGTCTTCATTCGGTTTGTTCCGAAAGACAACCTGGTTACAAACTGTGTATGTGAATGATATTCATACGTATATCCTTGTTTTGATTTCCTTTGATTTGACAGATCTTCAAACAACCATGTAGAATGGAGAGGACTTTTGCAGTTTAGTTTTTTAGCCTGTGTGTATTTTTAGGTCTGCTGGTTAACCAGACTGTTGACGGCCCAGTCATTAAAAGGTTTGCGGTGAAAGTTGACATCAAGTCCTATACGAGGAAGTTTTTCAAACCGCTCTTGCCATTTGAATTCAGGGTAAGGATGAAACACTTTTGCTATTTATAAAAGTACGACAAGTGCGGCGTAAAACTAAACTCACTCACTCACTCTTTCTGTTAAACGGGTAGCTGGAAAAGATTAATCACGTTACACGCCGGTTCGCAGTTGGCACTATTTGACGCCGACCGTGTGCTTCTCTTTGACAGCATTGCATTATCCCCGAAGATGGGTTCAGCTGTCTTTGATGCAGAGAAACCATATCCTTAAATCAGTCACCGTGAATGAGAAATTCAACACAGAGTCCAGTGTTTTCAGTGTGTTGTCACGTTTCAGGCTCTAGTTACCGGGGATGATGGCAAGCCTGTCTCACGTCTGATGATGACGCTATCCAGCAAGCAGACGGGTTTCTCTGGGAAAATTATGACCGACAATAAAGGCTTTGCATCTTATTTCTTCACTCGGCTTGGTACAGAAAAAGCACTGGTTATATTTGAGGTAGGTTTCTATGTAATTATTAGCTATTTCCGCTCAACGCAATATGGTTAGACAATACCGAAGAGACGAAAAATGAGAACTCCTTCAACATTTGACCTACTATCAGATAAACCGTTATTGTACTTTTGTTTCCTAGTAACAAACAGTGGTACTTGATACTGATTCTGACAGACATAATGGAAGGACGATTTTTTTCTTTTGTGATTCCAGCTTTTAGCAGACGACACTGAAAATCGAAATCCAAGCACCTTCTACGTGGCTCAGTGGTTTTCGCCAAGTGACAGTTACTTGGAAATTCAGCCAATCAGCAAAGCCCTTTCTGTTGGACTTGGACCAATCCCCATCTATATGACCAAACCCCCAACGACACCATTTCGTGTTGTTGCGCAGGTAACTGATATCATTTGAAAGTATTTGTATTCATTATGTACTACGAGTGATTAGGCCACAGGTTTCGTTTGGGCTCACGAATGTTTGGTCGACAAAATAGAAAAAGTAAAATATCCAGTTTGAATTACTTGTCTTTCCCAAGTCCACACATGACATAAGATACGACTAATATGATCGTGAGGGAAAGGTCGCTGACCTGTTTATCACATTATGCATCTCATCAAATCTCAGTTGAGTAGATCGATGCTCATGATGTGAACAACACATGACATAAGATACGACTAATATGATCGTGAGGGAAAGGTCGCTGACCTGTTTATCACATTATGCATCTCATCAAATCTCAGATGAGTAGATCGATGCTCATGATGTGAACCACTGAATTGTCTGGTCCAGACTCGACTATTACAGATCGCTGTCATATAGCTGGATTACTGCTCAGAGCAAGAAAGTGAAGAAAAAAAAGAAACCTAAAAAATCCCTCCCCCCCCAAAAAAAAAAAAATAAATAAAAAATAAATAAATAAATAAATAAATATATATATATAAAATCAAATGAACAACAAAAAACAAAAACAAACAAAAGACACACACATAAAAAACAAATAATGAAAACAATCTAGCCTAAATATTAGTACTGACCACCATAATTATTAATCAAAATTATAAGGGAACAAATATTTTGAAATATGTTTGTACTCATGACTTGTTTTCAAATGTTATTGAAGATTATGAGTCGAGGGCGCATCGTACACCACAGCAACAACCGGTACAAAGTTAGAAAGAACCCGGATGGATCCTACAGGACCAGCCCGCCCTGGTGTACTAAGCTGAAACATTGTGAGTTGATGTGGGATAGCTTCCAGTGAGGAACCATGTCTATGTGCCGTCAGCCACTTCATTAGTGTCATTAATTAGATATTAATTATCTATTTACAACAATATTTTTCCCATTCGCTATTCCTTATTATTGGTAATCTATGCACCTCTGTACTGATTTACAATTAGAGCACCCAATGGTAAATTTATACATAATTAAGACAAACGTGCCATGTTGCCAACAAGCATCATATGTCGATATATCATGCTAAATCAACTGATACATAATAGAGGTATGAGAATAACTGGCGTTCTTAAACTACTTTTGATCAGTATACAATGACGTTAGCACGTTTTTACTACCGACCGGTAAATTAATGTTAATTTATGCACACGGTTTATGAAGATACTATGCACATATCTGCCTTTCATGTAGTCAACAGAATACAATTATACGAATATTTTGTACATTAAGAATATTAGTTTGTTGAAATTTATTAAAATATACCCCTGGAGACAACATAAACACAAATAATATCCAATAGTCACACCGTCCCCATGACAACTAGTTCCTCTTGTGAACAATGACACCAGATTACGTCTGCAGGTGCTGCCAGTAAGAAGTTTTCCCCCGACGTCCCGAGCTTCAACGTCTACGTGAACGTCACCTGTTCAATGGCGCCGGAGGCAACGTTGCTGGTCTACTACCTCACCAACAACGGTGAAGTCGTTGCAGACGCCGAGACCTTCAAGGTGGAGCAGTGTTTCTTGAATCCGGTAAGAATCACTCACTATATTCAATACCTTAAACCTTTCGAATGTTGTAACCCTGATTCTTGAGCAAGAGTCGTGTGACGCCCTTTGTAATCTTCGTAGAAAGAGCATGCTCGACTGTACCTCAAAAGTAGACACCGAGGGCTAGAGCTGCTGAAATATGCCCGACAGTTGACTATTGCATTGTTAAAGCAATCCTTTAGGTCGTAAAACGAGATATGTTCATACACAAGACAAGTTTTGTGCATCACTTAGTTGAGGGGGCGGTGAGGTAGCCTAGTGGTTAAAGCGTTTTCTCGTCACGCCGAAGGCCCGGGTTCGATTCCCCAAATGGGTACAATTTGTGAAGCCCATTTCTGGTGTCCCTCGCCATGATATTGCTGGAATATTGCTAAAAACGGCGTATTACCATACTCAGTCAGTCACTTAGTTGACTTGTTTATATACCGTGGCACAGTTACGTGCACTGTCGGGAAATAAGTGTCGAGAACTTCTCGCATACCCTGTGGTGTGATGTGTATGCTTGCAGGTGAAGATGGCGTTCACGCCGTCCAAGGAGTACCCTGGCTACCCGACCCAGCTGTCACTGTCTGCGGCCCCAGGCTCTCTCTGCATGGTGGGGGGTCGTCGATCAGAGCGTCTACCTACTCGGAGGAAAGAACCAGATCACGCCGAAACAGGTGCGCGCATGCGCGTGTATGTGTAGAGGAATCAGTTTAAATTTTCTAAACATGTAATAACAGGATATTACATATACGCCTTATAGACAAATAAATTAGGTTCCAAATTAGGATGAAAGCAAAATCAAACCTCTGCAACTATGTATCAAAGCGTAGAATTTTAAAGCATTACAATGATATATTCTACACAATCAGGTTGTCTGGAGGCATGGTTTTGTGTTTATTGTGCAAACCAAACTCTCGTCTATCTGCAAGCCCTTTAACAACATATTATAAGTCAATATCTGGACTACGATGTGAGCCGTGAATCACAGATTATAACTGAAATATATATCTGAATAAATTAAACAAGGATGAATAAGTTGCCGAGTGACGAGAGGATTTCGGCACAAGATATGAAAGTATCGCCACAATGGGGTTTTAAATCCTATCACTATATGATGCCATCTAAAACATTCGAACGTCGGGAAGTTGGGGAGATAAATACGCTCGTTTTTTATCCATGTGCTAATATAATGTGCACTGGCGTATTGAAATAATGTATATTGCGAGGGGGAACATTTTGCGGAACAGTTATAATCGTCTGTAATCAGCTGGAAATACTCTCAATGCAGACCAACTAACATCCTTAACCAGAAACAGTTTTTCCTTCTGTTTGTCTGAACCAAACCCTTTAATTTGAATGAGTAATATTGTCAGGTGAGCCAAGTTGATAAATCGTCATGGTCAAAAGTTTAACCTTGTATGAACTTTCACCTCTGTTTGGTGTGTAACGACGTATTGTATTGCCAGCTGTTCTCACCCCTGGAACGCTACAACGCTGACCCCACCAAGCAATTCATCAGCGAGGATGCAGTCACGCAATATTGCATTGAATGGCTGAAGAGAACTGGTCTCTCCAACTCCGATGAAATAGGTGACCATTCAAGAAACAAATCTTATTTTGATAATTGTCGTTTTCGTTAAAATTGAACTTATTACCAACGGCTCCACAATGCTGCACGTCGTACACGCAGGGAGTCAAACTTGGGCCTTCGACGATATAAGATGACACAATAATCACCAGGCCAGTTATCCGCCCCTATATGAATAGGACACGTCCAAGCCCTTACACATCTTGCAGAGAGACTCACGGTGGGGTCGTAGTCATATCAAACAGACATGTGTTCACTAAACATCTAGATCGCAGCTCGCAGAGTGAACAATGGAGACGTCACTATATGCTTAGTAATACATAACGAAATATATAGTTATTATTCTTCATGGATGCCTATAGCGATGTGTGACATGAGGGCTTCGATTTGGGATATCTGTCACCATACTGGAAACCTTTAAACATCATAATCAGACATTTAGTTTCCTGTTTTTCTCATCATATCCCAACTGCATAGGTCGATGCTCATGCTGTTGATCACTGGGGTGTCTGGTCGATACTCGATTATTTACAGACCTACGCCATATAGCTGGAATATTGCACAGTGCGGCGTCAAACAACAAACCGAACAACTAACAAAACCTATTTTTCTTACACTTCGAACGTCAAGAGAAAATTAAGTGTCAGCAAGTCTGTGACTCAAGACGAATCTTGTCTTCTCACTACATTGGTTTAGAACACAGACGTTGTTTACAGGCCTTACAAATAGAGTTAGAATGTTAGTGACTGGAAATGGAACTACAGTATTTCCACCACTATATCTATACAACTAAATATGTCGAAATGCGAACGCTTCCAGGCACCTATATATCCACTATTTCACTGTTATTGTTTCAGCCATACCGCATTACTCCTACTACACAGCCAGGAGTACATACAAGTACATAACAGATTATGTCGACTCGAACATGGCGTTCCTGGTGAGTGGATTCATGAATCGGTTCAACATACTTGAGAAAACATAACTTGAGTGAGTATGGTTTTACGCCGCTTTTAGCAATATTCCAGCAATATCACGGCAGGGGACACCAGAAATGGGCTTCACACATTGTACCCATGTGGGGAATCGAACCCGGGTCTTCGGCGTGACGAGTGAACGCCTTAACCACTAGGCTACCCCATCGCCCCAAAATAATCTTAGAACAAATATTGTGGAACTATGGAATTCATTAGGTGATGATTACAAACTACAATCCAGTGACTCAGTAAATGTTGGTAAAGAATATTCTGTAGATACCGGTAAATGTTGGTAAAGAATATTCTGTGGATACCGGTAAATATTGGTAAAGAATATTCTGTGGTTACCTTTTAATATTGGTAAAGAACATTCTGTGGTTACCGGTAAATGTTGGCAAAGAATATTCTGTGGATACCGGTAAATGTTGGTAAAGAATATTCTGTGTCTACCGGTAAATGTTGGTAAAGAATATTCTGTGGATATCGGTAAATGTTGGTAAGGTTTGAATAGAACAAATAGATAAATTTGGTAAAGAGCGAAGCTGAAGTGTTAAGAACACACGAAGAAGACTAGGGGTTTTTGGAAGCGTGGACAGATGTTGTTGGACAATACGCGCGTGATTAATGTGTGTTTCTGAATCATGTGTTTGGGGACTGATTATGAAGTCTGGATGTTTGTGACTGATCACAACACACAACGAGCGTGTTCAGGTATAACCATGTTGGTGTTCCCCAGGTATCGTCACTGAGTACAGTTGGTCCTCTGACGCTGGACTCGAGGCCGTGTAGGAAGGAACACTCATTCAGGTACTACCGGGGCCGGAGGTCTGTGGACGACGAGTGGCAGTCGGATGGCCCCGGATTTGCGGGGTCAGGTGATGATGACAGTGCTGACGACGTTGAAGAGGGTGAGCGGGGAGACAATAACGGTAGCTCGTCACGGCATCCATAACATCTGTCTAATAATGAATTTGTTTAATCGAACATTTGCAAACATCACAATAAGTCCAAGTATGTTATGTTTTAAAACATTTCACATATACATTTAATATTTAAACATAATATAACGTTTAGGATGCAAACTCTTTGTCCTTGAATTTTCGATATTTTATTGAGTAAAGGGGCTATTTTCAGCAAGCGTTCAATTACCTGCGGAACATTCAAAATATATGTAGTGTACATTATTCCTGGAGGAGAAAACACAGTCATGTGTCCAGTGCTGCTGCTCTCTTCAAACATTTAGCACGAGGTCGTTATGGAGTAGGCTCCCATTGAGATTCCAGATCACATCACGTCCTCAGTTTTAGGTTTTAGTTTAGAAGCTGACAAAAATAGGATAGGGTGATCACAAAGTCTGCATTCACTGATAGTGATTGTTACCAGCACACGTCATTCCTGAGTACAGGGTACCTCGTGCATTTGACGAGTCGTCCTGTCAGAACTGCGAAGTTCGGACCATACGCTGGCGCATATTTTAATATTGTAGCATACATTATTGGAGCGTTTTGTTAGATATAATTATGTCCAGAAGAAGAGATAGTATGTGTGTCAATTGTACCCAATTTCGTATAAGGCAATTGTATTTTCATTTTCCAGAAGAAGCTGCAGACTCAAAGAAAAAGACAGTAGCATTGAGACAGTTCTTCCCCGAGACCTGGCTGTGGGACCTGGAGATCATTGGGTAGGTAGGACGCCAGTGGGGATCTTGGGTTATAGGGAGATCATTGGGTATGTAGGACGCCAGTGGGGATCTTGTGCTATTGGGAGATCATTGGGTAGGTAGGACGCCAGTGAGGATCTTGTGCCCTTGGGAGATCATTGGGTAGGTAGGACGCCAGTGAGCATCTTGAGGATCTTGTGCTATTGGGAGATCATTGGGTAGGTAGGACGCCAGTGAGGATCTTGTGCTATTGGGAGATCATTGGGTAGGTAGGACGGCAGTGAGGATCTTGTGCTATTGGGAGATCATTGGGTAGGTAGGATGCCAGTGGGGATCTTGTGCTATTGGGAGATCATTGGGTACATAGGACGCCAGTGAGGATCTTTTACTAGTAGCACCCTGATGGGGTTTCCTGGTCTAAAGGTTGATTATTGGGCAGGTAGGTAGGCAGGTAAGTAAGTATGTAGCTACTGGGGATCCTGAGGTCTCCAGGTACACCCGGTGGGGTTTCCTGGTCTAAGGGTTGGTCACTGGGTAGGTAGGCAGGCAGATACGTAGCTACTGGGGATCCTAGGGTCTCCAGATAGCAACCCGGTGGGGTTTCCTAGTCTAAAGGTTGGTCATTCGGTAGGTAGGCAGGTAAGTAAGTAGGTATGTAGCTACTGGGGATCCTGGGGTCTCCAGGTATTACCCCGATTGGGTTTCCTAGTCTAAAGGTTGGTCATTGGGTAGGTAGGCAGGTAGGTATGTAGCTACTGGGGATCCTGGGGTCTCCAGGTAGCATCCCGGTGGGGTTTCCTAGTCTAAAGGTTGATCATTAGGTAGGTAGGCAGGCAGGTAAGAAGGTATGTAGCTACTGGGGATCAGGGGGTCTCCAGGTAGCACCCTGGTGGGGTTTCCTAGTCTAAAGGTTGATCACTGGGTAGGTAGGCAGGCAGATAAGTAGGTATGTAGCTACTGGGGATCCTGGGGTCTCCAGGTAGCACCCCGGTGGGGTTTCCTAGTCTAAAGGTTGATCATTAGGTAGGTAGGCAGGCAGATAAGTAGGTATGTAGCTACTGGGGATCCTGGGGTCTCCAGGTAGCACCCCGGTGGGGTTTCCTAGTCTAAAGGTTGATCATTAGGTAGGTAGGCAGGCAGATAAGTAGGTATGTAGCTACTGGGGATCCTGGGGTCTCCAGGTAGCACCCCGGTGGGGTTTCCTAGTCTAAAGGTTGATCATTAGGTAGGTAGGCAGGTAGGTATGTAGCTACTGGGGATCCTGGGGTCTCCATGTAGCACCCCGGTGGGGTTTCCTAGTCTAAAGGTTGATCATTAGGTAGGTAGGCAGGTAGGTATGTAGCTACTGGGGATCCTGGGGTCTCCAGGTAGCACCCCGGTGGGGTTTACTGGGCTAGAAGTTGGTCATTAGGTAGGTAGGCAGGTAGGTATGTAGCTACTGGGGATCCTGGGGTCTCCAGGTAGCACCCCGGTGGGGTTTCCTAGTCTAAAGGTTGGTCACTGGTTAGGTAGGTAGGTAGCTACTGGGGATCGCAAGGTAGCACATACCTAGGGGATCTAGTTTTTAGGTTGATCACTGTTCAGTGATCGTGTCGAGACAAACTGTAACATTGTAATCACGTACAGTGTACCTGTTTGGAGACATTCTGTCCATTGTGTATTGCGTCAAGCTGATCTCATTGTTATCCTGACCAGTGACTCTGGAAAACTGGAACTGAATAAGACTCTTCCCGGGAGCATTACGGAGTGGGTAGGTAGCACTGTCTGTGCCAAGTCGGATGTCGGTGTGGGCGTGTCTGAGTCGGCGTCTGTGACAGCTTTCCAGCCGTTCTTCGTCTCCTTCACCCTCCCTTACGCCGCCGTCAGGGGAGAATACATCCCTCTCACCGTCACCGTCTTCAACTACCTCACAGAATGTATTGAGGTGGGTACAAACGTTGTTCTGTCCCAAAACATACGCATTTCTAATGGAAGCATGTGTAAAATATGCAGGTAGATACTTCTCATACACATGGGGTACTCGTTCTACTACCATCACCTAGGAAAATATTCAGTTCTGACTGGGTTTTTTATAACAGGAGAAGTAGCCTATGCAGCATGTGGTGATTATTCCCCTTGGGTCACGGTCGTTTTCATTTTCCCGTTTCACTCGTTACCAACCTTGATTTTGTAATTTAAATAAGTTTTAGATGACCCAAAATAACCTTATCATTCACTGTCTTTTACATACGTTCTCCTGGATATGCATTTACGTATTTCATTATGTTTTACGATCCTATTAAACTGAATGACTGTTAATAATATTTCTGATAAATATACTTTGATGGTGCAACGGCTGTGCAATAATGTCAGCACACAGAAACCTGTGTCGATCGTACTGTACGGGCAACAGAAATGGACAACAGTGCCGGGATCTCTAATCTTACTGGTTACTTGTCATGCCATTTCAGATTGAACTGCGGTTGAACGATTCGATAGAATTTGACCTCTTGAACCCTGAGCGAGTCACCTGGATGTGCATATGTGGAAACGAGGCAAAACGTCATGACTTTGTTATCATTCCGAAAAGTCTCGGTCACATCAACATCACGGCACAGGTGATTACGATATTTGTATTATTTACTTCTGTGGACATGGCGCTCGTTACCATACGCCTCCAAGTTCCGTTTCTGAATTAATGGAGCTCCACATGAAACTCATTTTAAAGCAACATTAGCAAATTTACCTTTCCCCATTAATTGTACAAATAAGTATATTTGAATTCAATAAATATCAAGAGACAATTTAACATATATTTATCATAACTTGGTTAACGTTCCACTATATTTAGGCCAAGTCGATTCCCGGGGATTCGCAGTGTCCGAAGGTCACGGCTACAGGGGAGGCAATCGGAGTCAAGGACGCCGTGGTCAGACAACTCCTCGTGGAAGTGAGTGGTGACCAATTGTTGCATGTATAATTCTTCAGTTAATGTGCCGGTCTAGAATCTCGGTATTAACTGTCAGCGGCGCAGTAGCGTGTAGTCATCGACCTTGCTAACGTTCTTCACCCACTGCAGACCTTGAACAAGACAATATCACATAACTACAAATACACAGATGTCTAGCCAGTGTAGGAGGAACTCAGGAAGCATCAGAAACATAGTGTGCTCAATATATTCATTTGATTATCATATAAACAAGAATGTTAGTGAATACATGTATATTGTGAGGGCACGCAAATGTGATATTATTGTCCATTACAGCCAGAAGGCGATGAGAAGGAATACACCTACAGCACTATGGCGTGTTCAGGTACGTCTGTATATGTACGGTTACGTCAATAGTACACCCACATCAACATGACGTGTTAAGGTACGGCAATAGTACACCCATAGGTACGTCAATAGTACACCCACAACAACATGACGTGTTCAGGTACGTCAATAGTACACCCATAACAACATGACGTGTTCAGGTACGTCAATAGTACACCCACAACAACATGACGTGTTCAGGTACGTCAATAGTACACCCATAACATGACGTGTTCAGGTACGTCAATAGTACACCCACAACAACATGACGTGTTCAGGTACGTCAATAGTACACCCACAACAACATGACGTGTTCAGGTACGTCAATAGTACACCCACAACAACATGACGTGTTCAGGTACGTCAATAGTACACCCATAACATGACGTGTTCAGGTACGTCAATAGTACACCCACAACAATATGACCTCTTTAGGTACGTCAACAGTACATCCACAACAACATGACCTCTTTAGGTACGTCAATAGTACACCCACAACAACATGACGTGTTCAGGTACGTCAATAGTACACCCATAACATGACGTGTTCAGGTACGTCAATAGTACACCCATAACATGACGTGTTCAGGTACGTCAATAGTACACCAACAGGTATGTCAGTAGTGCACCTTCAGTACCATGGAGTTGGCTTGTGTGTAAATTATGGACTGTAAGGGTAGTGGTGTGTGAGCATGCGTGTGTGCGTGTCTGATCGGCTTTGCCTCCTTTTTGGATGACCTTATAACGGACGGATCAGTGGTAGCACGAGATGAATGGCACATTGCGGTCTGTGACTGAGTTGTCTTCCCTTGTTTTTAGAAACAGGAACAGAATTCTTTGACTCCATCGACCTGCCCCTCCCCGCGGACGAAGCAGTAGTGCCCGACTCCGGAAGAGGGGTGATCAGCGTGATTGGTGAGGGAAGTTTACAGTTTACATCACCTAACGGTTCCAATAAAGTTAGATTCAAATTTGTCATCGGAGATTCATTTCATGTTATTCATAGTCTATTTTTTAAAATGAGTTTGCAATGTACAGTGATTGTTCCTCAGATTGTTGATGGATATGACATTTTATTACACTTGTACTATACAGACCAGATGGTATCAAGAATGTACCCTTGAGAGAAACGTGACTTTCAACCTACATATTATAGAAGTGATTCGAAACACTTGAGCCTACATGGTACTGAGTTTAGTTCACTTTGACAAGTTAAGACGATCACCAGCTACAGTTACATTTATCTCACATCCAGGTGACCTGATGGGGCCCAGTTTCAGCAACATCGGCGACCTCCTCCGGGTTCCCTACGGCTGCGGAGAACAGAACATGATCAACTTTGCCCCGAACGTGTTCATCATGAGATACCTGAAAGCCACCAATCAGCTGACAGAGGAGATATCGGCCACCATAGACAAGTACCTCGGAAGTGGTAAATACTAGATTCAGATCAGTGTAAAACATACTATAGGATGCCTGGGTAGATTGGCTTTAGTGGCGCTTCCAACAATATTGTGTTTTAATCACGGCGTGTGTTTGCCACTTTGGTGACAGGCACAAGATCAGGCACTGGTAATAATCAGGACGAAATTGGAATTACAAGCCGTAATCAGCGGATCCTGGCACAACTAAGGGCCACTATGGTCCTCATTTATAGGTATAGTCATTACAGCCAGCTGTAGTACTCGGTTACTCCAGGGCTGAATAAGAGCATCAAGACAACGTCCAAACACTGTTCCCACTGAGACAAAACCTTCTATGTTGTTCAGTGAACAGTGTGTGTGGACTTTGTAAACCAATTCACGCTTTCTATTTATACTCATTTCAACTGGAGTGCGAGCACATTCAGTTCTTTTCGGAACGTCTTATTAATGTGAAAACACCTTTTGAATTCAGCCACGTTTCCCTTTGTTTTGTGTAGGCTACCAACGGGAGCTGAACTACATGCGTGACGACGGATCCTTTAGCGCATTCGGCAACTCCGACAGTAGCGGCAGCACGTGGCTCACCGCCTTCGTCATCAAGTCCTTCACCGAGGCCCAGCCTTTCCTGGAGATCGACCAGAACGTCCTCAGAAGGGCGAGGGTGAGGAGAAGCACTGGTGTCACGCTAAGTCTGCTTTCCCTAGTGCAGCCTTACAAGTAACAGAGCTTTTTAACATCTCGACATCATTTCATAATTGACCATAATTGATACATGGAATGTCATACAAACCCATTAGTTGAACACAAAATAGTAAGTTTCCTCTAAAGGAAAAACTCATGTAATGGCACTCGTGTTGTATATGTTTGTATTTTGATAGCTGTGGCTGAAAAGGAAGCAGAAGTCCAACGGATGTTTCAATGAGGTCGGCCGCGTTATTCACTCCTCCATGCGAGGAGGTGTCGACGGCGCCAACAGTAACGTGACATTGACGGCCTTCGTGATTGGTGCTCTCATCACCGCTGGTACCCCCAAAGAGGTATGTCCTGATACTTTTTCAGTTAAAGTGCCAACATTATAATGAAATGCTCCCGTGCTAGTGATGTTGGGACGCGTTGAAAACGTGAGATGATCATTATTAGCACAATGTTTGTGCTATGATAACACATTTAGGTTTCCCTTTCGAAATATTTCTAGGATCGTGCGATTCTGAACGCCATCAACTGCATCGCTGCGCAGCCCATCACCGACGTCTACACCATGGCCGCTGCTGCCTACGCCACGTCGCTCCAGGACGCCAACAGTCGAATTCACGTCAACGTACAGAGAGGCCTTCACACGAGTGCTATCATTAATGGTACATATATTTATGTAGGAGACATCATCACCATGTTCTAATAACCCCCCAGCTTGCGTCTATATCCTGTAGTGTTATATACTATTCCAAAAAAGAAACGCATAACCCAGAAATCTGTTGCGAAAATGTTGTATATTTAACGTATATAACTTGTCCACAAATTTAGTACATGATTTTTTACATGTCTATACAAACAAGTGGATAATTTTAGTTAACGAAGACGATGAGCGCGATGGCGACGACGTAGCACGGTCTTGACGCCGGGTCTCCTGACACTCAGTCCAGTCTCTCTCAGCCTGTTCTGTAGAGTTTGACCGGATATCCTCCAAAGTCCAGGCCTCCTGGCTGCTGTGTTCTCACCTGTACGGTCTGCCTGTACGGGGACGGTCATTTGTTATACCTGTTTGGTTGTAGCGAGCTGTAATCCGTGATATCGTGCTCAGACTAACATTCAGACGCCTGGTAACAGAAGATTGCTAATCTCCAGCGTGCATGCTTTCAATGGGGATGTTCCGTGTCGCAGCGTCAAGACGTGGCGTAGTGATTTGACCTTGAAACTCTTTCAAAACAAATGCCGATTTCCGAAAGTAATCTGGATTTTTATAGCCAGACAGTGCATGCTCTTTGCTGCACAATTTCAACTGGAATGTGATTTCTGTTGCGTTGTGGCGATGCCTTATTAATCTTTGTAAAAATCTCATCAAAATCAAGTGAACATTTTCAGGTAAAGTGGATGTTTGACTTGTATAATTGTGTAAAATCATGTTATCAACACTTCTTTTTCATATTTTAACGATTGTTTGAACACAATAGGTAATTAACAGATTTTTAAAATACAAATAACTATGCGTTTCATTTTTGGATAGTATATATTTGGTTTACACGGTTTCACGCCACTTCCATTCCAGTCTAACACCACCTCTACTATAAGATACCTCTCTGTCTGAAGACCTGAGGCTGCTTACACAGCAGGTCGGGTTACGTGCACACAACCAACATGTGGGATGATTTAGGTTCTTGAGCAATTTGATGCCAGCTTTCGAGAACAATTCGATTTCATATCCTTTCCATATCGATTCCGAACACATGTAACGAGTTACATAGTACACCCAAGGGGTCAGAACTGCTATAAGAAGTAAACTATCCACCAACATATATAACTCAGCAACTGTATATATTTGAATTCGGACGTCCCCGATTATGTCCGTTTTCGAGATCGAGAAATCAGCTACACTTGTCTGTGTGGTTTCCTCACATGGATCGACAGTTTAAGGTAAATGGCTAAAGAAAGAATTGGTCTGTAGCGACGAGATAGGTATTGTATCGGTGTGCAAGAACCTTCATTTTTCTGTGTGTATTGTGAGAAATTTCAGCTTTTCCTGATCCAATGGCTAGTGTATCTCCATGTAACAGTTGTTTGACTAATGCTCTCACTGCATGCCGTGATGGTTGGTAAGACGTCTATCTCACATCCTCACACACTGTTCCACAGGTTCCTTGATGCACTGGGAGACGAGGAAGGACGCCAACCGACAGCGGAGCTACTACTACCGCGCTTCCGCGCTGAACGTGGAGACGACGGCCTACGCCCTGCTGGCCTACCTGGAGGAGGACGACCTGGAGTCCAGCCTGAAGATCGTCAAGTGGCTGCAGAAACAGAGGAACCCTCAGGGAGGATTCGCCTCCACTCAGGTCAGTTGTATATACATACATAAGTGTAAGCTCGTGTCGTAGAATTCTGTTATTTATCACGAATTAGTTACTTTTGACAAAAAGATGAACATTGAAGTGCACTTTCAAGCAGGATCTGTCGATTGAGCTCAAGTGAATAACATTGGTTGCGAATGACTTTAGCTATAACTTACTTACATAACGATACAGCGACATTCATTTACCGTGTATAATATTGTGTTTGGGGCACACATGGTCGGTGGAGCGCCGTTTGCCAAGACGTTTATAGCCCCGAGATTTCGTTCAAGAATCTGATGATGCTTTGTACACGGAATGTTCCTGTTCGTTGCACTGGTCTCATACCGGAACTCTCACTGGTAGTACGTGGTAGTACGGATTACCTATCTCAGTTTACTCATGAAGGTCGGATTCTGGTTATCTGAAAACCATAATGCTATTTTCACTATACACCGCCAAGATGTAAAATGCACGTTTTATGTTCAACACATAATTGCCGAGCATTACCTTCACAACATAGCAACAGCATTTTGTGTCACCACTGATTATGAAAGACGCAATTCTCCGGATTCTCTACAGTGTTTTCCGTATGAAACAGATCTATCAGATTTGGTTCATGTCATCTCTTAATGAAGTGTTTAAACAACTAACTGTGGTATTCTTAGCGATTCGGACCAAGACATGCTATATACTTAGATGTGGAGTCAAATAAATACGTTCTCTACTGATCCTTCGGGCCCTGTAGGTTGGCGGACATGTTTATGTCCCGAGTCTTAAGGGCGAGGTATGATTCGCGGTTTGTCAATGTATTCAGCATTAAAGGTCGTTTATATCTCGATGTTAGTATATTAGTTATTTCAAAAGAAATTATATAGAGTATTACTACGAGAGAGATATATCTCTCCTTTGTCTTGCCAGGACACCGTAGTGGCTTTGGATGCTCTTTCTAAGTTTGCCAAACTTGCATCCATTGGAGACAAACTGAAGATGTCTCTGACCATGCAAGGGAAGGATGTCTACAAGAACTTCATCGTGTCAGGGTCCAACAGCATGGTGATGCAGACAGAGCCGCTGAAGGTGCCCAATGAGATCACCCTGAATGGTGTGGGCACTGGCTGTGCTCTCTTCCAGGTAAGTGGAACTCCAATAAGGTCCATCTTTAGAACTAAAGACTTCCTAATGGGGCAACTAAGAGCTAAGAAACACATTTCTGTTCTGATTTGTCGCCGTTTAGACCTGACCATTTAGCCATTCATAACATTGGTTGGTTGGTTGGTTATTTAACGCCGCACTATGCAATATTCCAGCTATATGGCGACGGTGTCTAAATAATCGAGTTTGGACCAGACAATCCAGTGATCAACAGCATGGGTCTACGCAATTGGGATACGATTTCATGTGTCAACCAAGTCAGCGAGCCTGACCACCCGATCCCGTTAGTCGCCTCTTACGACAAGCATGGGTTGCTGAAGGCCAATTCTAACCAGGATCTTCACGGGTAATAACCTGGGAACCACCAGAGAAGATCCAATCGTGTTGAAGATTCAGGTTAAGCCACATAGCCACCATGAAACCTGACATATGGTGACGTGAGATATATTTGTCTTTGTTAGGCCACAGTTCGCTACAACACATACGACCTTGACAAGGTGGACCAACCCTTCACCCTGAACGCCACGGTGCAGCCTCCAGACCCAGTGAAACCAGACTGTGGACGCAGGACAATCAACATATGCACAGCGTTAGTAGGGCCTTGTGTCGTTTGTGGTAGGGAGGTAGAGGGTGAACAACAACTGTATTGAGTTAATAGGACCATGTGTTAGTTGTGATAGGGGGCGTTAGTTGGCAGAGGGAACAGCAACTGTATAGAGTTCTTAGGGCCATGTGTTGGTTGTGATAGGGGGCGTTAGTTGGCAGAGGGAACAGCAACTGCATAGAGTTCTTTGGGCCTTGTGTTGGTTGTGATAGGGGGTGTTAGTTGGAGGAGGGAACGACGGTTTCCACAGAAGCTACACAGCACAGCCTTGTTTAGAGCCTGTGGTAGTGGTATGTAGTGTTAGGTGGGGTAGGGAATGTGTTTTTTCACAGCTCTAGTAGGGCCTTGCGGTGTTTGAGGTAGGGACCGTGAGATAGAATGTTTGGGTCTGGAATTGGAACACTCGAGACTACCGCTTGTCGGACTTGCATGCATTTGGAAGCCACGGTGTCTGGCTGAATTTCTTCGCTCTCCTTGTGTGCTGGCGATAAGTTGTCTCCCCTTGAGATGTGGCTTAACCCAGAAGGTACTGGACTTTGTCCTTTACACATGACATAAAGGCCAAATACAACGTATGTCAGACCAGACGCTTTCTGAATTGGCACTATGTATTTGTACACACCACTGATTTGAAGACCATGTTGGTGGAAAATCTCCATCAGTACGTTTCTCTGTAATACTCCCTACCTGAGACAAATTGTGAAACGGTATTTTCTGACACCATAACATACATATCTCCTTCCCTTTCACGGCAATAATACATGGGTGACTTGTTTCACGGCTGTCCTGACAATGCCTACTTTGTGTACAGGTTTGTGAAGAATGGAAGTTCAGGGATGGCCATTGTCAACGCCAAGATGGTGACCGGCTGGCTGGTTGATGGAGATTCTCTGGAGAAGGTAGGCTGGTTGTAGTCGGCACTGTATATATTTCACTGTGCAGTTAAACATTACTGTAGTAACAACCTGCACTCCCCATCTGGATCATCTATGACCAGTTCTTGTGAGTGGAACCAATGGGTTACCTCACTGCCATTTACTGAAGAAACACAGTTCGATCTATCCCCCATGTTATAATGTAATAAAGTACACTTTTGCCCTGAACTATTATAAGTACGAGGGCACATAATTCTTCCACCAGTAATGGTAGCCGAGTGAATGCAAACCAAGAAACGGGGAGCTAGTTGTACTGTATGAACTGTACTTGACTTTGGCAACTGACATACATCATGACGTAGGTTACCAAGGGTACGTTTTCATTACGAGGTTAGAATGGCGTTTTGACGTCAATACAGTGTGACGTAATGCAAAATGTGTACTTTATCATATCATAAAGTACTGTCGGCGCCTTTAAGCTTTTGGCAAAGCTTCTAAAAATTATATTATTTGAATTATGGTGACAGTCTTTCTTTTCTTCCAGCTAAAGAAGGACAAAGCTCTCAAACTGAAACGATACGAGATTGATTCCAAGAGGCCGGACAGCGTGCATTTCTACTTTGATGAGGTCGGGCATATAAATAGATATATCAGTAACCATTACTGTAAGACAAGGAAATACTTTTATAATACAATGGATAGTGTTCTCGGCAGGATAAAGCCAACGGATATTTTCGGTATCCGTTAGGGTCATATACGGATATCGATGCAAATTAGAGAGGTCATATGCAAATTTCAGTGACTACTTTCACAGTGTAAACAAACATGGCGTCAAGGGTCGGCGGTCGTGTCCGGTTTGGCGGCCGTGGTTACGGTACTGTCAGTGCTTTGATCCCAGAAAATTCATGCCTGGTTTTGATAGATGGAGTAGATTACAAAGCGAAGATAGAAATTCATAGGCTTACGAAGATACCAACATCAGTTCCCCGACCGACTGTCAGTGTTAGCGAGAGAACGGTGCACAGTGTCACGCTAACATTAAAGCGTATTTGGTTGTTCAAAAGGTTAATTGAAGGTTTCTGAAGTTCCACGTGAGTTTGTTGTATTTTTCAAACGTAAGCTAAGATTTGTTGACAACAATACGTGCTTTAGCATAAAAGCTTACTGGGAACTAGATGAGCGCTGAGTGATCAGGAGAAAATTATGTCACCGGGCTTGTGACGTAACGTCCCAGCAGGCACATCAACGTTGTTTCAACGATGAGAATAGGTTGGTCCTCAACGCTGAAATTAGATTGAAAATAGGTTGTATATGAAAGTCTTTTAGACGTAGATGTCCGACGTGGAATCAACGTTGAAGTTTGACCTATTATCAACGTTGAAAACAGGTTGTATATGAAAGTTTTTTAGACGTAGATATCCGACTTGGAATCAACGTTGAAGTTTGACATATTATTAACGTTGAAAATGGGTTGTTCCGTGGTTGTATATGAAAGTTTTTTAGACGTAGATATCCGACGTGGAATCAACGTTGAATTTTGACATATTATTATCGTTGAAAATGGGTTGTTCCGTGGTTGTGTCTGGGAGGTATTACGCTTTCCTGAAAATAGACTCGTACTTCATCTTTAAACTACACTAAAGTAGCACCAAACACATGCATCCAGCTAAAATACCCAAAAAGCTACCTGCAATAAACAGTGTTCAAACATAAAATTGCAGTAAAAATATTTACCTGATAAAATACTAAGTTAAGATTCCACATTCAATATAATGTTCATTTAATTTATGTCAGTTGGACGTATAATTCCAGTAAGAAGAAAAGAGTATTCCAAATTAAGAAAAACTATTTACTGTTGTATTGTTATCTTGAAAAGGTGGAAATTGTCCCGAGAAGACATTTTGTCTGAATTTCAGCTATTAGACAGACCCCTGAATAAACACAATGCAATTACTTTCACCATGAAAGGGATCCAAGAGGAACAGGAACTATACCTTCAGACAGCACATAAAACCAGTCACTTTTTATGATATCTTTATGAACACAAACGCACACAGAGAAACGTGGTTTAAAGCATAATGTAAAACATCACACATGACATAGTCTGTAGGTGATCTCTGTTGTGATAATAACACAATATCATCTCATATAGCATTAAACTGACATACTGCTTCTCTTCTTTCTGCCACTCCCTGCCTGGCGGCCAGGTGGATACTTCAGAAACGTTCCTAACTCTTTCTTGAAATTTGCTTCGGATGCATTCCCATCTCATTCCCATGAGATAGGACACATTCTGAAATTTTATATTTAAATACATGAATAATTTTATATGGAAGATATATTGTCTTAAATGATTCAAGTATTTGTTTAATCAATCACTTGAAAGGTTCATTTCACTGCTGTAACTTGCCATGTGAACATATGAACAGCATCAATACAAAATGTGACGACAAATGTAAACAATTTATATTTTCAACTAAAGGAATGGAAGTTTTCTTAAACACTTTCAAAGAAAATCCTCAATTGCAAGTTGATTATTCAATTAAACTATGAATTAGGATGAATTAGACGATGCTCTACTGTCATATATTATTTGCTATGGTCATGATGAAAATGCTGCATTTGGTAATTAAATTACCAGAGATGAATGAATACAACCTTGTATTCTTAAAAGAAAACTTGCCGTTTTGCCCATCAACATTCATTCTTGACATCAAATTGTTTGACATTGTCCTGCAAAACAATGGAAGATTGTTGTTATTCTGTCAGATTTAGTTTTCTTTAGAGATTCTCGGAAACGATTATTTCAAATTAAATAGGAGTTGTACTGATGTAGCAATTTTGTATCATGTTTTGTCATTGCAGGGGTTTCCGGGCAGGGGTGGGTGATAGTCGTACTATTTATCTTTGCATCATGTAAAGCGATTTCGCTTTGTTCATCAGGGTTCGAAATTACAACAAGTAAAGACTTCTGCTGCACTTCATTTATCAATTTCATTATCACTGGCCAAATGAGTCATTGTCAGTTTCCATTGTATTACTACTGCATTGAACAAACAAGGTGTTTTAGATTGGACTTATTTTATGATAGTTTCAGGTAAATTTTGTTTCACAATCTATTTGTACTGATGTAGCAATCTCAGTATGTTTCCCTGCACACACATTTAAATGCAAAATAATGAAAAACCTACACTTTGATAATAATAAAGATACATCATATTCAAATTCTACAGCTGACCAAATACCTGAAGAGTGTGTCTCCCAGCAATAAACATCTATATATATCTCTATAAATTTATGACTTCTCTCCTCTCGCGTGCTTTCTCGCATCCAGCTCTTTACGGCGAAAAACAATATGGCGCCAAGCAAGGGAGTGCTCATTAAACTAAACATCTCCGGGAGAAATCATTGTCAAATTATTCTCTTACATGATCAACCTTTGTGGTGGATATACTGGAAACAAGTGAAATGTTAAAAACTTGTTACCTTAGTATTGCTCCTTTTATGTGATCCACAAAATCGATGCCACCCAGTCTTCGAAGATGAGATTTCTGCAAATTCCATTAAAATTATATCTTATTTCACAATTAAATGTTCCTTACTAAATTACTTCTTTTGTATGTAAGATTTTAACCTTTAAGAGACATGAATCATCACATCCCTTCCAAACAAGTGTAAGAATGAAAGTCTGTGAGTGCAGTTTTGTTAATTGTCCCATCAAAGAATCATTAGTGAAGTTACACATTTTGTAAATAAATAAAAGTTCAAATAAATTATATGCAATTTCCTCCTTAACAAAGACTTGCACAAGACATTTTGATGTGAATTTTCGTTGCATGATCTGAGAAAGATTTCCTTTCGCCATTCTCCACCCCCCCCCCCAAATAATATGCATATGTTGACAGGGTTCAGAGCGTGCTCAATGCATAATTTACTGATAGACTTATTCAAACGAACAAATGTTCATAATAATGTGATGCAATATAAAATGTTGATAAATTCTATTCGATTTTGTATAGCTGCCCTTAGGGACCGTTCAGAATGTATGGCTTGGGGGTGATGATGATTTTTCTGAAGAAGCATGTACAATGTGAAGTACCCTCCCCCTCCCCCCGTAAAGTGTATGTACGAAATAAGTGACGCCCCGCCCTGCATGTCATGTACAATATCTATGACGCCCTCTCCCCTTCCCATAATTTCTAAGCATCATATTAAACATAGTGCGTGTGTACAAAAATGCTGACACCTTTAGCTCCCCTGAACAAAATGGGTGACACCCTACCACCCACCCTCCACCCCCACCCACCCTTACAATCATCACCCCCCACCCGCAGCCATATAATTATGAATGGTCCCTTATATTGATGTACTTCATTGATTATTTGAAAATGTATATTTGCAAAATTCAAATCAGGTGATGGGTACGAAAGGAAATCTTATTCGATTATATAATAAAAAGCCAAATATAAAAAATTTATGCATGCAAATATATTGAAAAATAACAAAACAAGTTCATGGAAAACAAGGGCTTCCACTAAATTTTGAGAAACATGTATGTGACATACCGGTACCCTTGTGAGATAAAACATAAGCCCAAATTCGGAGTTTCTTTCTACATTGACCTGCTAGATTTAAACAACATTCCTACGTTTTCATTATACATGAAGGACATACTTACCAAATAAACACCAGCATGCGTGATGTTGAAAATGGAATGATATTGCGTTGAACTTCGCCTAAGTAAACTGACAACGATCAGCTGCCTTTGCGCGCGCGATAATTGTGCGCATGTCCGGATATGGCCAAACGAGGCGATCTGGCATGTGTTTGAAAGCAAATTGCCGGGAATTATACAATTTTGACAGTTTTGTGGGAAAATATCAAATGTAATGCAATTCGGATAACTGATGACTTTATACCTAAAATCATTGATGTTTTCATTTTCAATTGCTATTTACGTAATATTTCCGTCTGTTGATCGATGCACAATCAAACAATATATAAGATTATATATGTCACTAGCTCGATCTTGATCTTTTATGAAAATAATGTTCCGAAATGATAGTTGCTAAGTTGGATACCTATTACCAATATGAATTATGTATCAAATTTTCCAAGGAAACAATTAGTTGACATTTTGTTGGTTCCTTACGTTGAAACAACGTTGACAACTAAACGAATCTCGACTAACTTTCTTTGGTCGCATGATAAACGATGAATCAACGTTTATGAAAGGTTGATCAACCAAACAACCAAAATTCAACGTTGATTCAACGTTGTGTGCCCGTTGGGGTATTACTCCGCACATATTTGTGACGTCATAGACATTCCACGAAATTTAGTTTCATGATTTGTGGCATTTGAAATCGCATTTTTTTAAATTATAAAGCAAAAATGGTATGATAAATAGGTTATCACACTCGTATGTTTTGGGATGGTTAATATCCTGCATTAGGAAAAAACACTATGTATTTAGCTCGCCAAGGCTCGCTAAATACAATGCTTATTCCTAATGCAGGATATTAACCATCCCAAAACACACTCGCGTGATAACCTATATATATATCAAACCGTTGTTTTCGATCGGACCATAAAATTACATCAGTCTGAAGGATACATTGAATTTAAGGTGTTAATCCTCTTGTTCATGCACCTATTAGCATCCGATGTGCATAATGGGATGTTATAATCACTAACGCATCAACAGATTACTATAATTATAACTAAGAGCTTTAATCTCTGTTTTGCCCACATACCTGTAACTGGGGCAATGGGGTGCAATGCGGCTTGAAACAGTCGGCTTGGTGTGATGGAGTCGAGTGACATTTACCTGTTTGGTGAAACTTACCAGTACGGGTGTCGAGTACGGGTGACGAGTACGGATGTGACACTGACAAACCGAGAAACCAGTTGGTCAGAGATTCCAAGCCGCGATGATATGTTTCTGACACGACAAACGCTGCAGAGCGAGGTCTACCAGTACCCCGATACTAAAGGACGTACTAAGTCACGGTGTCCCCTACTGTTTCAGCTGAACCCCATCCAGAGGTGCCTCACTCTAGACGTGATTCAGGAGATCAAAGTGGACAACACAAAGGATGCTGTCATACAGGTGTACGACTACTATGACACAGGTAGAGGCATGTGTGCGTGTGTGCGTGCGTGCGTGTGTGTAAAAATGTGTTTAAATAATTACATAGACAGTTTTATAATGGAAATTAAGGAAAGTGTAAGACCAAGCTAAGAGTTTGAAACTTTGGTAGATTTGTAGGGACTACTATGGTGATTACGACTGATCAGCTCCCATGGTCTGGGACTACTATGGTGATTACGACTGATCAGCTGCCATGGTCTGGGACTACTGTGGTGATTACGACTGATCAGCTCCCATGGTCTGGGACTACTATGGTGATAACATCTACGGTACGCGTCGCTACAGTTGTAAATTGCGATTTTGTGAAATTGAAATTGTGAACACTTTGATGGACATGTGGACAACTGGCTCAAGTCACCAATGGGCAACTCATTACATTTTGTTGGACACAAATCTGAAATTTGCTCATCTGTGGTGTGTTACCAACATGTTAACAATATGTGTGACTTGTTAGTCAAAGTCCAAACAATATTGAAAATACTTACGTTGCTTTTGGAAAATGATCGGATTCCAAAAGCAACCCGTATGTAGTTCTTTTGTACCTCAGTGTATTTGTGTGTATGTGTATCTACATGCAGGATGTCAACATACTTAATAATATGCTAGGAAGGCCCCCTCGTGACCAATGAACAACTTATAAAATATCTATTTATACTCCAGAACTGGTGACGAAAGTCTTCTACAACATCCAGAATGACTGTACGCCCAAAACAACTATCCGACCTCCACTAGGGAAGCAAGTCAGGTCGAACGTGTCTGCTAAGCACTGCAGCACCCGACTTTAGTCGGACTGGTCTTGGTAAAGCTGCAGGCGTCGAAGGAGGCGACGGTGAAATGACTGACATCGACGAAGGCGAGGGAGGATGGAAGTGGAGTGTTGGACCAAGTTGACCCAATCTACCTCTCTCATGGACTTGTACCACTGCCCCTCAGTATCCCAGTAATGAACATGCATTCCAAGATGGCGGAAGACGTCGACCTAGATAATGGTAGACAATTATGCAACTGATCCGTGATCTCTTTTCTGAAGATAGTAGTGAGTGAGTGAGTTTAGTTTTACGCCGCTTTTAGCAATATTCCAGCAATATTACGGCGTGGGACTCCAGAAATGGGCTTCACACATTGTGCCCATATGGGAAATCGAACCCGGGTCTTCGGCGTGACGAGCGAACGCTTTAACCACTCGGCTACCCCACCGCCCCTCTAAAGATGAAAGTCTTTGTTCGCTTAATATGTAGCAGTTGTACTATCAGTACTTTAGGATATTTCATCGCTGAATAAGATTTCTATATGTCTTGGTATAACTGATTTTAAGATTAGTAATATGTTTGGCATCAGACTTACAAACTGGTCTGACGAAGAAGCATCTGTGAAGTGTCAAGATCTCTTGTCAAATGACGTCCAATGTTTGGCTGACGAGGGGCCCCAGGTTTGTGTGGATTTACCTGATAGCGTGTCATCCAACGTGGGCGTCTTGGATTTTCGTTTAAACTATCAATTGTTTTACCTGTCTCAGAATACATTATTTGTCAGGCCATACATCTGACTGTTGCTTACGACGACGTAAAAGGAAAAATGAAATAAAAATGTAATTGCGCAACCCGTGCCGTCGTGTTCTGTCCTACCATTATACACTTTCTGACCAACAGAGACTCAGAAGAAGACAGACCAGCGACAAAGGTGAAGGTCAGGGTCGGGTCAACCGCCATTTTGATATGTCCACTGGCGTCCACCTACAGGGATACCCCAGAGAGACCATATAAGGTAAGGCCCGGTTCGCATGTTTCTAGTGGTGAGTTCTTTAGTCTCGGACAAGTTTAAAGGCGGGCGCTTAGTTTAAACTAACGTCTATAGATTTAGACTACACGTTAAGATTTCACTGCAAGAGACTGAGGTTCCGTTCGGGACAACGATACAATTCCCTCGCGGTCAGCACTGCTAAATGCGCGAACACGAAACGTGACTAGAATAGTACTTTCTATAACCTCGAATAACATCCTGAAAATAGATATTTTACTCCCCTGCTGGAGTGGGCTTGTATTGGGGCCATTCTCCCTACTATGAATCTTTTCCAGCTGGCCTGGTTGGATGAAGAAACTCACACAGTTATTGCACATGGTGGACTTCGACTTGTGGACGAAGAAAGATACAGCGTAGTTGAGACTTCAAACTTGAGAATCGACAACACTAGACTGGAGGATTCTGGGAACTATTCGTGTAGTGTCAACACGGTTCCTGTGGAAACCGCCATTATCAGTCTTATAGTCCAAGGTAGGCCACGGGCATCATCATCACCACAACGGTTTCTAACCCTACACACAAAATTAAGTTGGGGGTTGGGGGAAGGGAGAGAAAAGGTTCTTATATTGCCCGGATGATAATTCTTCATCAAGTAATGACGCACATGAGATATCACACAGCCCTGTGGGGACTCCGGATTGAACAGATCCCTAGTGACCCATGTTTGTGAAGGGCGACTAATGGATGGGGTGACTCACTTGAATATGTGTAATGAGATAATAACGCACTATGGGACATTACACATCATATTGATCACTGATCTGTCTCATAAAGTGACAGTCATAGGGTTTCCAGCGTCTGGTGTTATTCAGACATCGCAAGGCGGAGATAGTGGATTTGTGTTTGTGTTGGAAATATTCATAAAGATTTTAGCATTAAACATGCATAGTTTTGATTGTTATGATTTGAAAGACAAATCTTGATCTAATAACATATAATTACATTTAAACGGTGTGTGACCGCGCATGCGTGTATTGTTGTTTGTTGATTAATGTCGTACTTAGCAATATTCAAGCTAAATGAAAGAGGTCTGTAAATACTCGTGCACACAATCCAGTGATTGACATTGTGAGCGACGACAGTTTCAGGGAAATAGTCGGGGAAATCCCATCAACCATGTCACTGGGACTCGCCATCCGATCCAATCAGTCATCTGTTGTGGTCGGCTTAAGTTGATAAGGACCAATTCTAACCCCGAATCTCCGGAATGACTGAGTCTCTACTTCTGTTTCAGAGTCCCCTGTAATCGTGGCTTCTTCTAACGACACCTGCTGCCATGGGAGAGGAGGTTACACTTGTTCTGCAACGTCACCGGAAGTCCAGAACCTAAGATCACGTGGTATCGGTCCGTGGGTCAAAGAGAACGAAACCGTAAGACATGCATCTTTCGTGAATCATTTATCTTATTGCACCAACAACAACTTTTAACACATTCTCATTTCTGGTTCCATGTTGCCCAAGAAGGTTCTGGCATCAATATCTTAACATTTTTCTCCTGCCTTTGTCCTGGTTCGATAGAATACCACATCGTACATACATGGTTGGTATCAGAAGAGATCTTTTCGATCATGCAGATAAGGGTCAAAGTATCGTTATTAGTCACATATCTACCTTCCCTAAAGTAGGAGAATAGAAGTTCCGTGTGTAATTTCATATCCACAATATTAGAAATATTCGTGCCTCCGAAAAGAATACGAAATTCTTATGACACAGGTTTATATAAAACCCGTGTCGTATCAGTATGTTCTACATTACCATGTCATGTTTGAAATTACCTGTCCATGTTGCCCACCATTGTTACATGACCATGTCGTGTTGAAATTACCTATACATGTTGCCCACCATTGTTACATGACCATGTCGTGTTGAAATGACCTGTACACGTTGCCCACCATTGTTACATGACCATGTCGTCTTGAAATTACCTATACATGTTGCCCATCATTGTTACATGACCATGTCGTGTTGAAATGACCTGTACACGTTGCCCACCATTGTTACATAACCATGTCGTGTTGAACTTACCTGTACATGTTGCCCACCATTGTTACATGACCATGTCGTGTTGAAATTAACTGTACATGTTGCCCACCATTGTTACATGGCCATGTCGTGTTGAAATTACCTGTACATGTTACCAACCATTGTTACATGACCCAGGAGTGGGGAAGGGGAGGCAGCTGGTCATCAAGTCCGCCCAGGCGTCCGCCACCTACCTGTGTATGGCCAGTAATGGCGTCCCACCTGGCGCCTCCACTGAAATGCAGCTCATAGTCAGTGGTGAGAACATTGTAATTGTCTTAGATGACCGGTCATTGAGATCATTACTCATTAATCTAATATAAAGTGATATGGTTTATATATCACAGTATAGGGTGATTCATTCTCTTTATTGACATAAAGACCACTGACAATGTTGTATAAAAGAGGAATATTCACTTCCGGTTTCAGTTTCCCCTTCATCCTATCTAAGACACAGACTAGAGTCGGTGGCCATCTGAACAAGTCTGTCCTACTGGAGTGCGTGGTGAAGGCCTCGCCCCCACTCACCCAACGCTGGACCAAGGGAGGGCGTGTCCTCACCAGCGGCGACAAATACAGCTTCAACACCATCTCCTTGGACAGCAACACGTACTCTACTGAACTCCGCATCAACGACCTGGTCCTGAGAGACTACGATGACTACACGTGTGAGATCAGCAACGAATATGGCATCACGTCAAGGGTTATCACATTATACGGTGTGTCTTACGCTTCACCTATACTGTTTGATATGCATCATGGTGGTAATATATAATTAAGTCTCATCGAGGGAGAGACATTGGTCGACAGCATGATCGACATCCCACGGTATCAGATCCCCAGGTCATAAGCCGTCCTCTATTGTAGTCAGCTCCTACAAACGTGGGCTTGCAAGCTCGGGACCTATCATGTTCGTTTGTTGTTTAAAGCAACACTCAGCAATATCAAAGCTATATGACGGATGTCTGTAAAACATCGAGTCTTGACCACACCATCCAGTGGGCGACATAATGAGAAACGAAGTCAATTCATCACCCAGCGAACCTTACAATTCGATCCCGATAACCGCCTCTTAGGACAAGCATAGGTTGCTGAAGGCCAATTCTAACCGGAGTCTTTACAGGTTTCTTTGACCATGAATCGACAACGGGTACATGTTGGTTCTCACTGAATTCCATAGATTCAGACCATGACTGAATAAGCAAGAGTTGTTCTCAGTTGATCAGAGCCCATGTCTACTGTACCAACTGTCAATGTAATCGGTTGTTCCTGGTGTATAGACATCGATGGCGGATACAATGAGTACATTCAACGGCTATTTCACACGAGTGTTTTAATACTATCCCTGCCAATCCAGAATGCAACCTATTTTAGGAGGAGGTGATTACATTTTTATGTACCAGTCAACACCCGGAAGGAGGAGACAGGTCGCACAGCGTCTGAAATCAGTTAACACAGAATTACACATCGTTTAAATCCGCATTATTTAAGCCAATAAACTATGTTTCAGACAACACGCCAACCACTGCTGCACCGGCAACGACCACACCTCATCCCTCTACGCCCTTCACGGTATGTAGTTCCTACTGATATGTAGTGCGATGCTGTAATGGGATACGACCACTAACAGATTTTGGTTTGTAGTTGTCCAAACAGTAACAAATAATTGCCCATTTCGGGGTTACATATTTCATGAACCACTACACGAGTTGTGCATGCTTGATTAAAAACAAACATTTTTTATTTGTGATTATCTAAATATAATTCATTTTCGTTTTTAAAACTTTTACGTTTAAGGTCATAAGCGCATGAGAATAACAGTCTGGGTCTGCCTTAATGTAACAAAGGAAATTACTCGGGTAGAGTTATTTGCCCTTGTACTGTACTAACATCCGGGACACTGATGCCCCGGAAGGAAAAAGAATGGGAAGGAAACGAAGACAAAAATACTTTGCTTTCGACCCAGTACGCTGTGTATCTAAAGCCGTGGCAGATCTAAGTGACAGTCGAAGTGAGGCACATTTTACAGGGATACAGTGGGATTGATCACGTGACAGAACACATTAAGGGACAACTTTAAATCCTTGTCTTTGTGTGTCCCTCAAATTGAAGGAATCATGGGTGTTTATTTATATATTGTCGTATTTTGTTATGAAGAAATCTCGTAGTTCTGCAATAATGAAGAAAAAGTCATTACCATATCTCCACAATATTAAGTTAAGTACAAAACACTTTTTCTCATTTGGCATAGCATTGGGATAGTTTAGCCTAAAAAATGTCCAAAAATGTACTAAATCTGTTAACAAAATACTAATGTTTACAGTGCCACTTACACGTCTTTAAGCTTTATTATAATCAAACTGAGCTTGTAGGGTTTGTGTCCTAACCTTTAATGCAAAGGATAAATTAAGATATTTCTTATTGTTACATTGAATTTCACCTGGAGACATCCTATTTGACTCTTATCGAAGATATTGGTTTTGAAAATTCATTCAACTGGTCTGTCAGTTTCATTCATGTCTGATCTCTTATCGATGGACCTCAGCATCTCAGAAACCGCATCAAGGGAGTTAACTCACTACTGAAGACCAGAGGCGTGTTCAGAACCGCGAGTGCCCGCGAACGCTAGCGAGCGCTCGATCCTGAACGCCTGTGCCCGCTCGAGCGCCCACGCGCGCACGCGAACCATCCTCACAGCTGCCTCGCCAAGCGAACCAAGATGGCGATCATGTTTAATGTCATTCGTCACCATTCGCCCCTTTCCGTAACCTCCATGGAGGATATTTTGTTAATGTTGTCAAATAACATGTATATGTCATCGAGTGCTCTGAAAAAGTTGATATGTTCATTGACAACATTAACGAAATATTCTATTTATTATATTTTGATCATTCTTTAGAAATGATCGAGACATCGATTTCGTAGTTCGCGTTTCGTAGTTCCAGGCAAAAGTGATATTCTACTCAGTGAAAATGACAATACCATTTTTCTTTTCACCAATATTTACAGTATTTCACCCTTAAGAATATAATAAAAAAGCTATTCGGCTTGTCCCGGAACAACATGAGTTGGTCACGAATGGTTTATTGTAACCAAGCGCTCGCGTCCGTTCAGGGCCGATGCGAGCGCTCGCGGGAGGTAATCGCGCGGGCGCTCGCGGTTCTGAACACGCCTCAGATTCACCCTATCGAAAACAGCCTGGAATTTTGTGGCTCGGTCGTTGCCACGGGTGACCATTACGCATTATACCATGTGCCTCCTACTGACCATCATACTGCACTTCTCACACTTACACATGCTTCAACAAAAGTTGGGGCTACCAGTCAAGACGATTTGATCGATAATTAAGATCTATATTGTTATAAAACCGTGCTAAGTGCAACAAATCCCTTTATCACGTTGGTTAAAAACATGAATAACTGGTTGAACCCATAAATCAGGTATGAAGTTTGTTTTGTGTAGTTAACAATGTCCACGGTAGTGAAGAGGCTGCTTCTGTTGTTGCAAGTACTTGCAAACCCTTTAAGTCGATTAATACTATATTTATACTTCTAATCAACCAACACTATCGACATACGTGAAAACAGATGTACAATATTTGTATTGTTATATTCACACATATATCTGTTAATGGGTCACCTGACACATTTATACGTGAAACCTTCGCATTTAATTTCAGCATGTTTCTGCTCTTGAAGGCATGTTTGAAATATAACATAACGCATGTTAATCTTGATAGTTTATGGTTGCCACAATGCGAACAATTGTTGCACTGACAGGTCGAATTAACTGTTTATTTGGTATGTATTTGTTTCGAACCATAGGGGTTCTTTAAAAGATGGACATAAAACTGGGTAGAAACGGTAAAGATATTTGCATATTAATCTTGATAGTTTATTTGTTTGTTGCACTGAAGGTCGAATTAACTTTTATTTGGTATGTATTTGTTTCGAGTGTTCTTTAAAGATGGACATAAAAGGGTGAAACGGTAAAGATATTTGATATTGTTTCAGTTGCATTATGTACATACCCTTTCAGTTTTATGATGTCTCAATACATCCAGTTCGAGCACGAGCAGAGTCGTATCTAGTGCCAGATGCTATATGTGTCCATTCTTGGCTCTACATATCGTTCAATCTGGTTAGCTATACATCCAATGTATTGTTAGACAGAAACATAACCAAGACCTGAATGAAATCAGGTAGATCTAACGTTAGTTCTGTCTCCCTATTGAATTAAGAGTAGCTAACATTTCGTAAGACTTACGCAAAAGATGGCATGTGAAGTTGTCTTATCAGCACTTACGCATTTCACGGAACTATCTATAAACAATGGGTATCTATAAACAATGGGTATCTATAAACAATGGGTATTGTCCATTAGAAGTGTTAATGCCTGTACCAAGATAATGCTGACACAGCTGGACCATTTCTATCCCCTCTAATCTTCGATGTCCCCATATTTCGCATCCATAAATAAAGAGTTGTATTGCGTTTCAGGGAGGTTGTCCGATCTGTGAGCCGATGTCAGAGGAACAGGCGATATTTGCATATTGCCAGTCTGCTGCAGGTATGGTATCCCTGATGATCTACTGCGGCAAATATACTGTATTTATTTGAACTCTTATATGCAAGCAAATTATGACTACATACCAACGACAAACATTGAATCTTAACCAGAAGTTTGAATGAACGGTCATACCTTCTGGCAAGCTTGAGGGACAGAACCAGCTAGGTGAGGCGCCTCACACGTGTGGGTCCTTTTCTTGGTTTAATACCAGTTAGTGAATATGTTCGTGTTTGAAAGATTTCTGTAAATAGTCAACGTTAAAGTTCTCTAAAACAAATTGTTGATTAAAATGAAGGATGTAGGGCGATCTTTTGCATATAACTACTCTCTGCAGCATACAAGGTCCTCGGCATAAGGATCAGGAGGTCAAGGGTCAAGGTCAAGATTCTTGTTGACTTCCGGCCAGTGAAACGGGTGAAAATAAGACGTGTCCTGAGGCTGGTGATTGACAAGAAGTGTTCTTGTGATGTCATTAAGAAACTGAAGCCTAGTAAGTGGGATGTTAAGTACAGACAGTAAGATACCTAAGCTTCCTATGAAATCTTTTGCTCAGTTCTCATCTGCAGCCGATATCAAACATTTATATTCCGCATATCTTTAGCCCGGCAGTTTATATAAAGTGTTTCCACTGATGTTTTCGGCAATATGCCACTAACTTCACTGTAGTCTATAGATACTACACCTAGTTACTTAAAGCAGCTATGCAAAATACATTCTCTGGATATGTATACTTGTGATAGAAACAAACAATCCCATTTAAATTGAAAAGGAGAGAAGGGAGATTCAGAAGCCCGATTCCTGAACCTGGGGGAAATCTAGACTTGTTTCATTCAGGGCTTTAGCATTTCAGAAAGGACAAGACAGAAGGTGAAGCAGTGAGGTTCGACAGACTAAAAATACATAGCGTAACTATCAGTAAACTTGTGTCAAATCCCCCTCAATGTTATCGGGGTTTTGTGCCTAACGTATATGCTTTGTGTCAATAGGAAGCATGGTGGCTCTCTTCATGATGAGAAAGAAAGACTTCACATCCAAACCACGCGAGATCATCATCGGATCCGAGACTTCCGCCATATTGCTGCCGAAGAAAATGGAAAGAAAGATTCTTCTTGGAAGAAATACATGTACAAAGTAACAGTGTTACAGTAGTGTGTACTTCAGTAGCCATACTTACTTTCTTCCAGTGGACTTTCTGTTGAAATAGACGGGAGGTCAATATGTTTCGGAAATTATAATAATATGATATCGATGCACACTGTTTAATCAAATAGCCACGAAGCCAACATGGCTTCAACTTGTAATGGTTCAGGAAGAGAGGCGACCACGCATTGATAGAGTCGCGACCAGAGCCTATGCTCAGATTGTATACTTGACTGCTCAATAAGTCTCCCTGTGATCTCCGTGCTTGTAGTTTATTTCTGCCCTCTGTTAAAGCATGGTCACTCCCGGTTGACATACTGATATGACATAAAGACATACTGTTATAATGATTGCTGTGTGTCCTATTGTCAACAAGGCATAAAGTCTACATCGGTAACATCGTTGCGCAGAACTTTTGTAATATGTGCAATATGAAATAACTTTACATTATATTACATATTATTGGTGATATATTATCCATGCTTTAAGAAAGTGTAGAAGTGCTGTAAACTCTTTTGTATATCTGACATGAATAAACAATATTAGTGTGTACTCTGTGTTGGAGATATGCTGAATACAAATGTAGTAGAAGTGGTGGATCTCCTGCATCCCGGAATCTGATACCAGCCACTAATGGCATGACGGAGTGTTTGTGTCTTTACCTCCTTGTGCGGAAGTATGTCTGTGCATTTCTATTTATGAGTTCTGGTTGAACATCGCGCTCAGCGGTATACCAGTTGTATGAAGGCGATCTGTGAGTAGTCACGTCTTGAGACAATCCAGTGATATACGTCATGAGCATCATCTACCTAAGGTAGACCTGCAAATTACTTCTTGCATCTACCAAGCCAGAGGGCCACAAGATCCCGTTATTAGGTCCGTACGTGTGTATATCTGTATGATAATGTCAACTGGGAAAAACAGCTCTTCAGAAACACTGCTGTGAGTCTAGCGCTATCTAGTCATCTAGTTGTAGATACTCATGTCTGGACCACAAAAAACAACAGAGATTCATAATGTCAGCAACTACCAACGCAGTCGGTGACGACCACTCTCAGACTCACCGGGCCTGACAACGCCTCCATTATGTCCCCTCTCACGATTAGATACCATTTCTAAGCACCTATTATTATCTGGAATCTCCAAACGATCGATACCAGTACCTAAAAAATGAAGCATTTTATGCCGATGTTTTATGTTTTATGTTTCCAATATTACCTTAAAAATAATATGCAATCCGCATTCGTTTTTTTCCTTTTGCTGGCTTGTTCCAAGTTAATACAAAAACCTCTAGGGCTTCGAATCGAGGTATTCGGTGTGACGAACAATAGTATAACCACCAGTCTACCTTCCTTCATGTGTCATATTTAGTGTATTTCTGTTGAAGGTGAAGTCCGAAATGCTTATTTGTCTCATGCGTTCTTCGTTCTATCATAAAGGTCAAAGGGGTCGGAGCACCTGGTTCGATTCACCCCGAAGTTTCTGGTGTCCCCTGCCGTGCTATTGCTGGAATACTGCTAAAATGGCATAACACTAAACTCTCTCACTCACTCACTCACTCACAAAGGTCAAACAATGTAGATCGTGATAAGTCGTGTTTCTGGGATATTTCGGAACAAACATTGTATAGATGGAATCGTGTATCAGACTATGTAACTGTACCGTGTGTCTGGTTTTGCTGTCATCTCACTGAAGAAAACATTCAGATTTGGTTCAGATAATCTGTTTGATTGGCATTTTAGAAGTTGATGAGTAATAAGAAAGTAGGATACTTTATTGATGCAACTTTCTTATTATTATGATGCGACGTTTCGAGACAGATTCTTATACCGTTGTCAAGCGAAAGTGACAACTATACCGAAACGTTGTATCATAATGTAATGAAGAAGTTGTCAACCATACAGTTTCCTACTTCCCTGTTTCAGATTGAAATATGCCAGAGTGACTATCGATAGCGTCCCTGCTTTATCTGGTTGCCAGACGCCTGGAAACCGTTAATACACGACACGCACCATCAATTAAGATTGAAAAATGATGGACCAACTTAGGGTATAACGGATGTGAGTGAATCTATAGGAGATCTCTTAAAGCTGAGATAATTCCTGAAGTCAATGTTTGGTCAAAGTTATATAAATTCATTGTTTTAATTGAAGAGCTAGGTTACCAGTACATTTAGAACAATTACGATGAATACAGTTTAGTACAATTTAACATGGAACCGAACGAAACGTAATCTACTGTGTTCATCTCCATTCTACAGTGAAATCTTGGAGAATGAATGTTTCCATCCGAGTGTATTGTGAGTGAGGGTTCAGTGTGTCAAGTGGGCTGCCCATCTGAGTCACGGAAACACAGCAAACACAAAAAGGCCGCTTAAGCTGAGACATTACCTATTTACATCAAGTATGTAGTTTACTCGCATGTAAGGCATACACTGAGCATGGTTTCATGTCGTATAGGCATGTTTCACCCTGTTTTTCTACGCTCGGTTTGAGGTAGCCATACATAGCCTCGGCGGATGGTACTATGTTTGGAATCCAAAAATCCCATGGTCACATGCTGTTTATCCAATATCATTCTCCAAATGTTTTCAATGAGGATCTAAACACACTGTCCAGGTTGAAAATGTGAGGAGTCCAGCATATCTGAAGGGCATGTTTTTACCGCTCCAGTCGAGAGATATCCAGTAGCCTCGGCCGGATGTCATTTGATTGTGACCTTCAGTTTAACATCAAAATCATTCTCCAAATGTTTTCAGTTCGTAAACAGCCCCGAATGTGAGGAGTCCAGCAAGCCAGCTTCAGTGAGAGATATCAGTGATGTTATTTGATTGTGACCTCAGTGTAACCAATAATGCGTCCATACTCTGTAATATATCGTCATGCAATTTCATTAGAACAATATCTCCCTGGAGATATCAGTGATCTCACCCAACCAGTAGAAGACAGACAACTATTTTTTCCATACAACAATGTAATCAATTCAAGTTATTAGTGTCATTCTGGTTCACAGCATACAGCTCATACTGTCGCAAATAGACAGAGAATGGGCGTGGTTTGGCAGGAAATACAGATGCAAATTACAGGAAGACAAATATTCAAGCAAGCATGTTTCTGAAACATATCATGTTCATAAATGCAGACAATGTGACCTATTTATACCCAAAGGGTCTTGGCTTTCGGTTTAATCTGCTCGGAGCTTAGTCACTAGCAGAGGACAATATCTGACCCGTTTGAGGAATTCTTGATGCCCGTCTTCTTTGGGTGAGTGAGTGAGTGAGTTAATATTTATCGTCACATCGGCAATATTTCAGCCATATCGTGACGAGCACATTTTATAATTATATTAAAGATGAATAAGGTTAGAAATTAAACAACCTGTTGACGAAGAACAGTAAAACTACTAGTGTATCACAGATATCCATTTAAAACTAGCAATTAAATCTAAAATATTGGAACTATAAATGACAATACAATATAAAAACAGGCTGAAGATTGCTAAAGACTGAAGGTAGATCACCATACTAGGGACCATGGGGACTTACAGTACATTTGCTTCCTGCATGGACCCTAGCTGGATTTACACCATCCCTTCAGCCGTCAGGAAGTTTAGACAAATTAGCCATAAGTTAAAATAACACATATTCTACGATTAAAATTAATGGTAAGTTTAAATTTAGCTTGAATGTTTTGGGACTTACGTACCCCCACAGGAGGACAATAATTTTACAATGCTTCAACCCCCTGTGAGGATACAGCCACTAACAATCTCAGCTGCTCAACTAAACTACCAATTTTAAAATATTTATCTATTAAAAATTTACAATCCATTCAACAAATCTAATTCTTTTAAAAATGCAATAACTAAATGAGAACTGATATTATTAAAAAGATCCTTCATCGTTCGTGATTTGAAATAGATATCCCTTGTGATGGAGTACTCAACGCAGTCAAGCAAGACATGCTTGACCGTGATTCGTTCATCACAAGGGATACAAAACGGAGGATCCTCACCTTTTAATAGGTACACATGCGTATATCTGGTGTGGCCAATACGACATCGTCGTATGATGACCTCTTCTTTGGTCGTACACCACCAGTAAAAGCTTCTCAACAATAGCGCATGTTCGAATCCCCTTGGTTATGGTCGTGTGTTCGAAGGCGCTATAACTAATCTCGTTGGCTAAACGTCCTCAATCTTCATTTGGGTTTGGACGTCTCTGTATATATATATACACGTAAAGTGTTGAAGGGAAGGAGCTATTTGTGGAAGGAACAAATTACAGAGTGATTTGGAAATCAATTGCTTTGGGCGTTCCAGTCATTAAAGCTGACGTGGAAACGTACGCTCGGAAACCATGTCCATGAAAATGTCTTCAACAGGCGATGTGCCAGGAAAGGACCTCTATGAGAGTCTATTAAAACGAGGCGGGGTTTCCTATTACGACTTCACAGCCTTACAACCTTGTATTCCACCGTGCCGGAGATGCCATAACACATTCTTCTCGCTTTTATCAATCATAATAAGCAAAATTAATGAAATCACTTATATATATCAAAACATTACTCATTACATTGCCATATAGGAATCGTGAAACTATTTCATTTGATGGTCCAAACATATCGCCATTGTTACGTTTGACAAAACGTAGCTGAGGCAGACAAAAAAAGGTACAAATTCCACTAAAAATATCCACACGCAAACCACAGATTACAGGTGCGAGATCTGCACGTGAACATGCACGTGTGATGGAAATATCTGCACAGACAGGCTTTTACCAGACTCACAGGTTCTGCCAAGTCATGCACTGGCACTACAGACGGTGTGGGCCAGCATTCAGAAGTGTGATTCATACCTTCCTTGCTTCCATGGACAGAGGATGTCATCAGTTCTTGACTCCAGGGGTGGGCACACCCCACACGATCAACAAACAAACTGTGGTAGTTTGTGATTGTCTGTCATGATATCATTCACCTACTGGTTGATCATTACATGGATCCATCAAATGCCACAAACCATGCTTTAGCATGTCTTTGCATCAAAGTGAGTGAGTGAGTGAGTTAATATTTAACGTCACATCGGCAATATTTCAGCCATATCGTGATGAGAACATTTGATATTGAAATGAAATACACGCAGAATATAAAAAACCTGCCGACGAAGGACAGTAAAACAACTAGAATATCACAGATGTGTATGTAAAACTAGCAATTAAATCTAAAACGTTATAACTAGAGGGGACAATAATACAGTATAAAAAATGGACTATAAATCGCCAATAACTGAAAGTAGATCACCATACTAGGAACCATGGGGACTTACATTAATTTTGCTACCTGCATGGACCCTAGTTGGATTTACACCATCCCTTCAGCAAGTGGCGACAGAAGAGAAACCTAGCCATAAATTAAAAGCACACTTATCTTGCGATTAAAAACCTGGTACACTTAAATTGACTAAATGTTTTGGGACTTACGTACCCTCTCAGGAGGACAATAATTTTACAATACTTCAACCCCCTTAGAGGGTACAGCCACTAACAATCTCAGTAA